GTCTAAATTACTAATTAATTAATTATTTATTAAGTTATTATTAGTTGTTTACTAATTATAACTAATTATTAGTTAATTTATAACTATTAGTTAGTTTAGTTAATTCTTTTAGCGGTTAGTTAATTAATTTTTTTAATAGTTTTTTTCTTTTTTTTTATTTATATAATTAATTAAATTATTTAGCTAGTAGCTAATTAGTAGCTATTAAAAAGTAGGGCTTGCTTTAAATATAAATTACTATTTATATGGTTATTTAAATAGGGGGCTTAATTATAATTTATTTAGTTAATTGCTTTAATTGGATTAGTTGGGTTATTAAGTATAGTTTTTATATGGTAAATGTATTGCTACCTTATTTATATAGTTAGTTGCTTAATTTATAAAACTATTATTTATGTTTAAGGGTTTTTTAAAGAAAGTAGTTAAAAGGTTAATAAGGATGCCTAGCAAGTTAATAGGTAGGCTTAAATTATTAGTTATAAAAAAAATTGTCTAATAGGTAGAAAAGGCTGTTATAGCTATTTGTAGTTTAATACTTCTTATAAGCTATTATAAGAAAAAGGGTTTTATTATAAGAAAGTTATAAGACTTATTTAGTAAAGGGGTCCTATTTAGCAGTTAATTGCGCTTATAAGTATCTATAAATAACTTTATTTTCTTTAAATTATAGCACTTATAAGTATTTATAAATAGCTTTAATAATAGCTTTAAGTATATTATACTTTATTGTTAGAAGCTAGTTAGTAACTAATTAGTGTTAGTTAGTTTAGTTTATATATAAGAAGTAGTTAAAGTGGTGTGTATTTTAATTAGAGGTTTGCCTGGCTAGGTGGCGAAGCGCCTAGTTAGGTTGGCTAGACCTACTAACTAAGAGTGGTCCGTGCGTACGCACGGGCCCACTAGCCTTGCAGTAGCTAATTTATTGCAGCTTATTATTCCTACATACTTTTTAATATAATTATTTAATTAATAATAATTATAATAAAAATATTAAATAGTTTATTTAAATTAAATTTCTTTTTTATATATAATTATAAACTTTTTAAATATAAAGTAAAAGAATAAAAATTAAAGACTTTTACTTTTATAAATAAATATACTTTTATAAACTTTAATAAAATTATATATAGTTTATTTTTATAAAAAATTAAATTATTTAAAAAAAAAGGTAAAAAAGTTTATAATTATTTATATTAATATAATAAATAATTTTTAATAAAATATTTATATAATATTATTTTTATTAAATAAATTAAAGAACTTTAAGGTATACTTTTAATATAAGTAATAATTTAAAGGTTATTTATAAAAGTATTTAAATATTACTTTAAAAATAAAAGGAGGGTTTTAATATTTAAAATATAATTTTTATAATTAAAAGTTTTAACTTATATATTCTAAAATATTAATTTAAATTAATTAAAAGAGTAAATAAATAAAAGATTTTATTTTATATATAATATATTATTTATTAATAAAAATTATTCTTTTAAAAATAAATTTACTTAAAAATATATTATTAAAAATTATTTTATAGAAAATTATAAAATCCTTTAAAATTTATTAATTATAATAAATTTTATAATAATAAAAATATTTTTATAATTAAAAGCTAATATTATTAATACTATTTATTTATATAAAGTTTATAAAATATAATTTAAATTTTATTATTAAAAATTTAAAGTAATAATAAACTTAAAAGTTATAATTAAAAAGTATAAAAGTTATAATTATTAATAAATTAAATATAAAAAAGTTATAAAGTATTTTTATACCTTTATAAAGTAGTTTATTATAATAAAAATAAAAGATTATTAATATTTATTTTTATATAAAAGTACTTTAATAGCCTTAATTCTTTAAATAAATATTATTAAAGATTCCTTTAAAAATCTTTAACTTTATTATTATCTTCTATATAAAAATAAAGTTATAATATTCCTCTTTATTTAAAGTTATTTTTAATAAAGTAAACTTAAATATTCCTTTTAAAAATTTATTTTAAGGTAATTTTAATTAATTATTTTATTATATTAATTTATAATTATATTATATAATTAATTAAATAAATTAAGTTATTTATTATTATAAAAGACTTTTTTAAAGGTAATATTTTAATTAATTAATAAATTATAAATATTTTTAAAAAATAAGTTTAACTTTATAATTTTTATTTAATAGTTTTATTTATTATAATTAAAATAAATATTATTTTTTTAAAATTATAATAATATAAAATTAATATCTATTATTTATATATTATAAGTTAAGTTTTTAAAGGTAAAATAAATAATTTATTTATTAATTTATAAGTTAAAGATTATTAATTATATTAATATAATATTAATTAATTTAAATTATATAATTTTAACTTTTAATAATACTTTAACTAACCTTTATATAATAAAAAGAGTAGTTATATTATAAAATTAGATTATTATTTTAAAAATAATAAAAATCTTTTATTTAATTACTTTATTAATATAAATTTTAATATATTTAATAAGTTTCTTTATAACTATTATAATTATTAATTAAAATAATTTATTAATAATTTTAATATAAATACTTAATTAATTAATAAAAATCTTCTTAAATAAAATAATATAAATTATTATAAATTATTATTATAAAAATAAAAGTTTAAAAAGTATTTTAAAGGTATTAAATAAAGTTAATATATAATTTATCCTTATAAAATAAAAGATTAAAAAGTATAATTTAAAAGTAAAAGTATTATATTAATTTAAAATTTATATAATTATTTTTATAAAAATAAATTAACTTAATTTATTAATAAGTATTTATTTAGTAAAACTATTAAAGTTATTTAATAGTTTTATAAAACTTTATTTAATTATAATTTATAAAAGATTATAAAAATATAAAATTAAACTTATATTCTTTTAAACTTATTAAAAATAGAAATATTTATAATATTAAGTTAAAAGTTCTTTAAAAGAAAACTTTTTTATATTAAAAACTTTAAAAAAGTTAAATTTATTAAATAAAATTATTATAGGAAAGACTTTTATAAATAAATCTTTATTAATATTATAAGTTTTATAAAAGTTATATAATTAATATTAAAGGTTAATTATATTATTTTTATATTAATTTTAAGGGTTTAAAGTTATTAAAAGTTTATTATTAAAAGGTATAAGTTTATTAAAATAATAGTTTTATTTATTTTATTTAATATAATAAAAACTATACTTTATTAAAGTATATAATAATTAAATTAAACTTTTAATTAATATAATTATTTTAAATAATATAGGTTACTTTAATAGTTTTAAGTTTAATATTATATTTTTATTTAATTTTTTAAATTATTATTTATAGTTTTTATTAAGTTATAAAAATAAATATTTAAAGTATTAAAAGAGTTTATAAGTTTAATATATTAATTAATAAATTTTTAAAGTATTTTTAATTATAAATTTATTAATAAAAGTTTATAATTAATAAATATTTTTAAAAGAAAATCTTTTAATAAATTAATTTTACTAAATATTATAAAGTATTAAATAGAAAAAATTAATTAAAAGTAAAAAATTAATATAAAATAGTAAAATTAATACTTATTAATATATTTTTAACTTAATTATAAGTTAATTATATTAATAATAATAATATAAAAGAAAAGTATAATATTTATTATTAAAACTTTTAATTAATTTAAAGAATATTTATTTATAAATAATAATTATTAATAAATAAATATTATTATTATTTAATTTAATAAGTAAAGTTTTTTTTATAATTATTATTATTATTAAAAGTAATTTAACTTTATATAATTAAAATATAAATATTTATTTTAAGTTAAATAATAATTAGTTAATAGTTATTTAAAGGTATATTTAATAGTATTAAAATTAATTATAATTATTTTTATTAAATATAAAGATAAAATAAAGTTTTTTTAATAAAAATAATTATTTTTATATATCTTACTTTATACCTATATATTAGAATATTAGAATTTATAAGGAATCTAATATTTAAAAGTATAGGTAGTTAGGTTATTAATTAGAAGAATTAGCTATTAAAGGGCGCCTATAAAAGCGTGGTTTTAACTGCCTGTAGGGCCTGCTTACGTAACTAACTACGGATCCACAGTTCTTTACCTGCTTAGTCAGGGTTTCTTACTCCACTATACCCACAATTAGTTAAGGTAGCAAGTTCGATCCCTAGAGCAGTCGAAATATCTCATATAATATGCCTAGAAAAACTTAATATAGTGCCTAGAGTATGGGGGTGTGTAAGAATTCTTATAAACTCTCTACACTGTGCACTACTAGCATTTTTGGTTTCTCACAGGTTCCTAGTAAAGCACTAGGTACTTAAGCTTACATACTTAAGTAGCTACATACATATGTTAGTACCTAGGTTGGTATGTAAACAGTGAGCACCATGCATGAAGTTCTCTAATCAAGGCTTCAAGCCCTTTGATGGTAGGAAGATCAAAGAGGCCCCGTTGTCAGTAATATGTTGTGGTAGTCTTTGTATGAAAACATTGGAATACACTGAGCGATATACACTCCAAGTTAGACCTATACCAGCTGTGGTGCTGACATCCATTGGACAGTGGGGACCCACTTTTGACCGCACCCGACCATCCGAGTCGCCCGGACTGGATCAGGCTTGCTAAGCCAACACCGCACCACACCACATCCCAAACAAATCATATCTTGCCCTGGACTCCTATTTATTATGTAATCAAATGCGGCATCAGAAAAACAAATGAAGGCTTTGAAATCATTTCAAAAACAAGTAGAGGCCGAGGTATCAGTATAATGCAATGATATAAATATTGTCTACCCATTCGACATCAGACGGAACAAAGCTTGGGAAGAATTGATGACAGCCCTGGAGCAGTTGAGCCATCACCAGAACTAATACTCCTTCCTATCGTTGATCTACAGTAAATGTTCAGTACGCGATTTTTCATTTCAGAGGAACCGAATCATTCACCCAACTTCCAACTAAAAATGTCCAAGATCGTTACCGTCATCGGTGCCACCGGCATTCAAGGAGGCTCGGTCATCAGGGCGCTTGTAGACAGCCCAGAATACTCGCTGAGAGCAGTCACACGCAACACTGAGAGTCATGCTGCGAAGGAGCTTGCAGCTCGCGGCGTTGAGGTGGTTGGGGCTGACATCAATGACGTCGGGTCCCTCCGGGAGGCCTTTGCTGGCAGCCAAGCTGTCTTTGCTGCGACCAACTTCTTCGAGGCACTCCCAACACTCGGAATTGAGAAGTCGATGGAGATGGAGACCCGTCTTGGCAGGAATATTGCAGACGCAGCGGCTGCGACCGAGTCTCTGGAGCACTACGTGTGGTCCACCCTTCCCAATTCCCGCAAGAACACGGGCGGGAAAGTCGTGGTCCCCTATTACGAAAGCAAGAACCGTGTTGACGACCATATCAAAGCTCAACACCCACAACTGCTGCGCAAGACCACTTTCCTCTGGCTTGGTTGGTACGCGAGCAACATGGATTACCCATGGTACAGGCCGAGCGAAGTTCACACAGCCGGCGACGACAGGCTGTACGTCCAGCTGCTGAGCGTATCGACATCAGTAAAGATCCCGGTTCTCGGTGATGAGAAGGTGAACCCGGGCCTTTTCGTGCGAACCATCCTCGACCGCCCAGACCTGACCCTCCCAGCCAAAGTTGTGGCGGGCATGGACGAACAGCTGGCGCTCTCGGAGATCGCGCGAGTCTACGGCGCTGCACAAGGTATTAATGTGCGAAGCGTGCAGATCACCAAGGCGGACTACGAGAAGCTCTGGCCTGCCTGGGGAGAGCTGATGGACGTGTCGCATTCCTACATGGAGGTCATGGACGGCAAGGGCTTCACCAGCGTTGATGAGGACGTCCTGTCTAAGGAGGATCTCGGGGTGAAAGGCCTGATTGGGACGGCGCAGGCATTTGTAAAAAGCAAGACTGGATGCCTCTGATTGAAATAGCACCAGTTCTAGTTGACAACTCGGAGGATCATAGCAGTATACCAGTATATTCGTGGTGTCTGAGTACTTCAAAGTTGTCGCCCGCACTCACATACAAGTCAACGCCACCAATCTCTAGCACATATGGAAGCACGTAGGGTATCAGAAGAAAGGACATTGAAGAGAACGGAAGGACCGAAACCTGCCACTAGTACCTAGGTACCAAGGAGTATCACTTCACGACGGATCAACCTTGCCCGGTACCGGTACCTGTGCACACTCGCAGTGATGGCTTCAAAGTCTTGGTTATTAGTCAGCAGCTGAATTGTCATCCATTACCGTCAGCACAGAACCCTTCTTGTACGTCTTGCGCCCTTGCTCTGACATACCCCGTAGTCTGGTCCTAATCTACTACCGCTTACGTGCCGGGGTTGCCGCTTTCGCTTGCCCTCCCGTACGTGAAACACCAGCTCTAGCGACACTTGTTTTGAACATCGAGAGCCATCATCAACATCACCACCACCTAGGGTAGGTATGTCTCTACGACGCAAGTCTTGCGACGCATGTTAGTCTCACTGTTATCTTTTAGGCTCCATGGCTGGTGGCTGACAATTAGAAGGCTTCAAGGGCCGACGGAGATGTGATCGTGGGTACCCGACGTGCAGCACCTGTCGGCGTACCAAGAAGAGCTGCCATTATATTTATGCGCCAGTACCTTCTGCCAGTCTGCCCGATGGCTCACGGGACGCACCTGAAATCTCTGCCTCCCAGACAGACGTGTCTTCTATTCACAATGGTAGCGATCAATTTGGTTCGACTTTTGCTCGGGGACTGCCGGTCAGTGACGCTGCCAGGGCGTTGAGATCAATAAACAAGTCTATGAGTCTGCAAGTGAACTTGATTCGGTCGTCGACTTTGTCGGCATCATTGAACATGCCGCCAGCATGGCCAAAGTTAAACATCCCAAGCTTCCTAGGGTGCCTCGGCGAGGTGCAGCGCGTGGAAGGAAGCACAGACAGCTGGAGCTGGGTCATCGGCGAGCTCAAGCGCTGCCCGCGCGACCTTGCTACTCGCGGCGAGACTCTTTTCCTGCACAAGATCCTCTACTTTAATGAGATGCCAAGAGCCATCCGGGCGGCGTTGGGCCACTCTGCGGCCTTCTGCACGCTAGAAGAGGATAAAAGGCACCTCCTCTTCCGTGCACTGGACGCCGAGGTGTTGGAACTGATCAGAATGGATGCAGGCGAGGAGGTCGTTGGTACAAGTAATATCAGCGGCAAACCCAGCGGATTGACTCTTATCGACGAGTTGGCGCGGCTGCAGGCCTTCACGCTGTACCAGATGATACGGATGTTTGGTGGTGGACTGGAGCAGCGCTTCATTGTCGAGCAGCAGCGAGATCTTGTTACGACGTGGGCTCTGCAGCTGCTGAGGCGATCGATGTCTGTGCTCGGTGGCGCCAGCCACCATGAATCGAGTGTTCATCACGGTATGGGCAGCTGGCACACCTGGATTTTGGGTGAGAGCATCCGTCGGACTGTCATGGCCATCTATATGTTCTATGGTGTCTACTCACTAGCGAAGAACGGTTACTGTGCCGAGCTGCCCACGCTCGCCAAGCTCCCCGTGTCAAAGACGCCGGCTTCGTGGTATTCAGAGGCTGCTTACATGGCCCAGGGACCAAGGGATGAGGAACTGCAAACATTGACGTACGGAGAATTCACAGACTCCTGGACAAATTCGCCACCACGAAGGGTGGATCAGTTTCATAAGTTTCTTATAGTGCCGTGTAAGGGTCTAGAAGTAATTGTATAGTGTCTCCTTCCCTCCTAGGTATGAGGCTTGAAGATACATAATTATATTTTAACTAATATTTCTCTGGTGTGGATTCAACACTGACAACTGATTTAAGCTAGGGTTTCTAACTATGAGTACTATGTGATCCTTGACAAGGCTTTATAAATCACCAAGATGTGACGCTAGCAGCCCTTTTGCATGCTGCGACCACATTGTTCGGCATACTCAGGAAAGGCGAATGTGATGCATCGAATGTGACCGTGTCGATTTGTACTCCCAGAGCCCTGGCGTTCTTGACCATTTTCTCCTGAGCAGCCAAAGGGATCGCGTTGTCTTTCTCACAAAGAAGATAAGTGGTTGGGATGTCTTTGTATGCAGGGTACGTGAGCTTTGTAAAAAGACACCTATAGCTGTGGTGCGACAGAGTATCGACAGACTTCTTTGCCTCATCAGCGCTGAGGTCGTTGTAGAAAATTTGCTCGGGTGTGTCGGGATCTATGCGAGTCTCGTTGTCTGAGAGTATGAACCATGGCAGTGGCTTGTTATCAAGCATATCAAAAAGGGACACACCTGGGAGGTCGAATCCAACGTTAGTCAGTACTTGATAATCCGTGAGCTCTAAGCCCAATGGCAGGGTAGCCCACCCTCGCCTAGCAGAAAGGCACAACAATAAATCAGCCTCGTCACGCCGCCTTTCTCCCCAGCGGCATCCCTGTCCTTTTTCCCCAGGCCACGGCAAGATTCCGTCCCGACGACACCGCCATAGCTGTCTATATCATTAGGAATTAGCCATGGAGGAGTCCAAGAAATAGCTTTATAGGAATATATCAAAAGGTAGTCATAGCCTGTATCAAGATTTACAGACCGTAAAGTCTTTGTCCTATAGGCTGGAGGTGGAGTATGTTGATCCCTGGAGGGGAAAAGATTATATCTAGAAGCTGCTCACGCATGAACACGACCACGTCCTGGCCCCTGTCGACCTCCTCCGCAATTATCTGACTGAGCTTCTGAACGTCCGGACCGAAGTCGTCAAGCGGTGGCGCGGCGCCACAGCTCGGGAGGTCCACGCTTCTCACGGTGTACCCAGCGGCTTTGAGCGGGATCGCCACGAGGTCCAACGCCGAAGCCGGGTGCCACGCGCCGGGGACCAGGACGAAGGTCGTGCTCGACGTCATCATCGACAGACGCTCAACGCTCTCTGAGAAAGATCTTCGCAGGCCTGTGCAAATGGTAAATCCTCTTGCGTGTTTGGCTTGCAAGGGGGTTTGCGGCGGCGATGCGGCGGAGGGTTGTATTTACTGAGTCAGGATCGGTCACAATCAGGTGGTGATAGACAAGAAATGAGACCTCGTGCTGGAAAGATGCTCGCCATCATGCTGTCCATTACCCCTCATGGGAAAGACATGACTTCTTGAATCCAGTGCAACCACCCCCTTGGCCTCAATGCTGACACTCGGTCTGGGCATGATCGCGGAAAGCGCACCATCAACGGTAGTGCTGTTGCTAGCCTCAACTCCAAGGCGGCCGACTGTTGGAATCTTTTGCGTGTCTGACCAAATACACAACCACCCCAGGGTAGCGTTCGGATAGAGGCTATAACGACGGCTCAGCGTGTCGGGCGTGGGATCAATAGAAGCGAAACCCGCTTTGCACATAGCCACGAAGGCTCAGATCTCTGAATAATGGCCTTTTCGGTAGGCAAGCGCTGCCATTTCCTTGCAGCGGGCACATTTCATAATAGTGCGTGGCTTCCGCACTGCTCGCCGGGACCGACGGCTTGGAACATCAGTTTGCGTTACAGTCTGTCTGGTCCGTCTTGATGCGAATCCCGGGTTGGACAACTCGAAGAGTATGCGTTTCACATGGCTGACAGATCTGCAATAGTCGGACGGGTGCGGGGATGACAGCGCGCCAGATGGCAGACATTGGACTAAGCATATACGGGGTAGCATCGAGGGCGAACCACGGTTTATTGGTCTATCACGGTCGGGGCTAATCGTCTCTCATTCAGTGCTTGTGTATAGTTGCTGTCGTAAATTTCAAAACCTCGCTCACTCTAGTCTTTGGGTATCTCCAATTACTCGTCAAGTCTCCTTTTAGGCGGCTAAGCCATGCCATGGCTCGGTGGTACAATCTGATCAGCCTCAAGGCTTCTCAGGCGGCGGCGGTGCCCTTCTCTGGAGACTCCTCGGGCCAGACGTTGTAGCCGAAGGTGTCCTTCATGTTGACAAAGCGGGTGTGGCGGCCCTTGGCCACCTGGTTGACGGCCTCGAAGTCTCCGTCGGACAGTTCGGGCACCTCGAAGTTGCTCTCAATGCGGTGGGGCGTGGAGCTCTTGGGCAGCACGACGTAGCCCCTCCTCAGTCCCCAGGCCAGCAGGACCTGTGCCAGGGTATGGTTGCTACGCTCAGCGACCTCGTTGAGGGTCTTGTTGGTGCGCACCTTCTCGCCAGTGGTGGGGACCTGGTCCTGGGAGCCCAGGGGGGAGTAGGCCTCGGGCAGGATGTTGTTCTCGAGGCAGAACTTGACGAGCTCTTCGTTGGGCAGGAAGGGGTGGATCTCGATCTGGTTGACGGCGGGCTTGATCTTGGCGAAGGACAAGAGCTTCTTGAGGCCGTCGATAGTCCAGTTGGAGACGCCGATGGCGCGGGCCTTACCGGACTCTGCCAGCTCCTCCATGGCGCGCCATGTGGGCTCGGGGTTCTCTGTGAGCTCCTTGTCGATGATGTACTTCCCGTCAGGCCCGAGCTTTGGTTGGTAGTCGTCGGTCTTCTCCGCGGCGATGGGCCAGTGGACGAGATACAGGTCGACGTAGTCCAGGCCAAGCTTCTTGAGAGAGTCGTTGAAGGACCACCTGAGGTCCTCAGGCTTGTGCAGGTGGTTCCAGACCTTTGTGCAGACAAAGATGTCCTCACGCTTGACGTCGTGGTTCTCGTTCAGGAACTCGCGGATGGCCTGGCCAACCTCGGCCTCGTTCTGATAGAACCAGGCGCAGTCCAGGTGCCGATAGCCGACCTCGAGGGCCTTCTTGGTGGCCCTGTAGCTCTCGCCCTCGGAACCCTCGCTGGCGAATGTGCCGAAGCCCAGGCCGGGGACCTTGACGCCGTTGTTCAGGGTGAAGGTGAATTGTGGTGCCATCTTGCTGTGATTTGCTCTGCAATATCCTGCCGGGGGGGGGGGGCGGAATAGGAAAGGTTGCTGTCTAAAGTGTGAGTATGTATGTATGTATGCGCTGTCACATGCAGATGCGCAGGAGGCAGCGAAGGCTTACCTTGATAAGTTGTCAAGTCTTGGAAGAGGGTCGATCCGAGAAAGCAAAAAGTCGGTCTGGCGTGTAGGCGGGATGTGATGTGACTGACGTCCAGGTCACAAACAGGCAGGGCAGCATTGGCGACCAAGGACCCTTCGGAAGTCTAACGAGAACTGAGCATTGATAAGGCCTGGCTGGAGGTGCGATTGCATCATCGGTGGCCCAACAGAAAAGTCAGCTCCCAGCTCCCAGCTCTCAGGTCCCAGCTCGCAGGAGGAGGGCCGGCAGGGGCCACGACCGCACAGTACGTACGGCAGTGCCAGGTCATTCCCATTGTACGAGTCGCCAGTCGCCACGGGCGGCTGATTTGTTGCCGTTACTATGCAGTTCTGCTAATTTTTGCCAGGCGTCGCACCGTCTCCAGGGCGGTCGGCGATTCCAAGTGGATATTGTCGTGGGTCAACCTTACGAAATGGTGGTTTCAGTTGGTTGTGCTTGAGTCACTTGTACGTCGAGCATGTGAAAGGGTTCAACGTGCCGCAAGGATGGACCAAGAACAGGAGCTTCTCGGTCCCTGTGTGGTCCCCCAGGGGTGCAGTAGGTACGTACCTAGTCTCGGCAGTCTCGGCGGGACCAGGACGGCAGGCAGTGGGCAGTGAATGGGGGGGGGGGTATTCCGTAGGGAATTAGGAAAGGAGGGAAGGAGGGAAGGAGGGCAGAGAGGTACTCGGTACCCGACGTGCAGCCACACGCGGCGTACGGGATACGTCCTCGAAAAGTCCTGGGTACTTATGCGGCAAGCCGTCCGAGGCACAGAGGGGTTGAGAGGCGGTTAGCCAAACCGGGGCGACGATCATGGATCTCACTGCAAGATATCTGGGACTGATATGGAGCCTGCCCGAACAGATCGGAAGAGATTTCGCAGCTGGCCCGGTTTTGTGACATCACCCAGCCCATCTGCGGCTCCGCAGCGCTGCAAGGAGGCGGAGGGTTTGCGGAGGGTTCTCGGCGGGACCTGACGGCCCTTTTCCGGGTTGCTGTTCCCAGGGCAGCTCGGACTCTCAGGGCAGCCAACCAGAGCCGCCCTGCACGCTTCTTGCAGTAGTCCAAGTTTGCGTGCATCACAGGCTTGACAGGCTGACAGGCTGGCAGTACATACTAACTACCTACCTAGGTATGTAGTACCGCACCAATGGATGGCACACGGCACCCGCGACGATCACCCTTGAGATAAGCTTTGGAAGGTTCTTTACAGCTTCTTTCCTGCATCAATTTCGCGGCACCAACACGCCTCGCACGAGCCAGCAGGCACGTTTCGGAACAGAGTGTTTAGATTTTTTTTCTCTCTTTCTTTTCTCCCTCCCTCGACGGCATCTCTCCGTCTCGTGTCTGATCCCAGGGCCCTTCGCTTATAACCTGGAAGTTAGTACGGAGTACTGTGTACAGGATTGAAACACCCAGGTCCGCGCCGTTGTTGGCTGTGCCAGCCGTGCAGCCTGCCGTGCTATATCCTAATCTGTGGATACCTGTCGAAGCGGGAATTTATCGCGATAATTGTGGCGCGATGACGTCCTCTTCGAGTCAGGGTATCCATATTTCTTCGCCCGGTGCCTTTACGTACTGTGGCCGACGGTCCCCATTCTCGACGTCCTCCAAAAGACACATGGTTGTTTGAGATGCACAGTATCTGCGTGGACCTGACCTTTCGGTCTGCTGGAACAGGTACTGACGACATCAGCTCCTCCCTCTGTGCTGCCATCCAGACCCGCTCCCTGGCCGCCGGCGTCAAGTAGACTGTACAATGTCCACTCCGGCCGTCTGCATGAATGAGATCATCTCAACAGCTTCTGCTTCGCGTCTCGCGAACCGAGGACCCCTGCCGGGACAAGCTTGCGGCCCTGCGCACACACGGGCAGAGAGCTCTGCTAAAGCTGGCCGTCTTGTTGGCTTGGGTCTCGGGGGGAGCAGGCTCCTGGCAGAGCATATAAGCGCTCGGGGAACCCACTTCCTGAGGTTGGGCGAGAAGCTGATATTCGTGTGAAGCCTCTGCTATCTGATCTCTCTCGTCGTTCTGCTTCGTCTTGTTGTTGTGACAGAAGCTCCGGAAGCCATCCCCTTACACGCCAGCATCAAGAGCCGTCCCTCCCTTTTGGTACCCCATTCGCCTTCGTTGACAGTTCCCACCATCATGCCTGGCGTCCAAGACTCCGAGGTGGCCTCCAACGGCACCCAAAACCTCCACAAGGCTGAGAGCAAGGCTCAGCATGCCATCCCCATCCCGGATGAGGACGGCGATGGCCCTATCGAGGTCCCGGCCACGCGGTCCTCCGTCTCGGAGGCCGCAAAGTACATGCACAACCTGAGTGTGGTGCCCTCCATGAAGGACCGCAGGGGATCTCGCAACTCCTTTGGTGCCTCGCTGCCCATCCCCAGGAGGCAGTCTCGCCAGTCTCGCCTGTCTTCTGTGCACTACCCAGACCGTGACTCTGCCACCGGCCGCCCTACACGGCCTGGCATGCCACCGATCCAGCCCACCCGCGCTCTGCTTGCGTCTCAGGTCCAGACCATCGAGACCGAGAAGGTCAAGAAGGCCAAGAACATGGCCTTTGCCTTCGACATCGACGGTGTCCTGGTCCACGGTGACCGTCTGATCCCAGAGGGCCGCAAGGCCCTGGAGATCCTCAACGGCGAGAACGAGCTCGGCATCAAGATCCCTCACATCTTGTAGGTTATTTACTCCCCATATCTCTGTTTCCACTCTTCTCCTTCACCCTGCCACAGCCGCTGACATTGTATCAGCCTCACCAACGGTTCTGGAAAGCCCGAGGTGGCCCGTTGCGAGCAGCTCAGCAAGATCCTCGGCCAGCCCGTCCACACCGACCAGTTCATCCAATCCCACACTCCCATGTCCGCCCTGTCCGAGTACTACAACACCGTCCTCGTGGTTGGTGGCGAGGGCTACAAGTGCCGTGAGGTCGCCGAGCAGTACGGCTTCAAGGACATTGTCGTGCCTAACGACATTGTCGCCTGGGACCCTACCATCGCCCCCTACCGCGTCTTCACCGACGCCGAGCGGGCCACCTCCCGCCCCCGGGACTTCTCCAAGATCAACATCGAGGCCATCCTCGTCTTCAGCGACAGCCGCGACTACGCCACCGACATGCAGATCATCATGGACTTGCTGCAGTCCGAGAACGGCCGCCTCCACACCCGGGCCAAGGACCCTGTCTCCCAGCGCATCCCCATCTACTTCTCCCAGGGTGATCTGCTGTGCCCCACCGAGCACCCCACGCCCCGTATGTCTCAGGGTGCCTTCCGCATTGGTCTCGAGGCCATGTACAAGGCTCTTACCAACTGCGATCTGGAGCGTGTCGTCTACGGTAAGCCCGAGCTGGCTACCTACAAGTACGCCGACGAGGTCATGGCCAGCTGGATGGGCGAGCTGCACGGCGAGGAGAAGCTCCCCGAGAACATCTACATGGTCGGTGACAACCCGGCCTCCGACATCATCGGTGGCAACATGTACGGCTGGAACACTTGCCTGGTCCGCACTGGTGTCTTCCAGGGTGGTGATAACGACGAGAACAACCCCGCCAACTTTGGTGTCTTCCCCAACGTCCTCGAGGCCGTCCAGACCGCCCTGCGCAAGGAGCTCGGCGACGACTTCAAGATGAGATTCGACGAGAGCATCAACCCCCTGCACTCGGAGGAGTCTCATGCCGTCGCAATCGAATAAGAGTCAAGCTTTGCTTGCTAGTAGCGTCTTTTTCTTCTTTTTTCCTTTTTCGAAGTTTTAAATTTCATATAGACTGGGTTACTGGCGTTTCAGGGGTTTCTTCGATGTGATGGGCACATCCTGGGGGATTTCCGAGAACGTCTCGGTAGGTGACTGCATCAAGATTCACGGCATAGACACTTGATCTAGAATAGATCCAACATTAGAATTGACGATACCGACAGGCTTGATCTGTGTGCTTTTGAACCCCATATTCTGGTCCAATCAGTGCTCTTTCGTCCAAATACTGAGGTATTCAAGTTGTGCTCCCGTTAAACTGAATCTGCGTAAATCGTGGATGATCTCGTATTCGTTCTCTTCAAGTCTGATTCCCGTACCACGCGGAGCCTGATCTCTGGTTCTGGCTCTAGATTCTTCCTGGCGCACGCAGCGAGACCTTTAATTATCTAGGTACGCGTCTGCCACTCCACTACGTGGTTTTCTGCCACAAACGACATGCCTGAAGATTCGTTAGTCTACACATCCTATTCGATCATTCTTTCAAAACTAATATCGGGATGTACCATCTGATGCCAGCATCGCGGACATGTGTTTTGATCTGAGTGGTCAAAGTGACCACTTCAGCCGAGGACATCTCGCCTGCAGCAAGCAGGAAATTCTCAAGTACTTGAGGCTATCCACGAGACCCGTGTGGAATGCATTGGCCGTATAGATGCCAGTGATCTTCGCACTCTTGCCTGAAGGCCACGTCCCGCCGGGGACATGGATGGTTTCCTCATGGAGATCCACGACCCCGACATCTTCCACACCTCTCGGCACGGGCTTGCTGCTGCTGTCGTAGTTTTTGGTTGAGTTTTGCTGCTAATGTCATTATGAATTTGAAGATGACGGCCGCGGTGACTTGGTGCCCGCCGACAAATCCCACCAAGAACAAATCTGTCATATTTGGTTTCTGATCATCAGCCCTCCAGGCCCGCAGGGCTAGACTCTAAAAGCGATCAACTTCCATGAGAGATCTACTTTACAGCGCAGGCTTATTTGCATAAATGCTGAAAAAGGTGATTTGTGCAGCCCCTATCTGCTCGGCTCCAGTACTGCAAAATAGAACACACGTGTTCAATGGTTCGCAAAGCAGATTGCGACAAATTAAAAAGGCAACCATTCCTTTACTTCTCAGCCACTAGAGAGCAGCATTTATACATTTGACTCAAGCTGAAGCTGTGTAGGTAAACGAATCGACGAAGATGGGCAGTGTTCTTTCAAAGCCGGGTGATGACGTGAAACGGCTTCAGGTGATAGATGCCGGTTATTCGAGAAAAGGGACGGCATCTAAGCAATTGGCACTCGAGAAGGTACTCAATGGACCTTTCATGCACGTTGAAACATATCTCTATGGCGATAGGATGGTGAGGGCAACGCAATTCGATGGCGAACTCGATAGACAAGCAGCAGGCGAACCTAACAGGATGCAGGATTCGCGGAGAAATGGGTCCGCGCGTATGAAGCACGGTAGGAAGGGGACAGGGAGGAGACGATGAAGCTGCTAAGTGAACTGAACTCCGCTTCATCGGCGTGACCGACACGCCTAACTTCGACTTCATCTCTGAGCTTGTCGAGCTGTACCCTGAGGCCGAGGTGGTTTTGGTCATCAGGGAACTGGAGAGTCGGTGGGCGAATATCTCTGGAAACCTGAAGTACGCATTCCCATGGTACTTACCCATACTCACAGCCCCAATGCCTGGGCTGCGATGGTTTCCAAGCATTGCTACTCACTGGCAGAGGATTCAAATGTTGCTAAGGAGGAGATGGACAACTTAGAAGGCCCGCGCGCCAGGGAGCCCCCTAAGTTCAGGTTCGTTGGCTTACTATCCAGGTAGAAGTCTCATTTCGTTGATGCTGACAGATTTGGCGGTGGATTAGACCTCAATCAAGTTCATAATGGAACGGTCAGACGACTTGTCCCGCCCGAGAGTCTTCTTGTCATGGATATCAGCTGGCCGCTTCAAGAGTCTCGCCTGCACGGGTGTGTTGTCGGTTGGGCACTTAACCTGCCCCGTCCGCGGACCTAAAGAGACTCAATCTAGGACACTTGATCACGCTTATGGTAACGTGCACTGCTATTTAACGCCATCTGGCGTCTTGACGGAGACAGAAAGACGCGTCGACCGATTTGAACACACTCTCATATTGATACTATACACACTACGAGCCCTCCATAAATGTGCTGAGATCCATTCTCACATCTGGGCTGACAGTCAACTTGAACTTCTGCAGGATCAACGTGGCCACAAGATGGTTGTAAAGGTGGCCGACGGCCACTGGGCACTCTAACTCTAGGAGCGAATGAGCCGACCTGGCTAGTCCCCTAGGTTTCAAAAACATGGTGCAGAAGCCGGAATACTGATTTGTTGGACGGCATACATCAGTTGCTAGTGCGCATTTCTAATTTGATCGGCGGCTGCGGAGCGGTTGGTGCTATGCGGGCTGACTTTAGTTCGACACAATTTCGGAGGAGGCTGAAATAAGCTTTTTGGGGCAGAGGTTATCGTATTTGGCACTTCAGCTCCGGCTGCCATCAGTTCCAGACCAGGCCTGTGCCAACCAGACTCTTCCCATATCCCGTGGCATTTACTGGACTTTGTTGTACTCGCGGCTCAGCCGTGATATTATGGCCTGCTGCTTCAGGCGAAAAACACTGCATCTATCACTCTCTGATGAACAAACATTTTTTATGTGCACTCTTGCTGTTCGCATGTAGGTCTGCCCCATTCCTGCAAAGAGTCAGTCTTGCTTGTCACCTAAGGACTTCGTTTAGTAATACTAGCGAGGTATCTGCAAGAGCTTATTTTGGTATCAAATAAACATTTGAACTCCTCTGAACCACTAGGAGCAGGGTTAAGTGCAATGAATGTGCATACAGCACAATGGAGTACAGCTATGGTGGGAGGGGCTACCTAGGTATACAAGAAGGATCACAGATCACCAGAGCACTTATACTAGGGATGGCTATTATGCGCATCCCGGGTTTTCAAAATCGGCCACGAAGACAGTAAATAGGTAAAGGCTTTCTGGCAATCAGAAGAAGGAGCAAAATGGTGGGAAATTTCTCAGATTCCTCGGGAAAGGTTGAAGACTTGTTGCTCATTTCAATGTGAAGCTTTATCTGATTTGATATGATTTCCGATTGTGAGTTCTCATACTTTGGTTCCTCCGGGCAAGACTGCATTTCCTTTACCTACGTACTCCATGCAATCTTACTTGCAAGTATCAATGAGTGTCCCTCTTCTCACTTGTGGTCATACGCTGAATTGCATGTGTGCTTCTTACCTACACAAAATTGCTCAGTAATTATTGGTCTGTGTCACCCCCGGCTGCTTCTAAGTAGATCCTAGAATGATAGTTAGACACGAAGTTGAACCACAAATCGCCAAAGCCTTCATGTTTAGGTTCACAATAGCCACATGATGGCCGAGTAGATTTTACCCCGATGGCACTAAGGGACGCAACACTTTGTTGTCAGCAATACAATGCTGTGAACCCAGGTGCCTTTGCTGCATTTCATGTTCGTACGCACACAGGAACACATGATTCACATGCATGAGACCTTTGGTCTCTATATTATATATCCAATTCCCTTAATTTGTGATCCATCGCACAGCGATATTCCTTTCGCGGTGGCTGGCACTTGCCTACTGTTGAGATAGATACTTAGTCCCACCTAGCTTCCTAGAAATCCGGTACTATTTTCTCAGACAATGGGAAAGACCAAATCGACCACTCAATGAAGCTTCTCCTCCCCACCCTCTTTGATCGGCTTCGATGCAGCCGTAGCACCAGTGGTCTTCTCTTCAGGCTCGCCGATGCTGCCGCTCGTGCGCTGGCTATCCTGACCACGGCCAACAACCTCATCTCTATCATCATCGAGCCAGAACTTCTTCTCTCCTTTCGCCAGACGCCTCATCCAGGGAGGCAGGAAGCCACCGGGGATCCGGTACGTCCACGGCTCCTTCTCGTCATAGTTCGGGGGGACGATGCGCCCACGGGTGATCTTTTTGATCACCCAGACAGTGGTGTTGAGCACGATGTAGGTGCACACGCCAGCGATCAGGCCGTCGGCGATCGAGTAGGTGAATGGCATCAGGGCAATGGTGACGAAAGCTGGAATACTGTCGCCGGGGTATCGCCAGTTGATCTCGGTAACGGACTGCGTCATCATGGACCCGACAAGTATCAAGACACACCCTGTAGCCCACGGAGGGATGGATGCGAAAATGGGCGCGAAGAAGATGGAGATGAAGAAGCAGATTCCGGTCATCATGGCCGTTAGGCCTGTCTTGCCGCCTTCCCCAATTCCAGCCCCAGACTCGACGAAGGCGGTCACGGGAGGCGTGCCGAGAAGGGCGCCTATCGAGATGGCGACTGAGTCGACCATGTAGGCAATGGTGGAGCCTTCAAAGTCTTGAGTGACAGGGTCGATCAAGTCTGCGTACTGCGCCATGGAGTAAAGGGTACCAGTACAGTCAAGGATATCGACGTAGAGGAATGTGATAAGGGCCAGGCCAAACTGGCCGCCATATTGTCCAATGCTCCACTCCTGAACATTCAAAACCTTGGAGATCGGATGGAAGCCCACGACCTGCTTGAAAAAGTCGAAGTTGTCGTCACCGATCGGGTTGTAAGGGAAATATGTGGCCGCCGAGGTACGTGGCCAGGAGATGATGGAGACAAGGATGATGCCGTACAAAATGGCACCCTTCACGCGGTAGATGAGAAGCAAACTCGTCAAAATTCCGCCGCAGAAGATGCCGATCCACATCATAGGCGATCTCATTTTCTCGCTTCCTGGACACAGCCCGGTGTCCTTATCGCGAAGGGAATCGATGCAGCCGGCGAGTTCAGTCGGAGTCTCCTTTGCGCCGACAATGAGGCCGATTCCCTCGGAGTATGTCAGGCCGATAAGGGTAAGAAACAGGCCGATACCGACAGACGTGGCGAGCTTGATGGAACGGGGAATGGCTCGGGCAAGCCACTGTCGCATGCCAAACAGTGCGAGGGCAAAGAAGATCCAGCCTTCGACGAAGATGGCCGTCACAGCAACCGAATATGGCACGGTACCGCCGCCGTTAACACCCACAACCGTGTAAGCGAAGTATGCGTTGAGACCCATTCCGGGGGCAAGACCAACGGGCCTGCTCAATGTCAGTCATTCTGAGGATGCCCCAATTCATAAGGATGAGTGACTGACAGGTTGGCAAACAACCCCATACAGAAGGAAGCTAACGCAGAGATTGCAGCCGTCGCGGTGATCAGGTCGCGCTTGACCTCGTTCGAGCACAAGGCGTACTCTGTGTTGTTCGAACATGTCGGGTCGTCTTCGCCACCGTTGCAGACGCAGGTGCCTCCGGTATCCGCGACGATACTGGCGTTGACGGCAATGATATAAGCCATGGCAAAGAAAGTTGCCAACCCGGCGCGCATCTCTGTCAAGAAATCAGACCCGCGTCGAGTCTTGCTATGACCGCTGCCGTCCAGCCGGAACCAGCGCCCAACAGGGCTCTTTGCCACTCTCTCATTGATGAGGTGGGTCAAGCGGCTGAAACGCTTTCTTCCCTCCATGATGCCACGTTCCGAAGCCGTCTTGAGCGTTCAATGTTGACTTTGGACTGGATGAAGTGCTCACGCGAGCAAATCCTGGCAAATTCTTCACGGTGCCGGTCGCGGTTGTGGGACAGTGGCGGCTCCTGTGGAGTAGTGGCGTGTCGAACGAAGCGCCAAGGTGCACGATTTTTTGTCGAATGCTCCTCGATTGTTCCTTCCGACAGGACGACGCTGGTGGCCAGCAAATAGAAGGATGCCGGTATGGATTGTACCAAGCAACCAGGCAACCTGAGCAGTGCTTCCTCGGCAGGACGAGAGGTCCATCTGGCACCCCTCAAGACTTTGTATTTGGCCGAGGTGTAGCACCCGGTCAAAGGTCGACCTCCCCAATCAGTGCCAGCTCCAATGAGCCCCGAGCTTGGCAATCAACGCCATGTCCGACCTTATCTATCCCGACCAGCACATCGATGCCTGTCCGGGGTTGACACCCTTATTTAGTCAAGAGCGCCAAAGGGCTTTGTTCCTCAGAGGGGATTAGCGACCTCTTATCTGGCTTGGCGAAGTGGGTGCTGCCAGGACTAGAGTTTTCCGGACTCTGACCTGGGCCTGGATCCTTCCGTGGCGCTGGCGACGATAAGTGGCCACACAGAAGTTAGAACCAAACCCTACCTGTCCAACACCGCCGAGAGCCTTGTCCCGGCCGACGCCTGGCTTGGTTTGATCACCCCGGATTTGGCTGCCTGGCCAGTGGCCACTGGTGGTAATGACCGGCGACCGCCGTATTACCACTGCGCCTTTCCTTTGCGACAAGGCGGCGACCGGTGGTCAAGATAGGGCTAGGACGTTCCAGAAGCCCAGTAGAACAACCTCGGCCTGACCCGGCGCATGATTGCCCCCTGCCCGGCCTTATATCGGTGTGTAAGCAGTTTTACACATGCTTGACATTTGATGCTACCACACTAGCACACCTGCACATCAGAGGTCGATAACAAGATATGTGATTCTGCAATTCAGTCCCAGCACGCTGGGACCAGCAGGAACCACCAAGGCTGGCTCCCGGCGAGACCCAGCAGGACGGTCGGCACGCCAAAAACCCCATCTGTCTGCGGCTGGCCAAGCCGGCTGCAGCAAATCGCCGCTTCTTCTTGGCGGACACGTGCAGCACTCGGTCCATCCCGGTTTGTAGGCAGTGCAAACAGTTCATGTAGTCCTGGTAGTGTAACGTATTGGGCAGTTATGGTTTTTGGCCCCACAAGCGGTTGCATCTCACAAGCAGACAAGTCGTGTCTGACGGGCTGCCGGGCTGCGATGCCGATCTTTGTGCGTTCAACAGACGTGGCCCGTGAGCCCATCGACATATCAATGGAATTGTGCGTGACGGTGTCTTGCCCTATGGCCCTGTTAGAACTTCATTGTACCGACAGCGAGCAATACCTGGCACCTCGCATGTTTGGCAAGGTTTCGCCAAGAGACCCGCCCAGGGGCAGCGACGTGCGGTCGGGTGCACAAGTGGTGTTGCGCTCGGAAACTGAAACACTGAGGGTGCAACAGACACAGCACAGGAAGGAGTCTTGATGTAGATCCGGTCTCTCGGTCGTCCATACAAGTACAGCAGGAGACTGTTCACGTTGTGCCACCTTGGTCCTATCCTCCTGGACGTGCAAAGGAACAGACAACAGGGCCGTCATTGAACCCATCGAGGCAAACAACTCAGGCCGTTGCGCTGTTGAAGGCAGCCGACACACCACAGACACCATGAACCTGCCATATGCCGTCTTTGCAATCCTGGTCTTTGGTGTACCAATCTATGAGCGTTACGAGCGCACACACTATCCCAACGATGGGATTCCGACAAGGCTGAAGTGGACGGCACAGATGGCCTTGGGAAGCACCACAGCGGCGAACAGCGTGTGTCGCATTTTCTCAGTCATGCGCCAGCGACAAGGCGCAGGAGGGAATTACCCAAATCCAGACGGGAAAGCAGTGTCGGTCGGTGCCAACCACCACTGCTTGGTGCTGGGTGTGACAGTTGGAGGCATATCAACAGCTTATATGCAAGGCTCGTGGGACGAGAAGGACTGGTCTTATGTGCAGGACAAGTCTGACAAGCTTCAACTGTGGAACTGGGGCGATGAATCTGTGGGCGCGAGTGTTGAACAGATAGGACAAGAGAATGGTGCGAGGCGTGAACAGGATGAGGTCTGATCGCGGGCTGGACGCAGCGCGTCAGGGGATCACCGTCGCTCATGAAGTGGACTCGGGCGGTATAGGACCAGCGCCCCGCGACCAGAATCAAAAATTTAACCTAGCCTAATTTGGCACTGCAATACATACCCACGAACACCAAATGTGATCAAGTTTTGGCGGACAAGTGTATCTGCCGTTGGCCGCTGCCTTCGAGCGACCGACCCCACGAGCCGTCAACATGCATCACCAAGACGTCGCCTGGGGGGTATGCTGATACAACCCTAACCCCCAAGCTTCGCCCAGTCTTCGCGTCCGGCCTCGGAACAACCGCTGCCGGCTGTTTGAAAATTTGCAAGCTCCGCCTTGCTCTGCCAGAAACTCCTCGTCTGTGATCGCGTGGCTCCCCAGACCTGTTTGTAGTCTCTGGGCGCGCCCCAACCCAACACAACGCAAACACAGACCTGTTCTGTGTATGACCATAATGAGAGCGGCACGACAATTGATAACATCTCAATAACGTCATTTACTTTCTTTTCCTTTCTCAATTCCCCCAGTCCTCCCATAATGCCTCCTCGGTTACCGTCCCACCCGCTGCAGGCCTGCTGCGCAGAGCTTTCAAGCCTCTCCAGCAGCAGCTCCGGAAGCATCGCGGTCGCCTCGGCGTCACCACTCGAGCGCGCACTTCTCTCCTCCCAATTCCTATCCCTCCCGTCGTCGTGCAGGTCCTTTCAGACCAGCACCAGCCGCCAACGACGAAATGCGCCAATCCTGAAGCAGCGGATGCAAGACTGGTTCAAGAAGCAGGGCAAGGATCTGAAGATCCACAATCCCGGCCAGCCAAATTACCTGCAGAACAGATCGAAAGGCCCACCGCGCCCATTCCCCTCCAACCCCGCGTTCATCAGCCAGCCCGTCCTATCCGAGGAGGCACGCGAATTGATCTGGAACAAGGTCATGGTGAAGTGGGAGGGCGTCAAGGCCGTCTCCGCCGAGCTGGGCGTTGACCAGAGGAGGGTAGCAGCCGTGGTGAGGATGAAAGAGGTGGAAAAGGACTGGGAAGCAAAGGTACGTTGCAGCAACTGGTTTTCTATATGCGCCACACCCTCCCAACCCCGTTTCCTGATGATACACCAAAAAATTCGATTAGTCTTGAAGACAGCTCATAAAACACATGGTTACAAAAAAGCTTTGCGAGCCTCTCTGATAGAAACATGAACCCCACACTTTGTTGACCTCCAGCGACCCGCTTGACATGATGGCTAACGTCATATCGCTCGGCTACAGGGCCAAAAGCTGGCAAAAGTCTACTCCAGGGCTGTTCTCGAGATGGTGCCCACACACAGCTATCCTGAGGACCAGCCAATACAGGCCCTCGAGCCGATCAATGAGATCCACGTGCACGGTTACACGATGCAGCAGCTCTTTGTGCCAACTTCGGAATCGCGGCACTTTACGCGCGAGGATGCGGCAAAGGCGTTCCACCATACCATGCTGTCGCCCGACCAGCGTGTGCCACACCGTGAGCTTGTGGAAATGGAAAGGAGGGTCAAGGACGGAATGAAGCAGAAGGAGAGCTGGGATCTGTTCAAGAAGGAAGCCAAGAAGTCCGAGGACGACAGGGACTCCGAGATCCTCTCCAAGGCAGAGAAGGAGAAGAAGAACACCACGACTATCGCAACAGGCCGATTCGAATTCCGGATCAAGTCAGTCAGTGCTGATGATGTCGGCAAGGACGGTCGCTCTAGGGGAGGTGTCGGCTGGAGGTACGGCATTCCGTTTGAAGACCGGAAGAAGAACCAAGTCAAGATCCCTACCAAGATCGACTAGATATACCTGATGGGAGCAACATATGTACAACAAATTATATAACAACGATGATACGAGCGGCAGGATACCCCCTTGGATGAACAGCGTTGTCATGATAGTGTGTATTTTCAGACTGCGTACGGCGCGTCAGAACTCCTCGCAATGCCGGCTCTATCTACCCCTGAAAAAAAGAGAACGGCCCCGAATGCAGACACCCTCCTTTGGAGCCGTCATAGCCTGATCTGCCACGCGTCACGCCACAACCAGCAGCTTTTGATGCTCCTGCCAGTCAACAGGCCGGTGAACCCCGCCAATCTCAACAACTAGATTCCTCCTAATCTGCCCAATCTCCTCATCAGACAATCCGCACCGCCCCTTGACGAAAGCCTCGACGCCCCCATACTCCCGGCGGATCAGCGCCAGCGTGCCCAGCATAGCTTCAGGTCGAGAGCCAACCATGCGCTCGGCGGCAGCTCGGTCGCCTTTGAGCGGGCCGGAGCGCGTCAGGCTCTCGACGAACTCGGCACGGCGGTGGCCCAAACCCAGGTCAGTCAGCGAGTACTCGTGGGCGACGGCGTCGTCGGGCACGCCGCACAGAGACAGCACGAGCGCGCACAGGACGCCTGTCCTGTCCTTGCCGGCGGTACAGTGCGTCAGGATCGGCGTAGGGGCCTGCGATGCCGAGGCGAGGTGGCGCAGGACGGCGGCGAAGGGTTGTGCGCCGCTGGGGTCAGTTCCGCTCTTGAGGATGCGGTCGTAGACGTGCACGAAGCCCTTTGCTGTTTCGTCAGCCTTGTTTCAACATCCTGGCGGGCTTGGAGCCTTGGATCTGTGAGGCGGGGAGGCCTGGCTCGGCCAGAGAGTGAGGGCAGTGTAGCAGACGAGAACAAGGGGCGGAAGTGCTACTGGGGGATGGTGAGGCTTGAGCTGGTGAGCGAGGGGCTTGGAAACCGAGGACAAGACCACTGGCGACATGAAATATCCAGATCGAGACTGCTGCATAAGGCATCTCCCGAGCAGCCTCGGCTCACCGCAGCTCGGGCTTTGCTGAGCACACACTGCGGCCATGACAATGCAGCTAGATTAGGAGGCAAAAAACACGACATGAAGGTGGCATGCCAACTCACCCCGCCCTCGGCGCTTGAGAAATGCGCATACCGCCTCGCAACAGCCTCAGGGCTGTAATCCTCGTCCAAGAAGACAGGCGCAAAGATCCTCTGGGCGCCGTCCCACTCCCTCGGCTGCCTGCCGCCGAGCTCGGCGTCGTGCTTTAGCTCTGGCAGGGACCGCAGGTCAAAGACGTGCGAGATGCGCAGGGTGTCGCGCAGGACGGCGATGCCGTCGTCCGTCAGCAGCGAGGGCTCGCTGGAGCGGAAGAGGATGCCCCGGCGGATGATCTTGCGCGGCTCCCCATCGCCGTCCTCGCCGCTGGTGTTGGTGACTGGATAGCCGCCGCAGTCGCGGAAGTTGGGGAGGCCTGGGACGTCCACAAAGGGAGGCATTGGCAGTGGCGTAGTGGTTGCTGCCATTTTTGCTGCTATTTTGTGCTGCTTGGCGGGCTGTCTGTCGCGTGAGGATTGGTCAAGCCCTGAAGCGCTGAAGGGATTCGGATTCGGTGCTTGGAAGGGAAGTGTCTTGGGCGAGCCGGCAAAGCTGGGCGAAGGTGGCTGTTGGCGGGAAGGAAGCAGCTGCAGCGGTTGCAGATAAAAAGAGGCAGTTGTGGGTGCGGGTGGGTGTGTGTGGTGGAGAGTCAGCCCATCTCGCTTCCTCCATCGACGGGCAACGCTTGCCAACACAGCTCTCACTTCCCGAGGTCGGCCACTTGAGCAGTCAATGTGCACGGGCGAGTCTGATAACAGCCACTCGGCGCCCAATCTACAGACAAGAGCGCCTCAGCAATTGCGCTGAATGCCCGTTGCGTTGCCCGTTGAATTGTCTTGTTCCCATCCACGACCCCGGCATGTCAGGGCGGAAGCGGAAGCACCCCTGTTCCCCGGGTGCATTGTCGGCTTCTCCCCGCCCTGCTAGCCCCCCTCACCTCCGGTGACAGGCCGGAGCCGGCCTCACCCCCGACCACAACCAAGGTGGAGATCCTCTGGGACATCCCAGCCGTTGCCGCGGCCCTGCGAGTGCTTCTCGAGATCCTGCTTGCACTGGAGCCCCTTGGCTGCGAGCTGCAGGTAGTGACTTGGTTGCAACTATATCTTGTTCAGTAGGCTCAATGATGGGTTCAATCCGGCCGTGAGTTGTCTGCTTTCACCACATCAACTTGAACAGCCGGTAGAAGAGAACTCAACGATGGTTGCTTCACATCTTGCTGAAAGGGACAGTTGACCCCGGTGGAGGGCAGCTGGAACTGGAATCAGTGACAGCCCTGAGGGGACTAAACTATTGGCTGCACTCCTCGTAATTTGAACTGCTTGACTGGCCACCGCCGTGGGGTCGATTCAAACCACATCACCCATGAAAGAACATACTCAGAAACAAATCAGTACTCTCTCGGCCAGCATCCCTCTCACCCCCAACTTGCTTGCAGCTGTGGCAGATCACCAGGCGATGTGCCCCCCCCCCCCTCCAGCCTGCAGGTCAGCCAGCCAACAAGCCCCATGCAGGGGCCGGCAGCCGAGGTCCCATCCACTACAAGGCGCGAAAACTACCAAGTACCTAGCTCCTGCTTTTGCCTTTATTTTCTCACACCTTCCTGGCTGACAAGAGCAACGGTCTACGTACGGGGTACAGTGACGACGCGGCGGTTCCAGGCCAATCAATGGGCGCTTCTCGTCCTCTCCGAAGCTGTTTACGCAGGGGACAAGACTTTCCTAGTAGCCTTTTGCTTTTCCCCTCTCCCCAGGCTGCAGTGCAGATCGCCGTTACGCCATCCCGACGCTCGTGTATGTACAAGAGGGAAGACGGACTTTGCAGCTCCACATCTCGCCTCGCGCCGGGCTGCCCATGAGGTTGAAAGGCATAATGGCGGGCTGATTAGACTTTTGCTCTTGTGTTGGGTGTATAACCTACCCAATTGCTTGGGCAGTTACACATGCTGGCCGTTAGCGTTTGTTGCCTTATTTTCATGACCCGCGTCGTCGGGCGGCCCCCATTCTCAAGGCAGCCATCTCCTTCGTCCCCTTCCCAACCAGCCTGCCTGGGAATCACAGGGCGAAACGAAACAGCGCAGAGCCTAGGCGTGAGGCCAAATTCGCCACTCCGTCATCCCCTCTGTGTTTGGCCACTCCGCCCCTGGCCCAAAACCTGGGCCGGCTACGCCTCGGGGCCAAAAAAGCTGCCTCGTGTCGTTTCTTGTGTGCCCGCGAGACACAGGCCCGGGGTCCTCACCGCCCTCGCGTCCTGTCTGCCCGTGCTACAGCTCGATTGAGCACAGCTTGCGTTGGCTTAGGCCAGTGTGAACCCTAGGGCATCATCTGTGAGTGGGAGTGTGATGTCAGGGCGGGGAGGCCTCAAGGCACAGCGCCCAGCAGGGCCCTCTGTCTGGTCGCTATTCATCAATGGTAGCCTGGGTCACGGTGCCCGTCAGCTCCCCCCCCCCCGGCCCACCTGCGGAGCCGCAACACCAACTGCCGTGGTCATAATGTCGCGATCAATGACGACAGCAATGGAGGCCGGCTGCTGCCCCCCGCGGGTTCCCTTTTTTGGCGCGGGGTAGACACAGCTTGGTCAGAAAAGTAAGCAGTAGCATATGGGAGAACGAGATCTTCGGTATAGGAAAAAAAAAATAGAACCTAGGACTGACTCTATTATAGATAACAACAATGCATGGAACTTCTGCAATGTTTCCCGTGGAACTTTTGTTGTCACACTCGATCTCAGATTGCATCTGGTTTGGCAGGTGTGGGTGTGTGGAGATCTGCAGCACTCCAAGACTTGCATGATGGTGCGCGCTGGGGGAGGGGAGCGAGGGGCCAACCACAAACAACTCCATGATAAGCCTGGAGAGGAAGGCAACTTTCAGGACCTTCTGTGAATGCGGCCGCATTTCCAGACCGTGGAACGCCAGAGGGGTAAGCAAGGGGTCAATGAAACTGCGTGCTTTTTACCCGCCATCTGGGCAGCGTCAAACAAGGGACGGGTCGTGTTGGTGTATAAGTTTATTCAGACTACAATACAGGCCCAAAATTGCGATTCCCTTCACCACGTGCGCCGTTATAAAATGCAAAATGGTATCAAGTTGTTTCCAGCCCCTAAGACCAATTTTTTTCCTGCTCTTTTTGTTCTGACACGAAGCCGGTGGCAGGCGAGGTCGTTGAGGCGAGGTCGTTGAGGTCACGAGAGTCGGCAGGTTGGGGGGGGGGGTGATATCGTGCTGGGGAAAGAGCTGATTGCTAAGGGATGGCGAACCCTCAACAGCCTGGAATTCACATCAGTTCCAACCGTGCCTGTTTTATTCCAATAAAGCATGTGGGAAGGCTCACCATCAAAGGATGTCTCCTGTTGAGCATACGTGCCGTAGAAGAAACCCACCAGCTGTCTGTCCGGTGATGGCTAAGACGAAACCAAGTAGTAGAAACCAGAGATGTTGATTCAGGAAAGGCAGGTGTTTCGGCCTTCCGTTGCGTCGGAGCGTGTGGTCGGACCTCACGCCTAGGTTACGTGGCTCTTGCGCGTTCTATACTCGACGCGGCAATACTGGTCGCGATGTCTTCGGCACTCGAGGCAGCTGGAGTCATACGTCCAGTCCATGGGCCCAAAGTTGCACCAGGCACAGTACCACTTCTTTTCCTGGACGTACTTGGGCCGGCGGGATGAGCTCGAACCATCACCGTCGCGACCGAGATAAACATCGTTCTTGCGGGAGCTGCTGCCGTGAGAGTGACGAGACGAGGAAGACGTGTGAGAGGGCATGATGAGAGACTGTGACGGAACGTGACCTGGATAGTTCCAGTGATTACAAGGAGATCGTTGGACGATTGGTAAGAAGCTGGATTGTTAAAAGAACTCTGCAGTCTATGAGCACTGAAAGTAGGTTCTGGGTAGACTCGTAATCAAGGACGACTTCGATTGGATTTTATGTCTTTCGTTTCTGCGCAAAAGCGTATGCGATCGCAAAACTTCCGTTGAGAAAGCCCTGTTGTGTTGAGTCAAAAGGGTCGGCAGGGCGAACAGTGATGCCGGTGAGCCTCGAGCATGGCTCAGCAAGAGGTAAACAAGCATTCTCTATGTAGACTAAACCAGGGTTGCAAAATCAGTGGGCTTCGCCTGTTGGAAAGGGGGCCTGAAGGGTGATTCTGCCCCACGCCCCGACCTCGCACATGTAAGATAGTCTCTTCTGGAACTCATACAATTCGGTATGAATACAAGCAGGTAGGGGGACTGGGGACCAAGGCAACGGGTTGTGGTCAGGAGGCACATCAGTTCGTTTCCGGAACCAGTCTAAGCCCGCCGCCCACCTCAGGGCACCCGAGGAAGGGCTAGCCGGCACTCATGACCGTCTGCCTTGCGAGCATTGGGTGCCAATTGGCGACGGCCAGGGCCGAGGCGGGAAGGGAAGTCGAGCAAGTACGTAGTCCTTGGTAGTCCTTGGTAGTCATTCGTGGGGACGCAAAGTCCACTAATGCAGGTACATGAGCAGACAACGATCGCCATTGATGACAATGGCGGATGAGGGACAACCCTAGGATAGGGGTCCCAGGACGAGACACCCTGTTAACCGACAGCCGTCGGTCAGATGTCGGTCGTAATGGCGATGTAACTTGACGATGGACTATATTGGCGTTAAGGGTGCGAGTGTCCCTTGGAGCCTGAAGGCTGGTGTTCATCCTCTCGAATGACGACGGGCGTCTTGGCATGGGCGAGAAGGGGGCGCGGCGTGCTCTGCCCAAGTCCACGACACGGATTCGACTAGGGTGACTGAGGCACTGGGTGCTAGGCATCGTGTTTTGCCCACTGATTGCGTCAACTTGGGACAGTTTGATATCCGTCACCTCACCACGTGCAGCCTTGAAGGGGTGGGTGGAGTTCACTATTAGGCATGTGAGTCAGTAGGTCTAGTTTGATGAGTAAGGTAAGAAACAGGAAATCAAGGCAACAGAGAGAATAGACGGTCTTCGCGGGAAGAGAAATGGAAAAAGGATGCTTGGGTTTCAGCTCCGTCAGCACCTCCGCTGTTGCGTCAGCTGACCCGGTGCAGAGGGTATCGACAGGCTGGGAGGACAGCCGAACCAACGATACTTTCGCGCCTCAGAAAACTTAGGAAAGAAAGACAATTCCAATTATGAAGAAGAAAAAAAAGGCTGGCTTTTTGCTTGCCGGCAACGAGTGTCCTGGTCATGGTCCATCGGGCCGAGAGTTTTCAAAGGGTGTGTGACCTATTGTGACAACCTTGGACGGTGCGCAGACCACGCAGGCATTTGGGTAGGCAACCGGCCGCGTCTTGTGGAAGCCTAAAAAGAAGTTTCCCCTGAAGATGCTCCTCCAAACCGAATATGGATCCTCGTAGCAAATCGCCTCACAGCAGACCTTCAGGCCTGGCTTCTCCTAGCCCCGTCGAGGTGGACCTGTTCTCCTAAAACGGCCAAAGTGATACAAAGCTCGTGTGCGAATTTGCGCATTCGCGATCCTGTGCACAATCTTTTAGTCCAACTTGCCGCCCTCCCTGGTCGAATATCAGGGCGGTCACACCAAGTACTGGTGGTGGTTGAGGGGCAACCGCAGCAGAACCGCCTCGGACCTCAATTTGATGTCAGCCTATGGCGAGGCTGCACAACGCTCGATTTCACATCTTGGGCACTTTGGCAAGCCTTGCTTGCATCCGCCCGGGCCCAAGCGAACAGAGCACTCGCATGTTGCTGCAGTCTCGTGAGTCGCAGCCGACGTCCAGGGCTGCCATCAACACCATGAGGCACCGCCACTGCTGAGCCCCCTGACACCGCTTGAGGCCAGAGACCCCATCCGCATGGGAGGCTTGGTCGAGCTGAAACGCAAGCCAGTCGTTGCACCATATCTTCTGCGGCGTTGAGGATGGATGTGACAAGCTCGGGCCAGAATCCCGGAAGCAACTTGGAAGCCAGGAGCTTCGCAGGTCACGTGAGGCCGCAGACAAGACGTCTGTCTCATTGAGTATTGTAAGGGCACCCCATTCGATCTGATCCGAGGTCGAGGCTGTCTGGGTAAACAGAAAGGGTGGAAGGGGTGGCTATGGTGCCTGCTGCTGCTTCAGCTCGTGCATGTCACGACGCTCTGCGTCCCCCCCTTTGGGGACACATGCCCCCGTGCACCGCCGGCGCCAAAGACATCTCAGAATCGCTGGTTTGAACGGCTTGGTCTCGGGGCTGAATCCAACAGCGACCCGTATTTTCTTGGATGGCCTACGGGATTGTTGTCGGCGCCGGTTTGTCAGGATGGTTGATGACAGCGAGCCGGGTAACATTTGAAGGCTGCCTGAAGGGGGACGGCTGACGGCAACAGCGTTTCCCCTCTTTTTTTTTTCCGCTTTCGCGGCTAAACGTCGGACCTCAGCTCTATCTAATGCACACTCCTGGCTCAAGTTGCGCATCGTCACAAATACCTAGGTACCTACTATCCGGCAGATGTGACGCGGCTTTGTACTGAAGGCATTCCAAGTTTCCCCACAAAACCAACCGAGCACTGTCAAGATCATGGCGTCTCCGAATGATGTGGTGACCTATGCCTGCGAGGCTCCAGAAGATCGCGGCCTATGTGAATCACTCCAGGCTGCGATGGAGCTTCAGGTACTAAGTACTCACACCCACTCGTTGGTGCCGTGCCCGGCTCCTGACCGCCTGGCTGCCTGGCTGCCTGAGCGAAGACAAGTCAGGACGACACATAGATTTGTGCGGTTCGGCGGGGCCGATTCCTCGACCTCCATGCGCGGTACCTAGGTAATCATCGATTGCACTGGTCGCTGAGTGGCCAGGATCCGACTGCTGCGTCATCGGCTGCCCGCCGCTGCATCTGCTGCAGGTCGCGCCTTGGGTCTCGCCGTAAATGGAACAGGTCGCAGGCCGGGCACGGGGGTGTGGGGAGAAATACGGCTAATAGACGGCAGCCAGCGCGTCCCATCACCATGTGTTCACGTGCATTACTCTGCGCAACTCACTGTCCTCTCGCGTGAAGCAAGTCGATATTCCTCCCCTTGCTCTCAACATCTTCTCTCCAGTGCAATCCACTGTGACATGACATTATTTAGGTAAGAACTATCTGTAATACTAACCCGCATTAATAAAACTGGTCTAGGGTAACCGTCGGTCCTGAAGTCGCTACACAAGCCGCTCAACCCTTTCAAAGTGTCCTTCTTCCCACGAGTATTTGACGTGGTCGGCCCCCGGGCTGGTACTCGTTCGCCGTTGAGCCGACCGTAACTACGGTGCAAAGCCTTTTTTCACCGCAACTTTGCCTTACAGGCAGGGCTTTTCTTTTTGGGCAGATACTGAGGCAGTGCCATCACAGTTGCTGCCTCTGAGCTAGCTGTTCATTTCGTGTGACAGCATGTGAAGGACCCCCTTCAACGCCGTTGGGCCGTGCAGTTGCCTTACCACGGCTTGGCTGGCGAACATTTGAAGTCAAATCTGCGACTGCGTCCGTGCCGTTAGAGTACACTTGAAATTGTAAAATGCGAGGGTTGGCTGGAGCCGCCCATGCCATGGTGGTGGCTTAGACGTCTCAACTTCGCCCGTTTTTAATACAGAGAAGTCCCAGGCTGTTCGATGAGTATGATACAGTCCATGCCCTTCTGAGCTTTCACTTGTGTGTGCGGCTGGCGATCCCACTCAGCTGTCATTAATATCTCGAAGGCGCTGATTCTTATGGGTGCATGATTACAGATGTCCCACGGGGTAACAGAACAAAATACAAATTGCCAATCAGATCTGGCGGTATTGCTGCCTATTGAATGAGAAAGAACCAGATTTGATTTAACTTAACTACTTGTAGTCGTTCATTAACTGCCCCTTATACAATACAAGAGAAACGAGAAGTGATGAGAGAACAAGAAGAGAGAAAAAGACACAGGGCGTGTCCGATATTGATAATAAACAGCCCAGTGTTAAACGACAAGAGGAGGGTGAATAGCACTTGAGGCCACTGAAAAGGGTTTTGCGCATGAGCAACACGTGCTAGAGCACGAGGCCAGGGATGGCAAAACTCTGATATCAGAAAATACAGAGTTCCTGTGTTTCACACCGGCACCTTAAAAGCACTAGGTCAGGGTATTGCATGTAAGATGCCAAGATGCCAGTGACTTCGCAGGCACAGACTGACTTTGCAATCATCTCACACGGTCAGGGTATACGGTAGTGTGGTAGGCGACGCCTTGCAGCATTTAGTCAGCGGTTAGAACACAAAAGACAGTGAGTGATTCAGCCCCGTAATAAGACGAGACATGTGATCCCTTTTTCCTTTTTGTTTTCATTTTTTTTTTGGGGGGGGGGGGTGTCGAAAATGTGTCTGAAAACTGCTCACAATTGCTGCACCTTTGAACGCCACAATTGTAGCAGGCGACGTTGTTGAGTGAGTTGCCGGAATTGTTACAGTAGCACTATCGAAGAACAGTCAATAATACATCTCTCATAGGGCTTTAGAAACTCCCGAAGTCTTGTACTCACGCATGTCCAAAATGTCACGACCTCAGCTCGGGGGGTCGAAGAGTGGCCACCTTTGGAGGATCGGTGCTTGGAGGAGCTACCTGAGTGCTTGCCATTGTGTTTGTCATGCGGCATTTTGACTGTTTCTTCGGCTCGTCTGATGTATCCTTCGTGGATAGTGGAGAGTTACAAGATGGTGGTGCTGTCTGTTAATGATGCAGGTGTTTTTGACTGATCGTGAAAGAGTGCAATGGCAACGGGGGCTTTATACAATTTCGCAAGGCAGTGTCATAACAGTGACTACTCCAGTCACAGGCCCTTCGAAGTCCAACAGCCACCCTGTGAATGCCTTGTCGGCAGCATGAAAGGAATGAGAAATCGCAAACGCCCTGGACCGTTCGCCCTGCTGTCATAAGCAACCCCTGGGGAAGGAAGGACAACGCTCTCGACCGACATTTTGCGGGAACCCTGTGGGCCTTGCCCGAACCAATGATCAATTCCAGGTCAACAATACCAGACACAGCTCGTAAACTACCGAGCGAGAAAGAAGAGAGGCTTCCCGGGCCGGTACCCTGGAACAAGAAAAGGGTTCAAGAAGGTAGGGAGCCTTGGAAGAAAGGGCGGCGCCCCTTTCTTGCCCAACGCCCTTGCGATCTCACACCAAAGAGCAATCCTACCCATCGCTCCGGCGCCCTGGAAAGGCGTTAAGAAATAGTGACACGGACTTGAAAAATATGCCCTGAGGCGTTCAGATCGAATTGTAGGATTGGATAGCAATGACTGAATTTTGGGTAGAAGCAACACCGCCGGCATCGCCTGGGCCTAGAGGAGGTCACGAGGGTGAGGCGCAAGCAAGAGAAGGAGGCTCAAGTCCCCTTGCACATTCGCCTCAAATTCAGAGTGCACGTGCGTGTGTGTGACGCTTCGCCTGCATCAAAAGTGCACTTTCCAAGACCTGTTGCGTATGGAAGTGAACGCCGACGTTGCAACGGCTGTTCTTGGTGACAGCGAGACAGGTTCGACTCGAAATAAACTCGCTCAGACTCCCAGAGCGCTCACGATTATGGACATGATCGGTTTTGCGGTTCTTGGGCATGAGGCAATTCACACAGAAGAAGCTGCAAAATGCGACGAGAAATGCGATGCCGGTTGAGAGAAGCCTGGGTTGACAGGTTCGAAGGTAGATGAGTCGTACAAATGAAATCTATGCTGGTAATGAACGTAATTTAAGAAATCTCGCGGGGTGACCCGCTGACAATAAGGGATCTAAAGGACCATTAAGGACAAAAAGAAAGCAATTGACAATCCGCCAACGAAAAGATTGACCCTTCGCCCATCTTGCGCGACCACCAAATCCTGAGATCCGGCATTCAGGACACTTCACGGGAAGAAAACCATGTCAATTCTTCCGGGGTCTGATTTCTCGTCTTCCGAATGTTGATTAGCAATGTGACATCCAACTCCGGGACAATCCGCATACCTTGAGATGGGTTACCTGCCGGTGACGCTCTGCGCGTAGACCTGACAGTAATGACAACGGTGGCGGCCGCAATTGGTACAGGATGGAGTAGTTTCGTAGAGCAATGCTCCCATTCCACAGCCGCACTGGAATTTTCCATGAATTAGTCGCAAGCTGGGAAGTGCTTGTATTATCTGGAGGAGTCACTTACACAATCCCAAACTGTCACAGTGCGTCTTGCAGGGCGAGCAGGACGACGGTGGTTGGAAGAAGAAGAAGAAGAAGAAGAAGGCATCTTGCTCAGGTATATGAGAGTTGTCGGAGGGTTGAAACTTGGAAGAGTGGTAACTGAACGGGTAATTTAGTCGATGTTGGGAATGCTATCGAGCCCACTATCACTCATGAACCAAGAAGAAACAAAAGACTCTTTATAGTCTGTGGGAGGTCAGTATCACCTGTAGCCTCATCTGACGAGACAGCCTAGACAGTCCAAGGCACACTACCAAAGTCTCTGTCCTCCAAAGGGATCCATACCCAAGCCCCTTACCCCCACCTCCTGAAAGTCCCTCCCATGGCACAGGGCCACCGTTGAAGAAGGAGTTTGCCGGTGAACGGTACCAAGGCATCAACATCGAGCGAGTATATCTCGAGGTGGGGGAGTCAGCAACACCGTCCTGCAAGTCGCAAGACTTTACCAGCCCGGTACCGTCCTCTGAAGGTAAGCTGGTAGTGCCCGGGCTGGTTTCTAGAAGGGCCAAGTACCGGCACCTGGGATCCTTCCATGTGTGTCCCTGCCACCCTTTCTAGCAGGTCCGTTACAAGGGACCGTCAAAAGCCGCAGCAAGACCCACTCAAGGTTGTCCGGAAAACAAAATATAGATGCCTGAACCGTAGACAAACAGCCCTCAAGGGCGTAGAATAGTGCCTCCTCATCCGATCGACATGGTGTGCTGTGTGAGTGCTTGGGGGCGGCCGTTGTTTGATTCAATTGATGGGATGGGATGGGATGGGATGGGGAGGGATTAACTAAGCTCAGCCCCCACATTTTCTGGATGGAAGAAACAACGAGGCGATGGCTATTATTCATCCTTGTTCGCACAAAGATGCCTGAGTGTTCCGGCGTCTGGGTTGGTGAGGCCGGGACCGACGGGCTAACCCAGAGCCTTGAAGCCGTAGGATTCCAGATGCTGACGAACGCACTTGAACGGTCCAGCCTCACCATCATTGGCATATCAGTGTGTAAGTCGAGACTGGCGAACCAAGGCGCACATCACGGCCACCTCTGCCTTCTCTATCGCCATGGCGGTCCATGGCGGTGCACACTAGTTGAATGCTGCGGCGGGAGCACAGGATGCCTGGCAGTTGTCGTCATTGGGGCGGCCCTGTCAAATCACCAGATAGGTACTCGCCGTCTTTGGCGGAAGCCATCACTCCATCGTCAGGGAAGGCCGTGAGCAGCCAAGGCCTCGAATATGGGCTGCCGAGGTCTGTGGCGTGGAGAGACTTTTGCATCCTGCTAGTTGAAGTGCCGCCAGAGTGATTTTGAAGTCCGCCTCGGCAGCATCGAGATTCTGTGTCGTGCCACCCCCAAATGCTGGCACCGTTGATACGAGCAAACGGCAACGACTGACGGCCCGTCCCAGAGGCCTGGCTCAACCACTCGGTGCCGCCCTTTCACTCCCGACCGAAAAATGCGAGCATTTGCTCTTAACAGACATGTTCTTGATTAGGAAATCGGTCGCTGACGTTCCCACTGGCTGAAATAAACAGAAGAAAGGTGTACTACAAAAATATAACAAGCGTTACCCCTCCGCGGCAAGTCATCCCTCGAAAGATGAAACTGGCCCCATCTGGGTGCGATCTGTGCCTAATTATAAGAGCTTGATCGTGAGAAGAGTGTGCCTGAAGGTTTGGTGCTCCGATGGCCCCCAAACCACACGAGTTGCAGCGCCTGGGTCAGCTACTCAGCTCTTCAGCTGGTTCAGCTCCAGCCCTACCGGGCTGGCTGACCCGGGTCGACCTCGGCAACATTTGGACCTCGACGACAGCAGCCTGTCCGAATTTGGATTGCGCAAGGGGCCGAGCTAGCCCAAGAGAGGCTGTCCTGGCTGTGCACCTGTTGCAGCTCTTGCCGCAAGCAAAAATGTGGACGAAGCTTTGCCTGGGGGTGGGTGGAGGGAAGATGCTGCTGCAGCACGCCAAACGACAAGACCAAGGGACGGGGAGAGGAAGAGAAGTGCGTGGCAGTCTACGCCGCCCGTGGATCTCCCGTGCTACTCATCATGACCTGAAAGGAGAAATGGAAGAAGACTCGGGGCCTTTCCCCTACACTGTGAGCCGCTCGACCGCGTGATGTGGTTGACCCCTAGAGGGCATGTAGACCAGTACGCCTGAGTCGGCAAGCACAAAAGCACGAGGAATAGTGGACTGAGGAAAGAGATGTGTCTTCGAGGGCACTGCGGAAGACTTGGAGCAGATATACATCGACTGCAGCTACGCAAACCAGTCGAGGTCAGCGTGGAGATTATTGTTTGTCCTTGGTGGGCGGAAGCTGAAGGACAGAGAACGTCGTGACTGCATCCCCGACAAGGCGAGTTGCAAGTCGTCGGTCGACTGGGTCGGCGTTGAATCGATGCCAGACAGCGTGGCCTGCCCACAGCGTGCAGCTGGCTCTATTGTGAGGGTCCGTCTCCATTAATAGGTAGGTAGTGAGTGGAAACAGTGGCGAGCTGTCGCGCGCCAACATGGCGGGCGGTTGGATAGACAATCCAGGGCCAGCAGCCAGGCAGTCAGGCAGTTCATCACCAATCCCTCTAGCGCCCGCCCAATTTCGAGCGGGGCTTCCAAACCAACCAAGCCAACCAGGCGGCCTTTCCCTTCTTGCCCAAGCCCCCACGTCATCGCTGTCCATCGCGTGCCTGGATACCAGGGTACGGACGCCATCTCCTCGAGCTATTTGCTACCGCGAGCCAAAACTTGGATCAACTTGTTCTTGTTATTCCAGGACCATTCTTTGTCTGCGGTGCGGTGTTGTTATATCTTTCAATCGCTCCCGCACTTGATCGACTTAATCACCATCAGTCACCCACAAGCAGACGTCTCCGAACAAATCATCCTCTCGGCCCAGCACATAGGAGGCGGCGAGGTACTTAGCAGTAGCCCACAGAATCGCTGCATCTTCCATCTTGTCGCGTATAGCACGAGCCTAGACCCCATCAAGAGACACCGAAGCGGCAGACAAGAGACGCAGGCAAAAGACGGAGGCAAAAGGCTCAGACAACGTCGCGCAATACAACAAACATTTTAACCAGGAAAAGCTTGGCAAATAAGCGTCAAGATGGGCCTGATCTCAGCAGGCCTCGCCTACCTCGTCTTCTCCGCAATCCACATCGTCCAGTTCGCACTCGCCATCACCGTCTGCGCCCTCTATGGAATCGACTTGAGCCGGGCGAGCAAGGCAGGCGTAGACGCCGACAGCAAATGGGTCTACGCCGAAGTGGTCGGTGCCTTGTCCGCCGTCACCGCCCTGTTGTATCTGGTACCCTTCATCCTGCGCTTCTGGCTTGTCTGGGCCTGGAACCTGGTCCTGTTCATCCTATGGATTGCTCTCTTTGGGGTCTTTGGCAAGATGTACATCAACGAGGACGCTGAGGGCGACAAGGGTGTGCAGCGCATGAAGAACGCTGTTTGGGTCGACCTCGCCAACGCCATTCTGTGGTTCCTCACCTTTGTCGGTGCTGCTGCATACTGGTTCAGCCACCGTGAGAGGCACAGCCGCTTCACCGGCCGCGCCAGGGTTTAGGTGACTGACAAGTCCCGTGCCCTGCCCTGGTCATGCAGCAAGAACGAAGAGCGCAATCATAACGTCGAGGCGAACCCGTTCGGTACGCCGCCGCCCGCCGGGCAGGCCGAGAGCTTGGATAGTGCGGTACGCTGCCGCAGGAGGGCCGGCGAGCTGGAGAGGGAGGAGGGGGTGATTGGTGCGAATCGAGCGTGATTGACCTGTTCTTGGTTCAGTTCTTGTACAAGTGAATCTTGGGTTTTTGGGTTCTAGTAGGCATGTTGCAAACGACAGGCGCGCTGCTCCACGATTGATACCACGCCCTCGGTCTGAGGGATCAGCGTTTGATTTCTTCTCTCTGCAAAGATATCCAGATACCACCAACCGCAACTAATACTTGAATTTTTGTTCCAACATCAGAGGTCCCAAACTGAGTGTGATCGGAAGACTTGATGATGGCGCCGTTCTCAAGATCTCCTGTCTCGCAGGGCACATAATCTCGCCTGAACAAGGCAACATTCCCTTAGCAATCATGTGCGACAGCCGCCTCCTCTTGGCCGTCCGTCAGATCGAAGCTTGTGAAAAGATCATCGTCGAATTTTCCCCCCTCGCCAAAAAAATCTGTTGATCGACACGACCTTCGACGGAGACGCAGCTTCCCGTCGAGTCCCAGGCCAAGTTTTCCGTGTGGTTGGGCAAGGGTCACGGCTGTCTACACGTCCCACTCATCTACCGGAAGATGAAAGAAGATCTTTACCCACACGGCCAACAGGCAGAACAACAACTTCTGCCCATATATTCCCCGAGATCTTCGAAAACTTTCGCCCAACACTGGGCCGCCAGAACTACCACTCATTGCGGGCACCTGTCAAGGGGCCTGCTAGCCTGCTAGCCTGCTAGCCAGCCTAGCTCGGCAAATCGCACTGACGTCACCGTACAGATTAATCCCGTGCAACGCCGCCCAAAGCTTTGCCAGGCTCCTCTTTCACGCCGCCCAACTGCCAATTCGCTCAAGATTTTACGACAAACACCTGGGGAGGCAGGGAGGGAGGAGTATGGTCCAAGCCCCCACAGGTTTGTGACGGAGCCCCTGGCCTGCACTGGTTACGTTGTATCGTGTTTCCACGATGGGATAAGTGCTCGGCACTTGACGCGCACTTCTCTGTTGAGGTCGCGAGACACGGCTGGGACACGTCTGGGACACCCCGGAAGCAGTCACCTACGATTTGGTTGGGCGGAAATAGCGATCCGAGACATAAATTCCTGCCGTATGGACAAAACAATATCAAGCAAGGTAAAGAGAAAGATATCGGCCAGAAACTGGAAAAGCGGGATGCCTACCGTGTACTCCATACTCCTCAACTCTACGGCGATCGACCATTCCACGCGTCGCTAAGCCATCACACAATCGGCAGCCTGGCAGCCTAACCTCATAACAAAAATAACCCCAGCGCATGGCGCGGCCGGGCACCGGGGATAACACTGGGCCCGCAGGGCTCGTTTCTTCTTGTTGTTCTGGGGCTGCGACGACCGCCGACGGGCGGCTGGTTGGCCAGCGGCAGGGCGGCAGGGCGACAGGGCGGCCGTACTTTCTCCACCCGTGGTGGACTGCCCGCATAACCGGTCGGTCGGTCGGTCGATCGGTTGGTCGGTCGGTCGATATCCTAGGCGCCCTGCTTTTCTCTTTTGTCATCGGGGGCTGTGTGGCCTCCCTTTCCATTCCAGGAGACTGTCACCTCGACGGCAGCGTGTCTTGGATCCTTTCCTGATTCTTTAACACTGGCTGTCCCGTGCCCTACACACCGCAGTTTTTATGGGCACATTTGGCTATTTGGGCGGGCAAGAGGGCGGGAGGGTGCGGTGTCTTGAAGTGGGCTTTGGTTGGTGACGCCGGAGCCACAGGGCGGCAGGGCGGCCGTTCCCCAAAGAGCAACCCGTGGAGCTGATATGAGATTCCTAGGTACCTAGGTACCTAGGTATCTAGGTAGTGAGGGATCGGCCTGCTGGGCGTCCCGCTAGTAATCGACAATCATGCTATCCCTTGACCCTCCAGGGTCCTCCTACCTGGTACCTAGCCGCGGGTGCGTGCTCCATCGCCCCTGCTAGTCTCGCCTGTGTGTCTAGGTTCGGCTCCGGTGCCAAGAGAATCCTTGTAAGCACCAGGAAGGCTGCTGTCAGTCCAGCACTCAGGGACCTCTTGCCAGAGGCCATTGTGGGACTTTCCTGGCCGCTTGTCAGGGCCGAGGTTGGGATGGCCCTCTCGAACAACCAGCCTCTTCATCGGCCTTCTGGAAGATTTCAGGCGTAGTCAGGAAGGGGGGTCGGTCGTTGTTGGCCAGGTCTGGTTGTTTCAACTTCCGACGAGCGATGATGGAAATGTGACGCGCTGATCTCTTTCTGAGGGCTCTTGTCGCTCATCTTACTATTCTGGTAAAGATGTGCTGCCCATTAGCGCGGGAGGTTGAAAGAGAGAGGCACACTGGCACAGAGGGCCAGAAGGGTGTGGTCTCACTGGGTCTTCTCGATAATGTTTCTTTCAGCCTCCCATCATGGCTTCCCCGACTCAGTCTGATGACAAGCTTCAACAGTGCGGATGGTCCGCGGGCGAATGAATGCAGGACTGCTTCGTTGTCTGCGGCGAATATGTTTCGGGCTGCTGGCGCACGTTGAGGGCCAGAGGGGGCGGTAGGCTGCCCCAAATGGTACGCCTGCATTGCATTCTGCGGTCCGCGGTAGCGTTGTGATCTCCCCGTCTCCTCTGTCTTCTGTCAAGGAGGGGGGGTCGATCGTTGATTGTTGTATCTGCCCATTTTGCTGCTGGTGACGGTCTCTCTGGTCCGAGTGAAGGTCTTGAGCAAGGGCAATGTTGGTTTTAAACACCAGACGCCGTCTCTCCTCTGATGGCCGAGATAAGCGTGGAGGAGGCCCCACTGTTCTCGCAACATGGTCAGATGTGTTTTGAAGCTCTCCCCATCGTCTTAGTCAGGCACAGAGGCATCTGTATATCCCTCACCTTTAGTCCACCGTTGCTAGGCCTGGTCGCCGCAGCTTCGGATCCGGCAGGCTGCTCAAGTAGCCCGGCACTATAGTGTGGTGTCTCGTTACCTCGATACCTACCTTCGTACGGAGTACTTCCATGGGGTACTTCCACGGAGTACTTCCACGGAGTACTTCCCTAGGTTTTCAGTGTGCAAGGACGACCCACCGCGCCATTGGAAAGGAGGGGATGAGCGGCGGCCGGTACGTACCTCCCATCCATCCACATCTACTGTGTACTATGTAGCAGAGGGCGACTTCTCTTTTAGTCGACCTGCCCAGCTTTCCACCCGCAGCATTCATTACCCACACCAAAGGCGCCGTGTTGGTACAAGTACTGAGTCAGTCCAAGGCTGCATGCACCTTTCCCTCGACGCCCCATGCGAATCAAAACACACAACCGCAACGAAACCAGCGACAACCACAGCAACAACCAGCGACAACCAGCACTCCAGCAAGAGGAGATATCCACAGCAGGTTCAGAATCTTCCGATACACGGCTCATACTCACGGGACCTTTTGCGGATGATAACTGGGCCTGGGTCACAGCGGGCCGAATCGAAGATCCATCTCCTTTGAACCACCCGCGCATCCGCCTGTCTGTCTTTGGTGTGCCCAAAGGCTGCAGTGAAGACTCAGAAGACCCAGGAGGCAAGGAGAGTAGGACCACCAAGACAACACCTCGACCATCGCAACGCGCCTCGGTTGCCCGCACTATCTCGTGCATTCCAACATACGGGCCAGTTGGCCATCACACCTGGGCTCCCAACCCACTCCACCATCGAGTCTGGCTTGTGGGGGATGAACATCAGTCGTCTGTCGGTTTTGCCCATCAGGAATCGACGCCGTGACGCTCATCAGGCGGCTCCCAGAAAGGCTCGGCCGGACTGTGACACCTGTTCCAATTAAAGAGCCCCGGTTGCTGAAGCTCCGCTCCATCCTGCGTGCTGAGCAAGTTGTCTTTGTTGTCGCCGCTGGGGCATTCCTCGTTGTCGTCTGCAACTTCTCTGCGCTGCGGTGGCGAAGCAGCCCACAAAGCGAGGGCGATCGCCAGAGCTGTCGTCCGGTCAGCAAGCTTGCAATTTCGACGACGCCGATATTCGTGGTCTTTCGTCCACAGCCGGTCTTCTGTGACCCCGGCCAGACCAATGGTCGATTGGCCCAGCGGTTTTCGGAACACCGCCGACGTTGATAGCGGCTGAAGCTTAAATTGAGCTCCACACTGGCGCACACTGTCAGTCACCCTCTGCTACCGTGGGATCGTGGCAGGTCGGCACGTGCAGCTTGTGCAACACGACAGGATCCCCGGAATCTTGAACAAACTCTATTCCAGTCCCTTCTCCGGCCTTGCTCTTCCGGCGCATTGATCAGATCGCCCTGCAATCGGGCGAGATCGAAATCAGGGCAGATCGAGATAGGCTAACTCGGTTCAACTTCTTGCAGCGCTCAGAACTCTATCGGGGAATCGGAGCAGCCAGTCTGCCGCGTTTGGACGAGGGCGACGGAACCGTTTCCACGGACTTCTTTGGAAGCCACAGCAGAGATAAACGTCCTTTGCCACAATGTCGGACATAGACCAGGCTGGCCGCACACCGGCCATGAAGCCGTTTTCCTACACGGCTCATGCGGCCCAAGAACAGAGACCACGCGGACGAGCCGGCTCGAATTCGTCTGCGTCCTCCGCCACAACGACTGCCAGCACCAAAAGCCACGACCAGTTTGTCTTCTCACCACACCAGACCCCTGCGTCTGAAAAGGAGCCCTTTTTCTCGCATCAAGAGTTCTCGAGCCTAAATAACCCCCGAACACAAAGTAAGTGCGAAATTCAATTCCTGCATCGGGTCGTCAGATCAAACATGACGACCGAAGAGGGTTGCTTTGGCGTGCTGCTCGGAAGTATTGCCGCGGCCGCCATGACAAGCGCCATCACCAGGATGCTGCCGAGTGGTAGCATCGAGGATCATTACTCATTAGTCCTGCTGGCTTTTTTGGACAACGGCCGAAGAGTGGGACTCGCGCCAACCATCTTGTATGATGCATGGTAGCGGCACGGCGGGTCGGGCGCTCTGGCAAGTTTCACTTCCATGGTGCGGTCGCACGCGTGCCACCGGCATCACATGAAGATCACCACCACCACACCACGCCAGTCCAGTCAGGGTCCTCGAAACATTCCGCCACGTCTTCGTCACATACACCACACAGGACAGCGGCGATTCAGGGCAGCGCCCTCGTGGACCCCACACGCGGGTTTTGGGGCCACCCTGACATGCCTGGGAGAGCGCCATTCCCGCCGGGGGGTTATCGCGGGAGGCCGGTCCCGCACTGCTCCCGTGGCAGGACAGGGGATCGTGGCCTTGAGCGGCAAGGGCGTCAGCAACAACGGCCACTGCATTGCGGCCCATGCGGTCCAACCGGCAAGCGTCCTGCAGGACGTCATCACACAAAGTCCGCCCAGCGATGCCCACATTCACGCCATCCGATGACCAAAATCCTTCATGCATTTCCTCGACTTAGACCAAGCCCTTCATGCACCTGCACACATAATACCAATTGGCTGACCACGCCTTTTCTTTCTTCTTTATGCAGGCGTTCCCTCGCAAACACACGACACACCTACTTCGCATCTCTCCTCTGAACCAACACATTCCGCCACCTCTCGCAGCCGACCTATCGTGATCGAACTGCCATCGTCCTTACCGAAAAGGCCCAAAACAGGCTCTGCCTACACACCAATCCCGCCGCTCTCTGCTCGCGGTGACATCTCAGGGTATGTTCTCCACCCCGACCCATCCCCCACCTGCGGCTCCACGAGTCGTTGAGGAGGCGTGGGCAGGCGGCACGGGACGACAATGAGGGGTTGACACTGACGATCACTTTTACGTGCAGCGGCTACTTTCCATTCCACGAAGATCCCGAAGACCGCATCCACAGACCGCATCCATTCCACACCGCTGAAAAAGAAGCGCGACGGGCTTGCGACATTGAGAGCAGCGCCAGAAGCATTGAAAGCACTAACAGTACCCATCCCTCGTCTGCAGGACGTCGTCCTCCCCCAGGACCGACTCCAATTTCCGCACCACCTCGGCATTTCCCAATGCTGCAAGCTGCAGAGATGCCTTCGTCTCGCGGTCACACGCCTGTCACTTCCTACGTGCCAAGCGGCCTGCACGAGACACCTCTCCCCGTCGGCAAATACTATCCCTCGAACTACGAACAACGACAAAAACAGAGCCATCACTCGTCGTCAAGTAGCACGCGACGGCCCTCCGCCATCGGCCCCTCGTCTGTCAAGTCCGATACTGTCGTGCCGCAAATCAACAGGGCAGACCCGCGCGGACGTCCCGACTCTGAGGCCAAGATGCGATTACTACAATACCAACGCGACATGATCACACAAGCCCAGCTTGCCAAACAACGGCTGGAGGATGGGGGCTCATCCATAAGTCCGGGAACGGCGGGCCACCAAAGCGCGAGGTTGCTGAAAACTGGCTCGACACGGGGGCCCATATCACCAAGGCTACAGCCGCTGGGCAGCCCCGGACCAGTGACGCCCTTAGCTTTAGAGGGCGCTGATGGTTACCTTTCAGCTCGAAGTCGAGTCAGCCCTCGGGACAGGCCGAGACCAGTTCTAAGCCCAGATGCTGGACGAGAGAACCACGCTGTCGCGCGAGCGATGAAGGCCCGCGGCGAGAGAAGACGGAGGGAGGGCCGATGCTCACCAGCCGTCGAGGCGGGCGGCTTCGGATTCTAACGCACCCCGCGTGACAGTTGGGATTTCAGCGAGTCCTTCATTTGTCCTTCACCTCTACTGACAGCATCGCGGCATGGCCGGGCCTAACCGGCTAAGATGTTTCTTCGCGAACGTTACCAGTCACTCCACTCTTCAAGCACAACGCAAAGAGACGTTCCGCTCAGCCATCAAACTTTTGGTGTGACGCGCGACATCTCGTACACAGCTTGACAGTCAGCCGTGCCAACCGGCTATTGGATGGCGACAGGCTGGCACCTTATGTTCTCCAGCCAGCATGACTATTTGATATTTGATACCCTCAGCGCTTGGTACCCAGGATAGACAGCATTCTTTACACATATTCACTCCAAGCAACGCGAGTGGTCTTGTTTGATAGATTGCATGGGTCGGGAGCTCTTTTTATTACATTTTTGGACGCTTGTGGACAAGCACTGTGGGAACGTTTCAGTTCCTGATGCTAGCTTAAGTGTCATTCGCTAGGCGGAAGCGAGATGTGAATGGGAGGGTTTTGTTGAAAAGTAAGCGGCCAACATGATTCTTGAAAGCGGGGCGGTCCGTTGGCAGAGTACTCAGGTAGAATTATAAAGAGTTCTTGCCCCATCATAACGATGTCATTGTTTGATGGGGCTATATAAACAAAACCAAGACATTGATAGGGATGCCACGTGTCACGGGAGTGACCGCTACACTATAGCCACCCTGTGTTCCTACCAAACGGTACAGAATTACCGAACGTCCTGTGATTCAGAGTGTAGTCTATATGGTCGTGCCGTTACACCACGAGATGACTCATTTTAATGATTTTCCATCCCCATCTAGTAATTCAACATGCTGATATTAGAAATATACGTCCGAGGCTTGAGTGCTTACCACCGTATGAAGGCGCCATGTATGTCCTCGGACGTATACGGAATAGAAGCGAAACCACACACATGGCGCCTTTATATGGTGGTAAGCACTTAAGACCTAGTGCTTGACTAGGGACAAGTGTATTAGTTTAATTAAGCTGCTTCTCATAAACGGTTTCTGCCCCGTAACCAAGACTGCACGCCACGACCTGCTAGAACCCCTAAATAGAGGCTTTTTAAACCGTGGGGGCTCGAACCCACGACCTAGGAATTGGTTATTGTGGTCTTTTGGCCGAGCGGTCCTTTGCGCCAGCAGTCAGGGGGTCCTACCGTCTCAGCTACGGTAGTGATTGTTGACGGCTGCGAGGAAATCTTAACCGACTCGCGAGTACCAGATAGGCCATTCTAGCAACTTCAGATGATGCTTTCAAAGCCTGTCGAGAGGTGATATAGAGACTTTTTGATGTTATGATGTGAACGGTACTACCTAGGTACCTAGGTAGTACCGACTTAGAAACTCAGGATTGGAAGATTGCTGCACTGAATAAGTGAGACAACTTATATCAACCCAGCAACTATATAAGGGCATGACTGGAAGAGTCAGATTAGCTCTAGTGACCGTCGAATTCCATATCTTCCGAGTTCTCCTGGCTCCAACCCATCGTCATTGTAGCCCATAGATCGTGAAAAACCACGGGCTGTGCAGAGTGGGAGCCCTGCCCCGGTGCACCAGCCAGGCCAGAGCCCATGAGCGAGGTATACACAATGCTCGAAGGATCCAGGAATGTATCGTCCCATGTTTGTATGAAGGGATCAAGACTGCCATCGAACATGGGGCACTTGCGAATACCAGAATCAGTATCGGGAGGCACAGGGTGAGGCGGATATGCAAGGGCGGCTTTCTCCAAAGCCGCAAGACGCTTGTCGTACTTCCGCTTGACGACACCTAATACGACCTTGCTCGCTGACAGCACGTCCGTGCCGGAGCACGACTTGCTCGAAGCTGGTGTCAAATTGGCATCATCGCTGCCGTCCTCAGTAAACTTCTCGAGGAACAGCCCAAGGCCGACTACCTCACGAGCTGCAGTGTGGTCCCAGGCGGGGCATTCATTCGGTAGGGGGAATGATAATTTTAGTCCGAGAATGATCAAACCGACGAAGTGTCCCCAATCCATCGCTGAGAAGCTGGCAAACTCTGAGGCCGGTAGAGATGAAACATAGTCGTACCAGACGCGTAAGGATTGAGCGCAGCCCCAAAGCCGACTTGGCTCGATAAGTGTGTCCTGTGATAATTGTGCTTGTTTTTGCGCGTTGTGATCTGGGAATCTCAGAAGTGTGTAGCCATGCAGAAGTATTTCGGTGAAGAGGGTGGCAATATAGACGACGGCTAGTTGGGACGTCAGCTTTTGCATACCCCGTCTGCGCCTTGACTTCTGGTTTCGGCTTGTGACTTACGCTTAGAAGAAACGTCGGGAGACATACGGCCTCTCCACTCTTGCAGCTGGGCCTCCATTCCTTTCACCATCAGCAATACATGCTGTGGTTCATGCGACACCTGTCCGCGTTTCCTGGTGAGTGACGCAGTCTGTTCGATGATATTGCCGAGCCGGGCGAGCCAGGCGAGGCATTGGTCGGCTTGACCACCACCCGACATTTCTAGTATATCACAGCAGGTTGACGTCCACTGTTCGAACGGCAATGAGTTTTTCCTGGTCCAGATGGACGCCATACTGGCGACAAGATAATAGCAGGATATGTAGGCTCGTATACCATCCATGGACTTCTCCTCGGCCACAAAATCGGCGCGGTCGAAGTTATCGGGCGCTCGATCGAGTTCGAGGTCGTGAACAATGTCGGCTGCCATGCGAATGTACTGGGTGGCCTGCTTCTGTTTTGGTCTCAAATGGAATGGATACCTTGCGTTGTGTCAGAGGGTGGTACTCACGGGGCTGTTCATCGTTTCAGACACTCAGGTTCAGCTCAAGGTACTCACCATGCGCAATAGATTTGCAGCCCAGCGAGCAACTCAAGGCTCCTCTCGCCACCACTGACAAACTTCAAGCCTAAAACTTTGCGGAATTCCTCGTCATAGAGACTATGGCCTTGCATATTTCTACCCCCACTGGCGGCCGCGAGTATAGCAAGGAGCACGAATGGCTTGTCTTTGGACAACGATTGGACAGTGGCATCTATCGGGAGTCTAATCACTGGGAAGTAAGGCAACATGCCGTTCCGAAATGATTCTAAGAGGGAAGTGGCGGATTCGAGGTTGAATCTGGGCTGGATACTGCTGACGCCATGGACAGAGCGTGAGCTGACCGATGGTGTCGACGCTGAGAAGGGAGCTGTGCCACTGACTGACGAGGATCCTTGGCCAGTGAGGGCGTCGTTGTCTCCGTCAAGGTCGTCCGGATCCGGGACAAGGTCCTCAAGGAAGGCGTCATGAGCATCCCGAAGGGCGTCAAACCCCTCCGAGGGCTCCAGATCGGTATCGTTGTCGCCCAGCAGTGGAACATCTATGGTGAACGTCTTGGACGGGGCTGACGGGGGTGGTGTTGTTCTGCTAGCAATGGGGCGACTTCTCTCGGAAAGCGACATGATCAGCACCTTGGGTCACTTGGCCAACGGATAGATAGTTGATAAGCTCACAGCTTGTCCCGCCTCCTTCTCTTCCGCGGGCCTGTCTTGAACACACATTCGCGCTTTGAGACAGAACAGCTGGTGGAAGCATGGGTTGGTCAGCGAGCTTGCGATACTCCAAGTGAGAAGACCAGAGGTCCCCTTACCGTCTGCAGATGCCTGTTGTGTCTCCTGAGGTACATTTCACCTTGGCGGCACGGCAGGCCTCGCAGGCGTAGGGAATCCGGGGCTTTGTCGCATATGGCTGCGTGGTATCATCATCCATAGTGAGCGATTGGGGTTGTGATGGGCAATGGTCACTGTCTTGAGAGAGAGGACGACTGGCCCAAGGTCGGGCGCCATGTAAGCTGGGTGGAGGGACAAAGGGAAGCTTGGCGGAGCCGGGCGTCAGGAGTCTAGGTCCGACCCGGTCATAAGCCCCGACCTCGTTCGGAGGATTCTGCATGTACTCCGTACTGTAATAAGACAATCCACACAATACCTATTCCCAGCTCCTTCCATTGGCTTCCATCCCTGTCAAGATTATCCGCCTCGCTGCTGTATTGGACCATGACACTATACAGTTCCGCTTCCAAGCTTGTCTTTGAATTCGCGTTGCTACGATCGTACTGTGCCAGCCCCTTGCCCCTCCAGGACTGATACCTAAAACTAAAACCCCCGGCCACTAATCTTCTCATTAGCGACCTGTGACGTACCGAACTGCGGCATTTTGTATGTTATTGGCAAGGCCTTTGCCACCTTCCACCGCCGCCTGTGTTATATCGAAGTTCTGGGTCTTCACTATGACAACATAGCCGTCGCTTGTCATCAGCGCATAGATTGCTTTATTCATCTTCTTGGTCTATCCGGGCTTGTCAGTTTAGAACTCTGATGGACTCGTACACGCGGAACAGGCAAAAGCAGAAAGCAGGGCTGCTGTATCTCATCGGATAGGCTCAGAAATAGACATTAGACCTACTTCTGGGTTGCGTATTTCACCGCTCATGCAGACTGCGCCCTTCATGTGATCTGCCTGAGACTTGCATTCTTCGGGTTTCAGCCGATAAATCTGCCCCATAAAGTAGAAAGAGTTTGCAGCTGTTGAATGTCTTTTAATTTGGTCCAGTAATCTTCCGATGACATTGATCTCGGTCTCGTCAAACCGTGACTTCTGTCCGTTTTGTGCTTTGCTTGACTGGTTGCAGCAGCCGGCCCAGCCGTTAGTGACCGGTCGGTCTTGCGGAGGGAAGGATTTGTACTTGAGTAGGAAGAAAGGATGGGCACAAACCAATGCTGACCGAGGCCACAACACAAAAACTTCGGTGACGGCCCCCCTGCTCCTCTTGACCTTCCCGGCGACGACTGCTTCCGCGGGATGATGCGAATCCAGAAAACTTTAGAAAGCACAACAAAGAAAGTATGTCAGTCTATGTTTTTGTCACTCGGATGAGGGTGGGTCGGCGCTCACTCGCGGGCCTTGACTGTAGAACTGGTAAGTATGGGCATACAACACCGAACAAACTAAACCGTAAGTAAAACAAAGCAACTGACCCTGGATATTATTTGTTGCGCTCTTACGTTCATTGCTAGGGGTAGCCATCTCTGCTGAAGAGCTCTGTTGAGCCAGATTGGAGCGCAATATATTCACGTTGGCCGAACCGCGAGGTTGTTCGGGCACCACTGTGGTGAATGGTGGGTTCAATGTTTAAATTCGAATGGCGATTTTGTAGTCGGAGCCTTGGAAATATCAAATCCTCCAAACAGACGACGATTTAGGTAGGACCTCTTGTTTTAAAGTAGTTGGGGACATGCGGGTGGTCTACCGAGGTGGTCATCTTGTCCCGGGAGTGGGCTGCAAGTGGGCGGGGGCCCCAGGGGGAGGGGGGGGGGTCGCAGGAATATGGCCGTTCCGATCGCGGAAAATGCTCAGCTGTATCAATTTCTGGAACGACGCGAACAATTGTGCGGCTGATTGTGGCGGCGAATACTGGCCGCCTGGGTCCTTTTGTCGGTGGCCGCTCAACCTAGTGAGGCAGGCTGCGTCCCTAAACGAGACACCTAATGTCGCCTCTGCGGCCATAGAAGGGCCAGACTAGAAAGGTTTCCAACCCATTGGGCAGAATGACCATTTTACCTAGTTGTCATGTCGACCTCGGCTTCTCAATCCACCGAGACACAGGCCGTCTGCCTACCTAGGTAGGCACTGTGACCCCTGCAACTTGAAGTCATTCACATCAAGTCTGTTCTATGACAATCGCTCTATTACATTAAAATTACTATCAGTTAGACAGGACCTGCACCGGGCTTCAGAGGTAGCCCAATCAAGAACATTGACCGATAACAAGCGCTGAGGCAGCATCCACGAAGCACTTCCACAAGAACAAGGTATGGCCATGGATCACTTAAACGCAAATAGCAAGCCCTCAGACGTGGTGAGACGGGTGGAGGCGAAATGGGACATGGCCAGGAGCATTTGGGGATCAAAGCGCTACAACGCGCTCACAGAAATCGAATATGATCAGCAGATAACACCCATGTACAATCCATAGAGCCTTCACCTCTTCTATACCCCATTGCCCGAGTGTCTATGCATTAAATGTAGTGGGCGCCAGGCACGACGTGTCTGTCCCTGCCTACTATTAGAGGCACCGCACACGTCTATTGTACACTCAATGTACCCCGGATCTCAGGGCAGAGTCATGAATAAAGCCTCCAGTTGAGGGTAATTCGGCGTCCCGAGCCCGGTCAGCGGGTCCCAGCCCTGCACAGCCGAGAACCCGTCCGTACCACAGCCAGGGTTCTTCCCGTTTGTCACGTCGTTGAGAACCTGTGGGTTGGCATATAGCGCCGGATTAACAAACCCGACAGGTCCCTTGCCGGCCTCGATGCGCTTCTCGTTGACCATGTTTATAATCGATGCAAAAACGGGGGCGGACGCTAGCATTGGCTCAGTTCAGCGATCCTTCATGAGCTGGGAAGATGCGGTCTTGGAACCAACCTGATGTACCAAAGGACAGCGAGAAACGTCCATTCACGGCCGTTACATAATTGGCTCCATTAGCACTGACGTCTGGGAAGCCCCTAACCACCTTCGAATTGTTGAAGCGGTCTGCGCCGTACGAGGGCGCATGCTCGGCGAAGTATGTGCCCACTGCTTTCTCCTGGTAGGATGGCATCGCGAAGACGTTCGAGAATCCTCCGCCCGAAAAGATGACTCGCTCACAGGCGCTTTCGGGGGTTCTCACAGTTGACCCGTTCAAAATTTGAGTCGCACCCACAGACGTCACCCAAGGGCAGCCTCCCGGAAAGGACGGGTTGAACATCCCGCTGGAACCGTTATTGTATGCTCCGGTGACCGGGTCAATGCATTGGCCTCCGTTGCCTGCTACTCCAAAGTCACCCGATGAATAAATGACTGTCACGCCCTGAAGTGCCAACTTCATGTACTCGTCACACTGACGCTTCTCGTATTTGATACCCAAATCAGCCTCGTTGAAGCCGTAGCTAGTGGATATCACATTCGTGGGTCTGGTTGTACCGCAGTTGACCTGGTCTGGATACTGGCCGTCGATGTTGGGGTCCTTGCTGTCGCCTGAGTCGGAGATTAGCTCAGCCGAAAAGACGCTTGGTGAAAGAGAGGAGGGGCTCATGGCCACTTTGCCCGAGGAAGATGGATGCGCCCACGCCTCTGAGCCGAGGTTTTGGTGTTATCTAGCCAGGGTGCGGGTGCCCAACTCACCGCCTTCGAACTGGCAGTAGCTGCCGTCGATGCCGTCCAAAAAGTTGTTGAAGCTTGCGCTCTGGACGAGATCGCCCACCTGGTACAATGTGGCCTGCTGGGGATATATCAGGGCCATGGCGAATTCTAAATCCAGCGCTGATTCGCCATTGAATTGGAAACTCTTGTTCTGGGTTTGCACGACGCCGTTGTCAAGCAGCGTCACGATTGGAGGCTTCCCGTCCAACTTGGGCTCGAACTCTTTGAAGTACACTACAGCATTACGAGTTAGTCATCAACGAACCAGAGGATCAGCTTCATCTGGATACGGCGAGGAGCAGGCCACAGGTTGGCCATAGCCTGTCCCAGAATCTGCGCCTTGTGAAGTCTGTGATATAGGTTGTTCTTGATGGGGTAAGGATTGTGTCTAGAAGCTGCTTACTATCCAGATCCGATTGGAGGAAAGCCTGGGGGGTATACTCCACGATACCAAGAGTGTTGTTGCTGGCCGAGAGGCTGCCCGGTGGCGTTGCATAGAGAGCTCGCAGACAGGCTGGTGTAATCATTGAATCGCATTGTGAGAGATCCATCAGAGCATTGTCGACAAATGCACCCTGTTTGGGGTTGCTGCTGTCGTCGGGCTTGCCGACGATGCCCTTTTCGGGTCGCTGCCGTTTTCGCAGTTCTGCAGACCTCTTCTTGAGCTCTGAAATAGAGTCCTCTGGGAGATCCTCATATCTGTTGTTCCGGCCTTGTCCGACACGCTGGTCAAAGTGCACCGTAGGCGTTATGAAATCGACATGGTCCACAAGGTGTTCGGGTATATGATACTTGTCGCAAGCTACGTGGCGAGTGTTCGCCACAGTCAAGTGTTTGTAGACGTGGTATTTTGTCTTGAGCATCTGCTCCATCTCCCGCACCGTCGCGTTGAAAGTGATCCAGCTTTTCTAATGGTGACGTTAGTCCTGCTACAGATCCTGCAGTGTTGTTTTCTAAACATTCCAAAGCATGAAAGACAGGGATCCGTGGCAGTTCGAAAGAGTTGCGCTTACGGATGTCGACATTTTTATCCTACTCGGGTGAATCCCTTCCATCTGTAGCCAGTCCAGCACCGAGTCCACGGCCTCCCGTTTGGGGCTGAACATGTCAACAACTCTCTCCGGCGACCAATGCTTGCCGTAGTTGGGGGAATCAGGATGAGAGACATCATAAATTAGTTCCTCAGCTCGATGGAGGTTTTGTTGTGTCAGGCCTATCCGGACTGGTAAAACCGCGGTGACGTGGAGACGATGAGCTTTCGCCCAGCTGCTTCGCACTGTCAGTCTCTCTTCATGTACAACATGATTGAGAGTTCTTGGCCGTAGCGGCGTCGCGCCGGCTGCAGCCGCCAGGGCCGACAGTACGATCGTGAGGACGCTGAACCGCATCTTGGCAACACCAGGTCGTCCAAAGGCCAGATGAGGAAGAAAGACAAAATTTGGCAGGCTTTTGGAAAACTTTCTTCATATTGCTGTCGGTGCATCTCAGCTCTGAGATGCCCCGTCAGGGGTTCTCGCGCTGGGGCACGACTGAAACCGTAGCCACGAGCCATGGAGGACCCTTCTCCGATTGTAGACCCGTGTCGAACCCCATAACCACGAGTTGGATGACGCCTGACACCCTTGCATGCGGTAAACTGGGGACCGTGTCGAGCCATCTCGCATCTGCGCACCAAGCTTCGGACGATCCACTCGTCAAGCTTTCCAAGGAAGCTTACATGTGATCAATGACCGACGGGGTGAAGCCATCAGCCACAGCTATGACGGCGTCCGGGTCGAGTACATCAAACATTTCCGGTGCACCCACGTTGCAGCTTGCCTGCCTAGACCCGTACCGTTATGCAACGACAGCGAGCGACTGGGGCACAGACAAGCCATGTTTCTGCCTCGTGGGTCGGTTTATGCGCAATCGCAAGTCGTTATCGACCAGTCTTGTGTCTAAGTTCGGGCCAGGGCCTTGGCGTTTGCTTTCCGATGGGCAGCCATGTCGAGGCACCGGGTACCGGGAGCGGGTGGGGTCGACACGGAGCTCGGGAGCTCGGGGCCCCCTGGGGCGGGAGGGCTAAAGAAGCCCCAAACGCGTACCTGAAACGGAAGTCATCCCGGTAATCCGCTGGAGATCTTGAGCCCTACGCGGCCTTGGCAAAGGGCGAACGAAAAACCATATCTTTGCTCGATGAATCTTATTGTGTGAATGCGTCCAACTGTTCGTCTAGGGCAAGCAATACTTGGTCGGCGAGGTCCTCGTTCGCCGGCTGCAAGAAAGTGGATATGGCATTTTCCAGAGTCTCATCCAAGAATCCTGGCGTTTTGAGCATTGCGTGGAATCGTGTCTCAGATCTGAGATCAGCCTCAAACTGGGCGGTAATGGTGTACGCACGCTGGACTTGGGACGGTTTGATAACATTCCACGCCTTGGTGGACTTGCTACTGCGCGAAAGTGGCGGGTCCACGATTATGTTCGTCACGGCAGCATTCAAGTTCGTAAGCTCCTTTGCGCCACTGCTGGCCTGTTTGTCGGTGATGCTCCGCGCGTGGATCTGTCCCTTGGGATGCCCGGACAGAAGGACCGTGCCATCGTATGTCAAGCCCAGACAAGAGGCAGGGCCGGATTCTGAGGGCGCAACACAAAAAGGTGATGTGATCTGTACGACAGTAGACGATTCCTCGCTGTTGGGTCCCAGCAGCGGCTTTGGACCGAAAAACTCGACGGAGAAGATGGAGCCATTCTCCGTAGAGACGAAAACACCTTTTGAGCACGGGTCAAGCACAAGACACAAGGGGGAAGTAGGGAACAACAATGTGCGGAGGACTGCACCAGTGCGATAGTCCCAGACAATGCAAGTTTTGTCCTTGCTTGCGGACACGCACAGGCTGGTCTCCTCGCTGTCGCCCGACGATGCCGCGATGGCGGTGATGGCGCCTCTGTGGTTGGAGAAGCTGACAATAGGCTCACGCTCCCCGTTGCTGTCAAGCTCCAGAAGCTGGGCGAGGCTCCACACATGGATGTTGGAGTCGTCGGAAGCGGTCAGGAGATGATATGGCGTGGCTACCATGCAGGACACGGCCTGGACGTGACAGGGAGGCAGAGAAACCATCCTGCCTGTGCTTGTCTGCGGAGAATGTCAGCGAAGAAGGGGGGGGAGGGTTCAAGAATGTTGCAGTAATGTTGACTCTTGGAAGACTTACCTCCCACAGCATGATCCTGCCCTCAACAGTCCCCGATATGAGTACATCGCCGGCCAGCGTCAAGCATCTTATCCTCTCAGGGAGAGCAACAAAGGCCTCCTGGTTACCACGAAGACGCGAGTAGACATGGACATAAGCCTTCTCGTGCTGGGCGGCAAAAACGTGTGTCTGATTGGCGACAAGACAGTATCGCGGAGTTGAGCTCTTCTTGAATGCCGACTTTGCAGCAAATGTCGGCCACAGAGAATGCGTGTAAATCCCAACGTCCTTGGCAATGGCCGTGTTGCTGGATAGTGGCGGTCCACAGATGGATGAGAAGAATTCCTCGACCATCATGTTTCCTTTCCCCGCGGATTCCTTTCGACGCACGAGGGGCAATGCTCGGGGATGAAGGTGGCTGCGGGCAGGCCTGACGACGCTTTTTCGACTCTCAAGCCCAGAAAAGCACTGAAATTTGCTGCGTCTGATTTTGGCAGGAGCGCACGAGCCAGGTGAGACCAGATTCAGGGTTATACCCTTGGTCCTCAACCTCGCCTTGTCTCCACTGCGAGGGCTCCAGGGCAACCAAACTGCCCCGATGCCTCGGAGTCGAAGACCGTGTGTTTGAGCGCCGCAGAAGACCTCGGGAGATAGGCTAATATTCCGGGTTCGTTCTGTGAAGCGATACTCTAGCACCGATACTAAAATCACGGTCCCCGACCTCAAGACTTGGAGGTCCCACGGTGTTCTCCGTGGCCCCTCATGACAACAACGGGCACATATGAACAGTAGAGCTCACTCAGCCTCGACGACTACTATTTTCATAGCGAACTGACTCCAAGTTGATTTCTTGCACTACGTACCCTCGTATATGCGACTTTCTTAGGCACGTTTCAAACAGCCAACTTGGTCTAGGAGCCATCCATTGCCAAGCACTTGTGCCATCCCATGACTTTTCATTCTGTTTTACCCCTGAAACGGTTGCTGGCTCTCGCATGGCCCCCCTCGACCCGGCGCTAAACAAACCTGCACACAGCTCCGATGAAGAAAAGCTGTCTATGTATGTACTGCATTGGCAACATCGCGAAATCTAACAATCTGCCGCCTCGTTGGTTGATAAGAGACAGGAGCGCTTCTGTGCAAGAAACGAATGGAATGAACCATAGACCTCGGCTTGGCCACCAAAATGCTTTTGGCCTATGAGGGCGAAGGCTTTTATGCGGTAATATTAAGCATACCGAGAACCTAATTTAGATTGGGCAACCTCCCCTTTGGCCAATCCTGGAGCCCCTGACAGCATCCAGCTTCCATTTTGGGCACCACACCGAGTATTTTACCTCCGTGGTCGATCGCCCGCGCGCGGGGTGGAGGGTAGCATTCGGGGCCCCATCTTTGTTTTAGCTTCTTGGTTCCTGGAAACAAAGCATGAGAAGGGCGGAAAATCAGTGGGGAAATATGCAGAGAGGATGGGCAACGCTGCAATGTATATAGTTGGCGAGCAGGCTGCGCCAGATTGTGAGAGAGCCGGCTGGTGAAGCCCACCCTTCTCTTCCTCGCCTTCTGCTAGTGTGTGTATGTGTGTGTTTACCTGTCGTTCTTTCGGTTCACTTACTCTTTCGTTTTCGTATCTCGTATCATGCTCCGCAAAATGCACCGGAGGTTTTCATTCTTTTCTTCACCGCCAGCAATTGCGGCGTCACTGTTGCTGGCGGGCTCGACATTCGCAATCGAGCTCAATACCACCGACACGACCTCTATCTCCGCGGCGGCCTCAAGGGTCGCCTCGGGGCTGTTCAAGAATTATTACAATAACGCATCTACCGCCGGGCACTTTAACCAGCCGCAGCCTTGGTACTGGTGGCTCTCGGGGTCGGGCTGGAATGGCCTCTTGGACTATACGGTATATACCAGAGACACGCAATATCAGACGGCTCTGCTGGCCGCCATATCCGATAACCTCGGCTCGGATTTCGAATTCGCCCCGGCGGAGCAGCAAAGCTGGGAGGCTAACGATGATCAAATGTACTGGGTCTATAATGCGTTGACTGCGATGGAATACAATCTCACGGCCGTTGACGGTGCTCCGTCGTGGGTGACTGTCGCCGAGAATGCCTTCAACGCCTTCGCGCGGAGGTGGGAGGCTGACAGTCCGACATGCGGCGGAGGCTTGAAGTGGCAGTACACCGAGACTGCCAACGGCTACTTCTACAAGAACGCTGTCACCAACGGGGGTTTCCTGCAAACCTCGGCCCGGCTGGCCCGGTACACGGGCAATGCCACCTACGCTGAATGGGCCACGAAGATCTGGGACTGGTCTGCTGCGGTCGGGCTGGTCGGGCCAAAATTCAATGTCTTTGATGGCACATCGGATGAAGGGGCTGACAACTGCACCCAGATGTCTGCGGACCAGTGGAGTTATAACGTAGCGACATTCATGATGGGCGCTGGAAACATGTACGCGTACAACGGTGCGATGGGGTTCCCGGAGCAACAGGTCATCTGGGGATCTCGAGTGGATGGACTGGTGGCCGCGGCAAACGCGACCTTCTTCTCACCACCGACGAACAACGCCACAGGAGTCATGTATGAACAGAAATGTGAGGTCACATCTGCGTGCAACCTTGACCAGACGAGCTTTAAGAGCTCCCTCTCGAGATGGATGGGGAAGACGGCGGTGCTCGTACCACGCGTTAGGGATGATATTATGGCACTGCTCGCCACCAGTGCGACGGCAGCAGCTGCGAGCTGTACAGACGGGACCTCAGAAATCTCGTGTGGGATGAAGTGGTGGACGGCCGATGGTTATGATGGGTACACAGACTTCGGCTCCCAGCTTAGCGCACTGGAGGTCATACAGAGCCTGCTGGTGACGAGCACGGCCGAGCCGGCGACGCTGATTCCGGCGGCATAGTTGTGACGGAGTTGTGACGGAGGAGTTTCTTGACCGGGGGCTTGACCGGAGGTACAGGCGGTTTTGTCCCTATGTAAATATTTGCCACGTCGCTGAAAGCCCTCTGTCGCCTCATGTGTGGACTTTTGGCGTCCTCGACTGAGATATGGGCAACCTGTACTCCCCACTATTGTTCCATTGATAGCGCTGTGACTGATAGAAGCAGAGAAGAAGCTGGTACCCTCAACCGTTGGGTATTCCCCATCCGTGAATATGTAATCCGACTTATCAAAAGGCTCGGAGCCAACTGATATCCCAGGATGTGTCTTCTAAGCCGCGGGCCCCTTCGTCCCATGTCATTGGGTGTAGTTGGGACCAGGCGGTGTCAGCTGGAGATGAGATGGCGGATGCGGACGCCGACTTGACCGGGGAAGCCAGAACAATCAACCCATCGAAGGCAGCACAGAGGCGTGCCTGCAGTGCCTCTCGCACGAGGCTGCATATACTCGCGGGTCTCGTGGTAAGTGCTATTTTTGTACTATTTAGTAACGCATAGGGCGGACAAACACGGTGTGCCGGCATGTGGCGCCCGGCGCGGACATAGTCGGGGGTGGGTTTTGATCGGCTTCTAGCCGTAGCCCACGGTCTGAGGGTGGTTGTTGTGGAAAGCTTGGCAGAGCAGGGCCCGCAAAAAAAGTTGGGATGGAATTGCGCTCGATTGCAATTCTCGGGGAAAGAAGGTGTGCACGTCGTCGTGTCTGGGCAGGGCAGGCAGGCAGACAGGTACCCAGAGTTGGAAGCCCTAGCTTGGTCTGCCAACCGGCTATAAGCATCAAACCTACGCCTCAGCGCCTCTGGGACGTGGGCTGCGTGGGTGCATCCATTTTCCCTCTGGCTGACTCCCAGGCACCAGAAACGGGAGCTGGGTGGGTGCATGAGGGTGGGGGGAGCGCGCTGGTGGTTTCAGGTTGTCTCCCATAGACCATCTTGGAGCGGGGACCTGGGCAGTCTGGCAGTCTGGCAGTCTGGCAGTCTGGCAGTAATCCTGGGGGCGCAGATTCCATTTTTGGAGAAAGAGGTGTGGCTTGCCCATGATGAAACAAGGGGACCCTCAATTTAAGCTTTGCTGGTACCCTTTCTGCTCAGGTCAGTGGTAGGTAGGTGCCTGGGGGCGCCAGGGCGCCAGACCAGGTGGGTGGGCACTACACTACACTCTAGTTGACGGCTTCCCTGTCTGTTAAGTTTTTGAGGCTCTGGTCACTGGTGCCCATCTACTGTACCTCTTTTAAGCATGTACCTAGGTACCCAGGTACCCAGGTATTCTGGCATGGGCTGAGGCAGTGAGGGAGGAGATGCTCATCTTCCCTCTGGTGGTGATCGGTTGCATGCAAGTGCATTTCTAACTACGTGTGGGGCGTGGTGCTGAATGAGATAATATGGGCAGATTGGGATGGGACTCGCCCATTGGGCAGGCTGTCTGCAGATCTCACTCCTGCCCACAGCGCTCCAGCTCCCCAGCTGCCCAGCTGCTCCCACGGCCAGGCAAACTCGTCACACCCTCGGCGCTGCGGCGGTGATACGGGCCAAGGCCATACGGGCAAACGCCCCGTAAGAGCCAGCAGCGCCTCTGCACATGCGCAAGCACCACCCACCAAGCACCTGCTCGACTGGGCATCGTCTCTGATCTTCCTTGATCTGCGCCATCGTCGTCTTGGCCACACCTGCCGGCCCAGCCCAGCCCAGCCCGCCTCCACGTTATCGCGTCTGCGAGTTCAATTCATCAGGCAATCTATCTACCTGGGTCCCCCTCTATCTCCCCTTACCCCTGCACCCCGTTCGGGGGGTGGTCCCGAATTAAAAAAGGCCAAGCCCGCCTAGCTGCAAGCTCATCATCCCGCACCGCGGTTTTCTTGGCTCGTTTCCTCTTCGCCCATGCCCACATGCGCGCATCTGTGTATGCGTCCCTGTCTGCGCCTCTGCCTGTGAAGACGACTGCCCGCTAAGCAATTGGCGACATTCCAACCATTTTTTTTTCTTCTTTTTTTTTTCTCTCCGGATCCCTTATCCCGCCATCTCATCCAGCCCGCTAGCGCCAATGCGTTGACACCGTCACAATACCAGTACTTTCGACAACACACTTGACACATTTGGTGCCGTCTTGCCTCATCTCTCGGCCCCGTCCCAGGCGAGCTTAGCAGTAGGGCTGCGCCTGCGCTCTTCCATCGTGTCCTGATTGGTATTTGGCAGCTACTTTGCCAGCGACACACAGCGTCGGCGTCCAGTCACAGCTCCCTAGCCGGGCTCTTGCCAGCCCTCCTACGGCGGCGCGCTCACCCTAGTCCCACGCATTCGTGGCCTCTTCCGAAAAACAACCTCGCCTGCGAGCATCTACAGCGCGAACCTGCCGCCTCCCACAACTTCTCTCCGACCCTCCGAGACCAGCTGACTCCATGTTCAATGTTCGTCGAAAGCCGATGCTGATCCCCGTCTCGGCGCGAGCGAAAAGCCCCAGGCGACAGCCCAACATGCTCACCGTCAAGCGCGCCTTGATCGCCGCCGCCTTCTTCATCACCATATTCTACATCGTCACCCGGTCACACGGGCCCGAGATCCCGCCACCCGCCGCTCCCATACGGCCAGGCGAGGTCTTGCTGGAAACAGACAGTGCTCACAGCGAGTCCTCGAAACAGTCCCCTTCCTCGTCAGATGCGACACGTGTAGCTGAGAAGCCCCTGGACAATGCCGGTTCAGGCGGTGGCGGTGGCGGCGGGAGTGTCAGCGCTGTAACGGGACAAAAGACAATGCAGGACATGTCCAAGATGTCCACCTACGACAAGCTCGCCTACCAATTCCCCTACGATGTCGAGACAAAGTTCCCCGCGTACATTTGGCAGACATGGAAATATACCCCGGCGAGCGGAAAGTTCAAGTTCAGGGAGGAGGAGGCCACGTGGACCGAGCACCACCCTGGATTCATCCACGAGGTTATAACTGACGACGTCGCCGAGAACCTGGTCAAACTTTTCTATGCATCCGTGCCAGACGTGATCGAGGCCTACACCTCATTGCCCCTCCCAGTGCTCAAAGCCGACTTCTTCAGGTACCTGATCCTACTTGCGCGCGGCGGCGTCTACAGCGACATCGACACCTCGGCACTCAAGTCCGCGGTGGAGTGGGTGCCCGATTCAGTCCCGCGCGAAACAATCGGTCTGGTGATTGGCATTGAGGCCGACCCAGACAGGCCCGACTGGCATGACTGGTACAGCCGGAGGATCCAGTTCTGCCAGTGGACAATCCAGTCGAAGCCGGGACACCCAGTCCTGCGCGACATCGTCTCGCGGATTGCGGCGGAGACGCTCAAGAGGAAGAGGTCGGGCCTACTTACCGGGATGGACACAAAGAACGTGATAGAGTTCACGGGACCGGCGGTCTGGACCGACACGATTTTCGAGTACTTCAACGACCCGCGGTATTTCGACATGAGCACGAGCAAGGGGGCAATCGACTACAGGAATTTCACAGGTATGGAGGTTGCCAAGAAGGTCGGCGATGTCATAGTCCTGCCCATCACCAGTTTCTCGCCTGGCGTTCAGCAGATGGGCGCCAAGGAGCCTGACGACCCCATGGCGTTTGTGCATCACGACTTTGAGGGTGAGTTCCCCACCACAAGACTGTAGGAGTTGGGGACACGGCCGGACCTTAGAGACTGACATTTCTGAACAGGCACGTGGAAGCCTGAGAGCGAGAGACACATCGGCCCGGAAACTTGAGGGGAAACACGATTGATCCCCTCCCTTTCTTGCGTACAGAGTTTTCTTGATTCCCCCCTTGCGAACACGAATGCATGCGATTGGAGTCCAGGTGTCTCTGCGTTGGTTTCTATGTCGAGGTTTCACGACGGGCGTGAGAAAGACGAACAAAAGCAGAGACAGCGCTTGCTTACGATATTGCATACCCATTATTATTGATCGATCGAGGGACGATAACGACCTTTAGAAATTAATAGACAACAAGACTTGACGAGTATTTCCGGCGATGACTTATGACACGGGCATCGATGGCTCTGGCCCACGTGCAGCAGACAAATAGCGCTTGTGTCATCAGAATCTGGAGAGGCATGAGCTGAGGAGCGAACGCTGTTCGTGATTTGGGGCGGTGACAAACGCATCCCAGCAGCTCCACCCCCCAGTATGATCGGGGGTGACCCCAATTCCCAGCCCACAGGCCGTACTTAGCGACTCCGTCAAACACCAACCCCGCATTTCGGGGATCGAGCTGAGTGCGCCCGGTCCGATGGGGCTGACATTCCGGGGGCGGTCCGGTTTCCGTCTCGTCAGCTTGTCTAATACGCACGCAAACTCTCTTGATGTCTCGTCAAACACCCTGTGTGATCTCGTGCCTCGGCGTGTGTTTTGCTCCTTGTTTTCCATGAGCCGCGATGCGCAACTCGACATCGCCCTTCGCCTCCTGACGTCATGCTCCCAGCACTCACCTCGCTATGGGCTTCGCAGGGCCTCAGAGCTGCCCGGGCCCGGTCACGGGGACAGTGGAGGGCGGCGGTCCGGAGCTCCAGGACAAGCCCTCTGGCTGTCTCCGGGACTCAGCTTAGTACCTACTCCAACGGCCCGGCTTGTAGCATCTCTCAGGGGCCGGGAACGCCCTCGCTGTTGCCTCATACCATCCCCCAACACTTCATAAAGGTCGTGTCAGAGAACGGCGACAGGCCGGCAGTCATCTGCCGTGATCCGACAGCAACGACCGCCGCTGGCCAGGAGACCACGCTCAGCTATGCCGCCCTCGACGCTGTGTCCAACATCCTGGCCAAGTCACTGAGATCGGCCGGCGTGAAGAAGGGCGATAGGGTGGCCGTCAAGCTCGGCAACACGCCCGAGCATGCAGCCCTGACGTACGCAATCTTCAAGCTGGGGGGTATCCTCGTGCCGCTGAACCCGACGTTCAACGCTTCTCAGGTCGCCGCCGCCCTGTCGCATCTAGGCGTCGAGGTGTTCATAACCGCCGCCGTCACGGACCGTGCCTATAAGCCCTGTCAGGGGCGCAGTAACCTGGAGCTCCTCCAGACTCTCATCCCAGACCTCCAGTCGGGGCGCGTCGAGAGCCAGCTTGTGCCCACTCTGAGAAAGGTCGTGGTCGTGGATAACACGGCGTCTCATCCTGCCGTGGACTTCCGACTGGCCAACTACCGGTCCTTGACTCCGTACGCGGAGCTTTCCCCGCCGCTGTCTTCGTTGTCGCTGAGCAGCACGCGTCCCGTCGTGCCTGACTCCCCGCTCAATGCCGAGGATTGTATCAATATTCAGTTCACGTCCGGGACGACTTCTCAGCCCAAGGCCGCCATGCTTACGCACACGGGTATCCTCAACAATGGCTACCTAATAGGCCGGCGCATGGGGCTGATGCCCTCCGACCTCATCGTCTGCCCGCCGCCACTATTCCACTGCTTCGGGTGCGTCCTGGGCTATATGGCCACTGTCACTAGTGGCGCCGCCATCCTCTTTCCGTCACCAGCGTTCGACCCCTTGGCGAGTCTGAGGATGGCAGCTGATCACCGTGCCACCGGCCTGTACGGTGTGGCCACCATGTTCGTGTCTATGCTCGAGCAGCTCGACAAGAAGGCCGGGCTCTCGCCCGACGAGGTCGCGCGCCTTCCGACCCATCTGCGCAAGGGCATCGCGGCCGGGTCGTCCGTACCCGAGTCGCTCATGCGCAAGCTCTACGACAGGCTGGGCCTGAGCGAGCTCGTCATCTGCTACGGCATGACCGAGACCAGCCCCGTATCCTGCATGACGGCGCCGGGCGACCCCTTGGAAAAGCGTACGGCCACAATCGGCAAGGTGATGCCGCACACGCGTGTCAAGATTGTCGACCCCGGGGACAGGAGCAAGGTCGTGCCCATTGGCGAGCGGGGGGAGCTGGCCACTAGCGGCTACCTTGTCATGCAAGGCTACTGGGGCGACGAGGAGAAGACGAAGGAGGTCCGCATATTAGAACCGGATGTTGACACCGGCAGGACGGGCAGTCCGGATGGCCAAGGGGAGCCGGCGGTCGGGCAGAAGGGCAACGGGGAGACGGGGTCAGACCGGTGGTGGATGTATAGCGGCGATGAGGCGAGCATGACGGCGGATGGGTACCTGTCTATCACCGGACGTATCAAGGATTTGATCATCCGAGGTGGCGAGAACATCCATCCGCTCGAGATCGAAAACGCACTTTTCCAGCATCCACTGATAGCCGAGGCTTCGGTGGTAGGCGTGCCGGACGCCAAGCACGGCGAGGCCGTCTGCGCCTTCATCGTGCCGCGTGCCGGCGTCGCGACAGAGGACGACCCCACCTTCGGCGAGGACGGCTTCGCCCGCTCTGAAAGCCAGGGTCTGCCGCTGTTGCGCAAAGACGACGTCCGCGCCTGGGTGCGCGGCAGGCTATCGAGCCACCTCGTCCCCAAGTATGTCTTCTGGACGGACGATTACCCAAAGACGGCCAGCGGGAAGATCCAGAAGTATAAGCTGCGTGATGCAGCGCAGGATCTCATTCACATTCACACAGGCCCGGGCAACGTGGATGAGAAATACGAGGCTGTTTTGGAGAAGCGGATCGGCAGTCAGGTGAGTGGGATGCCCTCTTGGGAGAGGTAGGGTGGTGGCTCCTTCTTCTCTACTTGGATGGGAGTCTGTTGCTAGATGAGGCGTGGTGTTGGAGGCATATGCTCGACCAAGTCGAGCAGCATTAGATGTCAGTGTATCTGATGGAGCCTTGTTTCTTCCCAAACCGCCATCTGTGCCATGCTCGATCGACCAAGGAGACCCTGTGATGTTGGCCTAACCTAGTACCTGCCCCCTACGTGGCTTCGTTTCGGCAAGTGACGGCCGGTCCACCTGGTCGGATCCAGAACCATCCCTCGTGCGGCCTCACACGTCAAGCCCACATCCCTCAAGCCCTTGTGCGTTTCGTCCCGTGCTCACCAAGGCGCCGGTTCGGCCACTTTACTACTGTGCGGGCCAGTTGTTGGAAAAGTCCAGACACGACCCATTGGCACTCTTGGCGATGCCGCGGTCGGACAGGAACACGCAGTATTTAGCCACGTTCTCTATGGAAACCTGGTGCTTCTCGTTGTCGAACTTCTCCTGGGACTGCTCGAACTTCTGATAAAAATCCATGTCCAAACCCCGCCCAAAAGCATCGGCGATATTGGTAGCCATGCCACCTAGGCACAACGCAACAGAGTAGATGCCCTTGTCGGCGTATGCAAATGCCGTGTTCCTGCTCAGGCCCAGCAGGGCATGCTTAGACGCTGTATAGGCGGCCCCGGCGTTGTGCCCGGACTTGGCCGCCACGGAGCAGATGTTGATGACGAGCCCGCCGGCAGGCTCCTGCTTCTTGAACTGCGCGACGGCCGAGCGGGTGGCGTAGAAGGGCCCGTTCAGGTTGACGCCCAGCACGCGCGCCCACTGCTCGGGTGAGCACTCGGCGGCGGGCGAGAAGTCGTCCATTATCCCGGCGTTGTTGACCAGCAGGTCGAGGCGGCCGAACCGGGCCACGGTGCTGTCGACGAGGGCCTGGACCGACGCTGGGTCCGTAACGTCGGTCACGAGGGCCAGGACCCGCTCGGCCTCGGTGCCTGCCGCGAGCCACTCCTGCTCCGTCGCTTTCAGGCGCTCCTGGTTTACGTCGCAGATGGCCACGTTGCTTCCTGCGGCGAGAAAGGCTGTCGCGATGGCCTTGCCCAGGCCGCTGGCGCCGCCGGTTACTATTACCGTGTGGGAGGGCATGATGTTTGGTGAGGGGCAGCGGGCGCTTGTGAGGGGAGAGGTGAGTGGATTGTGAGTGAAGAGCCGACGAGGTCGACTGGTTGCGAGGGAAGTCTCACAGGCTCCTTATGTAGAAAAGGGGCAAGGGGCAAGGTTGTTGTGCTCGGGGGGTAATAAAGTAAACTAATAAATGGTCTCCGTGCCGTGAACCCTACTGTGGTACCCAAGTATAGCGGATGCGCGCACCCGCCCAAAGTTCTACTTCGAGTTAAGCCACCGAAGCTCCTGGCACCGAGAAGAACATATTTACTTGCACCTGTTGGGTTACGGGACACTCCAGTCTCTTTCTCGGTGATACCACCGCCTTTGCGGTCTTTTCCCGTCTTTCCAGTTGGCTGCCAGGATCAGGAGGCGCAACTGGCGTGCCATCCCCACCGGCGCTCGTCCGTAATCGGGTTCGGCACGGACGGTGCGACGGTATTCGTATTCTTATAATCCGGGGACTTCATGCCCAACAGGGCGGAGCCACGGTGCACATGTGGTATAATGCAAGGCTTGGAAGGCTTGGACTGACGACAGGTTGCGTGAGCCTCGCGTGGAATAAGGAAGCCTAATAATAAGCTTATTATTTTTAAATCATTAGGTTAACAGAATTCTTATACTTGTTAATATTCTTTCCTCATTTGATTGCTCTTAAATACTTAGTTTAATTACCCATGTAGTATAGTGTAGAAGAGTAAGCTGTATATAAGGCAGATATTAAATCTAGTAAATCAAGGCCTGACCCTGTTCTGGCCGCGCTGATGAATACCTGTGGCGGTAGCCTTGTACGAACGAGCTGCTGGGACATTGCAATGCCAATGGGTGAAAATATATTGAAATGGACTGTCGACGAGAAGCGACATCTGGAGCTTCCAGTTGGCACACCAATGATGTTCTGAATTCAGATCGCGCGTTAGTGATCTTCATATCGCTTTGATGCACCAAGGATTTGTTTCGCCCTCTATTTTTTTTAGGTTTTATGAGCTTTCCCTTGATAAAGACGGAGAAATACCCAGGTGCAGGGCCATGGAGTGTCAGTCGGGTGGATTACGTAATGCAGCCGGGGGGGGGGGCGATGACGGCATGGCTTGCCAAAACATTTTGATTTCCTCTGACAGGTCGACTTCATATGCAAACACAGCCCCTTGTGAAGCAGCAATTATGTCGGGCCTCCTGTCTCGCGCAACATCCGATGCGCGCTTCCAGCTTGCCGCGACCGCTGTCATATCGGGAGGTATCGTGGCTGCGGGTCTTCTGAGCTACCAGCGCCTGTCACACGAGCAGAGAGTGTCCAGGCTCAAGGACTCGATCCCCAACCCCAGCGACGACCACCCACCGCAAAAGGTTAGCAGGCTCCCGCCGCCCACCTCAACCTTTCCGAGCAGCAGGACCTTATGCGACGGAGGTGTGCTGATCACTAACAGCAACCCTTGTCCTAACAGCTCACGAGCCTCGGGACGATACCTGCGCCAGACAAGGAAGACATCCGAACCGAGGAACTCGCGCGACGCGCCCAGGCGGGTGACTTCGACGATGAGCTGATCCTCGAGCAGCTGGCGCGGAATCGTGTCTTCCTGACACCAGAAGGCCTCGATAAGCTGCGCAACTCGTTCGTGATCGTCGTCGGCTGCGGCGGCGTCGGCAGCCACGCGACGGCCTCGTTCGCTCGGTCCGGAGTCTCGAAGCTGCGGCTGATCGACTTCGACCAGGTCACCCTGAGTAGCCTGAACAGGCATGCCGTTGCGACACTGGCGGACGTGGGGTTGCCCAAGGTACAGTGCTTGCAGAGGCGGCTGAGGGCGATCGCGCCTTGGGTCAAGTTCGACCTGCGCCTGGAGAAATTCGACGGGGACGCCGCCGAAAGGTTACTGGGGCCCTGGGCCGAGGGCGGGCAGAAGCCCGACTTCGTGGTCGATGCCATCGACAACATCGACACCAAGGTCGCCCTGCTCAAGCACTGCCATGACCACAAGATCGAGGTGATCTCTGCCATGGGTGCCGGGTGCAAGAGCGACCCGACGAGGATCATCATCGGGGACATCAGCACAAGTACGGATGATGGCCTTTCAAGGGCGACCAGGCGCCGCCTGAAGCTGCAGGGCGTCTCGCATGGCATTGCGGCCGTGTACTCGACCGAGCGGACGGCAGAAGGCAAGGCACAGCTGCTCCCCTTGTCTGACGAAGAATTCCAGAAGGGCACCGTTGGTGACCTGGGACCACTCCCTGACTTCCGCGTACGAATCCTGCCTGTCCTCGGGACTATGCCAGCAATCTTCGGGCTCACAGTCGCCAACCATGTCATCCTTAAGATCACAGGTACGCATAGGACCTCCTCTCCCTGACATGTTGCTTCACCGCATCTTTGCTGACAGAACCTGTCAGGGTATCCTTGTGACTACGTCGAATCCAAGGGTTCAGGCAAGACATACGACTCTCTGTTCTCCGCCATACAGGCCAACGAGCAGAGGCTAGTAAGATCAGAGCCGGGGGCTCCTGTTGACATTGCCCTGGGCCTGAGGATACCGCTGACTCACAGCGAGGTGGCCTTCCTTGTGGAAGAGATGTACAGGGGCAGGAGTGTGATCAGTGGTCTACCGACGGGTCTCTTCCTCATTAGGTGGAGGAAACCCCAGAGCAGCATCCTGAAGACGCTCGGCGACGGAGAAGACCAGCAGAAGTGGACGACCCTGAAGTTGAGCGAACTGGTGTGCATGACCAAGAAGGAGTTCAAGACACATGAGGAGCAAGTGCTCAAGGGAGGAAAATCCCCAGAGGATCTATACGATGCGGAGACGGTGAAGCGAGTTGAGGCCAAGATAGCAGAGGTAGTTGAGTACGAGAGGTGGCGCTAGCTACTGCATGCAGCCTTGCAGAAAAGAAACAGATGGCTTGCCCTCTGGGGCTCCCTCTGCGACTCCTGGATCACCATGGGCCGTTTCAATCTATCTTGGTGCTCCGATGCTTGGATGCATGCTTTCACTTTGGGGAGTTGTTCAAGATAGCCCAGGTCTCCTCTCGGTGGATCCTGCTAACAGGTGCCTGTTGAAATACAGGCCAAACATTCATTCACTGGTCTGTTCTTGGATCTGCTGTTGTCCTATCTCAGATGCCGACAAACGTGGATCGCCTCCATGACATATCTCCTTCAGTACTGTTTGTCGGTGTTTTTGTTTTTGTTTTGGTTTTTTTCCGTCCGGTCACAACGGTTTTCAAAGCCTGATATTGCTGTGTCGGGTACCTGCAGGGGCGTCCTGCTCACAACCGCACAACCACCCATCACACCTGCCTCCCAATCAACTAAACCTTGTGGTCATTTCAAGAAACACCCCCGAAACAAGGCATGATCAGCATCAGCACAGTCCAAGAAGAAGATCCTCAATCCCCATACATTCTTTAAATCTTGTGTTCCACCATGGGCTCTTCAGGCCCATCTGAGGACGACCTTGTCGTGCTCGACAAGGAAAGCGCGACCGGTCAAGTCGTGCGAACAGCCGTTTGTCTTTCTTCGATCACCCTCAAACCATTGAGGATCCAAAACATTCGGCAGAATGCCTCAATCCAACTGACCGGTAGGTTGATCATGGGCAACATGGTGTCCTTCAAGATTGACAGTCCTTCCCTTCGTCACTTTGCCCCAACCGTCTGCTTGGCTCACCTTGCTACATTCTTCGAGACTTGTGGCTTGGTTCGCACTGGCCGATGACTGCTAATTGATCCCAACCCTGTAGCAAGATGACAACCTGCTGACGAGGACTCACTGCAGGAACAAACAAGCCAGGCATGACGGCAGAGCTCGTGGCCATTGTCAACTGGCTGGCTGAGCAAACTGGTGCCGAGGTCGTAGGAAATACCATCGAAAGCAGGACCCTCGAGTTCCGGCCCAAGTTTCGTCCATCTGCAAAGCAGATAAGCCGCAGGGAGATCAGGATCGACCCGGGCTCGATGCTTGCCAGCTCCATGCTGCACTTCCAGACCGTTCTGCCGTTCCTGCTTTACATCGGAAGCGAAGACCCTGACAACGGCAAGCCGATAGAGCTGAGACTCAAGGGTGCGACGTACTCGCCCGGCGCCCCAAGCTTCGAGTACATCGATCAGGTGTTCCTCCCAGCCCTCCGGGATTGTTTTGGTGTCGACATCATCTGCCAACTTGTGAAGCGTGGATGGGACAGGATGACCCGCAAGTGCCTTCAAGAAGGAACGGTACGCTTTAAGATCCGGCCGCGTAAGATCGGCACGACCCTCTCCCTTCAACCGAATGCGAAGCTGTGCGATGATGACGACGACGACTTGGCGGGGTCTGTCGACAATGTGTTGTCTCGTGTCGACGTGACCATCGTCACTCCTCCAGTGCTGCATGGTCTGCTGCAAAAGTACCTTCAGGGGGACATCGAGGCCCGGTTTGGTAACATCGATGTTGAGTTCAAGTTGGAGGAGAGCGGTCATGACGACCGTGTCTACGTGTTGCTCGTGGGCAAGTCTGAACGTAAGCGGTCGACCATTGGAAAGCTCGATGTGATGCTAATTTCCCACTTGATAGACTGTCGTTGGGGCCGGGACTACCTGATGACCCATCCTCTAAAGGAGTCTACCACACTTGCGCTGACCAAGGAAATCTCGAGCCAGGTCTGCAAGGACTTGGAGGACGAAGGTGAGTAGCAAGGTCAAATAACGTGTTTTCAATATCTGAGACACGACGAACCATATTCAGACCCGAACACACCTGCCCCTGAGGACACGACTGACCCAGGACAAACAGTGAACAGCGACCGTGCGGTCGACAGGCACCTCGAGGACCAGCTGGTTGTCTATCAATGTCTTGCTGAGGGCCGAACGTGTTTCGACTCACTGACTGCCGAGGAAGCAACAGATTTGGACTCGTCCACAACTCAACTCTCCAAAGCGGTTGCGTCAGCCCTCCTCCCGAACGTCCAGTACGATGGCAAGACTTGCATTGGGGCAGCCGTGAAGATTGGCCAGCTCTAATGCAGAGCACTTGCTTACCCTGAATGCCCAATGCAACATGCAGCCGGCTAGGTGTCGGCCTTTGAGACCCAGCTTGGGTTTTCCGAGTGTCGAACCATCGATGCTATCCTATGAACCTGAGCGCTGGACCCTGTATCGGTTTGACGTCGAAAGCCTCCACGGTGGGATCTTGGTGGTCTGGCAGCCGGTTTGTTGACTTGGTGGAAGAGTGAAAAGGTGCAGACATAGACAAACATCAGGGGCAGTCAACTCTGCAGAGACTAGGGGACTTGAAAGAAATACAATGAATTACTAATTGTTACTCCTAACTTCATATCCAGGGTTTTCTCCATTGCTGTAGCGAGCCCTTCTGCTCCGGTACATAAATGCACACAATTGCCAGAGCTGAAATGGTCACTAGTGGAAGGACCACAATGAGGATGATCTGCCAGGTTTCCATTTCTTCGTAGCTAAGCTTTCTTGGGAGAGCCTTTGCTTCCTTTTTTTTTGGGGGGGGGATGGTTAATTTACGGGGCAGGCCATCATCTGGGCGATCTGTTGATCGACATCTATATGGGTCTGGTTGTTTGATTGCGGTACTGCAGAGTGCGCTGCGTGCAACAATGACTCAAGCCCAAGGCGTCGGTCGAGAGACGATCCCCGGTTGCTTGCTCACTTCCAAGGTTGTTCTGACTTGTCAGAGTGCTTGACTAATGGCAATGTGGCCGTGACACTGGTTGGGCAGTCACAGTGAGATGGGTATTGCTGCTTGTAATTATTCCACTCTGACTACATGTCGGGGAGTCATCTGCAAATATGTGGTTGTCCACTTGACGAGCCCGTCAGGTTATTTTATGCATTCTACTTGGCCTTGGTGAGCCCCATCCAAATGGCGAGTTAAGGGGAAGCAACTGTGGAACCTGCAAAGACCGCGGGAACCAGACTACGTACTACGTACTACGTACCTACCTACTCTACCTAGGTAGGTAGAGTACTTAGGTAGTAGTATCTTGTCAACTCAATCCTCCGGCCCGTTTTGTTTAGCCCACTGGATTTCCACCCGGCAGCCTACCATTGATCTCGTCCACAATCACAACACACAGCTTCTTAGAAGCCATCACCACATGCTCGAATTTCATTTAGCCATCAAAGTCCCGAGTCCAGCCCCGTCGGAACACACGCCCAGTGCACGCCAAGGCCAGGCCCAGATGGGGGCGATGAACGTCGAGAGGCCGAGGAGCAAACGCAGTTTTCGAGTGGCTCGAACGCAGATGCCGGGGTGAGTCTGGCGGCATGTTGCAAGCTGAAAAGCTTCGATCCTGCCTAAGCTCTCTCGGCGCCCCCGTCAAGATGGACGTGCAGACCGGCTTTTCGCTCCCCGGGTGGAGGCCCACGACGGACGGGCCAGAGGGTGAGCAACGTCCCAGAAAATAGGGACAAAAGTATGGGAAGAGTGGGGCCGACCAACAAAACAAGGCAAAAAGCTCAACACACCGCACCGAACGCCCCCGGGGGAGGAGGGACCGTGAGGGGCCCAATGGGGGGGCACTGAATTCCAACTCGGCAGACCAGATGCTTCTCTGTAATCTCAGAGCGAGACCGACGGCCCCCTTTGTGGGCGATGTCAGCCGAGATTCGAACCAAAAACAAAAAGGGGGCGGGCTCATGATGAGGACCGGCGCTCTTGAAGGAACGGCAACACTGCATCGGCCGGATGCCAGCCAGTGCGCCGGCCCCCGCCCCCCCCCCCCGTCCGCCAGCCAACAGCTCCCCGCCCAGTCCGAGGCTGACGGGCGCTGCTCGCCCGTTGTTCCCTTTGCGGTCTGGGCTGGGCAGGACTGATGACCCCGGATCGGCGCCGGAACACCCCTGAGATTGGCGAAGTCCCGGGCGCTGCTCATGATTTCCGGCCACGAAGCTTGGCTTCGAGACTGCGAGGTTCGATGGCGGTCGATGGCGGTCGATGGCGGTCGATTCTCAGTTGAGAACGGGGCTCGACCGAGCTGGGGGGGGGGGGCACTCGTGGGTTGACAGCAATGTGGGCTCTCTTTGGCGGTTGCTGGCGCTTGTTCTCTCATGGTTGGGTGGGATTTGTGGTGCCTCCAGTTCCACAGGAGAGGGACGACGGGGTCGATTATGCTTCGTGTTGCTCTGCTTCGGGGTGGCGTTGGGAGGGCTTAAGAGGCCGGCAAACAAGGTCAAAACAGGGCTGGCTGATTGGTCGTTTCGAATATCAACCAATACTGACTGGTGTCTGAGGCTGCCCTGCCCCCGTCCCCGTGGGCCGCCATACCTGCATACTTGAGTATGTACCGTTCGTCCCATGTTGCCGCGGACATGGGGGCCGATGGTTGCATACTGCAGTGGTTGGCAGTGCCAGTACCACATATCCCAATGCTTACTTATCTCACCCTGTTTGAAACGCTGTGTTTTGTTTTGGGTCGTTTGACGGGCATAAAACCATCGATTATGTGAGTTGGGGGGCCGTCGGTGTGGCCCACCTAGGCATGACTTGAACTTCTTGGCCGGCCTCCCTCGGCCTCCCACGGCCTCCCACGCCCACAGTATCCGGTCGTCGCGGCCAGGAGAATTGTTTCCTCTGCAACCGACCTCACAAGATGGCCTTCAAAGGGCTGATCGCTGCCAAAAAGTGGACTTCTGGGCGGCCTGCAGAACTGTCAGGCCCATGATTCGCGCCTATCGGGTGCAGCCCAGAGCATCCAGAACTCGACTCCCCCAAAAAGGCGCGCGTCTATCTTCTTGGCAGTCGACCTATAGGCGAAGCCACAACGTTTGGGTCAGGGCCGCCCACAGGTGGGTTTCTTGCACCCGAGTAGTTGTGCCCCAGGCCAGCTGGGCTGGGCACACAGTAGCTGCTCTGCCCGTACCAGGCCTGATGACCCTCGTATCGAGTATTTATTGTGGATGGGGCCGACTCCCCCCACTTTTACATATTGAACCGTAATCTTAGTAGCGCCATTGAAACAGTCAACGTCGAACGGGTCTTTACCCCTGTGTCCGTGTGTCCAAAGTGTCCCACAGGCGCACCTCAACAGCACTTGGGTATTGATATAAAGACTCGGGCCTTGTCCTTCTCACCACACACACCCTCTCTAGGAAACACTCGACCACAAGAAGCTCCACCCCCGACGCATATCACTCATTACATGCCCCAGGCGGTACGCTGCCCATCCAGTCATTCCCGCTCTTGAGCCGTCGTCACTCTTTGAAACTTGTTAGCATCGTCTATCACAAATCACACACGTACACACGGTACCAAAGACAAACCCATCCTCCTCAAGATGAAGTACTCTCTCTCTACCTGCCTTGCAGTCCTCGGCATGGCCTCGGCCCACTCCTGGGTTGAGTGCACCGACCACGACAACAAAGACCTCCTGCAGAAGATGATCGCAGGCTCTCAAAAGACACCCCCGGAGTTGATCGACCCAGTGTAAGTTCAGAAGCACCCTTCTCTCCCCAGAAGGCCCTGCCAAGGGCCTCCGCGAAGAACCCTGAAGCTGATCGTGGGCCCCAAATAGCTTCTTCCCCGAGAAGTGCCGCGGCTGGCCCCGTGCCAAGGCCAACCCGGGCGACTGGATCGATGAGTCCACCAACTTCTCCTGGAACATTGCCGCAAAGACCTTCGAGGGCGACCGCTCTGCCTGCAACCCCTCGCAGCGCAGCCCTGGCCAGGAGCCCAACGCGCCCATGGCAACAGTCAGCCCCGGCGGCACCATCAAGCTGAGGTACGGCGGCAACGGCCACACTCGCGGCGCCACCGCCGGCAAGAACAACGACCCTGGCCAAGTCAGCGTGTACTGGGCCGGCGCCAAGGAGACCGAGATCGAGACCATCGACGAGTTCACCGACGCCAACCGCATCGCACAGGCCGGCTTCTCAGACGACTCCTTCTCGTACCCAGCTGACCCCAGCATCATCAGCCCCACCCAGGGCCTCGTCGACAAGGGCAACTGGATGGACCTCACCATGCCCACCAACATGGAGCCCGGCAGGCACATGCTGGTCTGGGTCTGGAGCTACGACGACGCCCCCCAGTGGAGCACATGCTTTGACGTGCAGATCCAGGCATAAGTAAGGGGCGGGAGCGGGGCCCTTTTCTTTGCGAGGAGGAAGGGTCAACGAGCGATGCGGGAATGAGTCGTGGGTCTTTTGCTGGAGTCGGAGTTCTTCCACAATATCCGAGACGGCCATAGAGGACATTTGCGCTTTCTTTGCTTTTGGGATGTCTGTGCCATTTATTTTGCTTCTGGCTTCCTTGCTGTTCGCTTCTCCAAGGCGTAGCGGGGGGTGGTTGGTCTTTTCACTGCGTGCCCACCAAGGCGCATACTTTGGGTTCGGAATTGGGCACGCCCTACTCAGGTGGTGTTTCGTGGGCAACTTGTTCGCATAGCTGAATTACTCCAACGATTTGAACATACACGTCCGCCAATATAGAAAACTCATTCTGGCCCATACCATGTCTTCGTGGCTTGTAGAGCGTGTTTGCTCGTACAAGAAAATGATGCTAGTCCCAAGACAGCTTCATCACTCACCTCGGTCAATGAGTTCGCTGATTTGCGGCCGTATAGGAATTTCTGCATGTAAGAATTATTGCGGTCGTACCTGACGAGGCTTCAGCATCCGAATTCCTCACCTAGGTCAGGATACGGGCTATCCAAAGGGTTTCAAGGCAGGGCAGTTCAGTGATTGACATTGCACAGACGCAAGGTCGCGCAGCTCAAGGAAACACTGGTGCAAGAACATGGTTGCTTTCTGTATAAAAATGATCAGCTTCCGTGATTATTCGTTAGGAGCCTCACTTCTTCACGTGTACATACTCCTGTATTGCCACTTAACGACTCAATCGTCGTCCCGTTGGAATCCTTGTCGGCCACGACCGATCCTGTCTGCCAAAGTCCCATTTCCTGCGGCGCTGTGAAGTTTGTGTGCAAATTCCCGGCCACCATATTTGGACGACCGGGCTCGGGCTCGGTCATCAGCCTCACGCTCAGCCTCTTCCTTCTGCGCCAGTGCTGCGAGGCGGGCTTCTCTGGCCTTGTCCAGGTCCGTGGCATCATTCTGCATGGCTGCAAGCTTCCTTGCCCTCTCCTCCTCCTCATCTCGGTCGTCGAACCGTCGTGCGGCCCCCTTAAGGTCATGTTGAGAGCGCTTCCGGGTGGGAGAATGTCGCCTATCCCTGTCTTCCTTACGATGCTCGGAATCGTTCCGCCGACTATCCGGGTACTCTCTCCTCGGCGGCCTCTCTGCGTCCTCGTCACAGGAATCGTAATTTCGACGAGCCCGAGACCCTTCTCTTGGGTCTGAGCGATGGCTCCTGTGGCGTCTCCCGCTGCCCGAGTCGTGATCCTCGCGACGAGTGGGTGGCGATCTATCCCGCGAAAATGAACGCCGCCTCTTGCGCCGCCTTTCAGAGTCCGATTCATCTTCGGATCGCCGCGGGCTCCGTGATCGTTCTCGAGAGTCTCCGCGCCGGCGTCTGTGACGGTGTTCGCGCTCGTCATCGTCGCGGTGTCGGTGGTGGGATCTGTGGCTGCGATGCCGGTGCTCCCTATGCTCCCTGTGTTCCCGATGTTTTGATTTGGGCTTCTCTTCCACGATTCCCATTTGCGCAAGAAGTTGTCGACGTTTGGATGGATCCTTCATCATGGCTTGGTATGCGCCTTGTTCCTGCCTCTTGATCGCGACAAGAGGATCTTCGCGGATCTTGGCAGCTGTGTCTCGCGCCGAGGCGATGACTGGGAGGGGCCCTGGGGTTTCGCCAGTCGGTCCTGCTGCCTTCTCCACCTTCTTCATATCATCACCCCGCAGGACGGAGTCGATGCGTCGCTTGCCGAGTAGGAATGCCTCGCTTGAGTATTCGTCACGTCCACCGTCATTGGGCCCCTGATACATCCATTCCACACGATCAACCTTCTTCTGGCCACCGGCAGCCTCGAGCTGCTTCTGAGTCTCTTCGATCTGCCTCTCGCGCCTGATTTCCTCGAGGCGCGCCTCGGTGAGCTTCCGCTCTTGCAGCGCTGCCTGCTCAGCGTCGTACACGCGACGCTGGTTGGACATCAACTGAGGATGCCATGATTTCTTGAGGTTGAGGTCGTTGCCTCCCATTTTGACTGGATATGTATGTACGTGACCTTGTGATGCAGTAGGCAAGTGGTATTGGGACAGATACGTCAGGGAGATGGGTTGGTGGTGGTCGTGGTGGTTGTGGTGGTCGTGGTGGTCGTGGTGGTCGTGGTGGTCGTGGTGGTCGTGGTGAAGGAGCGACAAGAAACGGAAATGAGAGTGGCGGAAAAGTCAAGGCAGAGAATAACCAGGATGCGCCGCTCCACGGCATTCACCTCTCCCGCTGCAGACAGCCTGACAGCTGGGCGGCTGGGCGGCGGGAATGAGCCCCACAGACATACCCCTAGCTGGCCCTGCCCCTCAGCCTGGCAGGGTTGGCACGGGCCCTCTGAACCTGGAGCAGCCATCCACTTACCCTCTGAACCTGGTCCAAGCAGACAGCATCCACCCGTGCTTCATTCATCAATTGTTTGCAACTTCATCAACTCTCCGTGCTTCCTCACCAACACAGCATCGCGATCTTATCTGAGCCCTCTTGCATTTTGAAGCTTCTCCATCATTACGGAACTTGTACCAGCAGTGTAGTAAAACTACCAGGGCTGTCGAGATGTCGGATGATGATTTCATGCAGGAGTCAGATGAGGAGTATGACTTCGAGTATGACGATGACGACGATAACGAGGATTCTGGCGATGTAGACATTGAGAACAAATACTACAACGCCAAGCAGTTGAAGGTCACAGATCCCGAGGACGCAATCAAGGAGTTCCTGGAGGTGCCGGGCCTGGAACAGGAGAAGGGCGATTGGGGCTTCAAGGGCCTAAAACAGGCTATCAAGCTAGAGTTCAAGCTGCAGCGTTACGATGAGGTTTGTCACGGATTGCTCGCCACAGGACAGCACACTGACCATTTCGCAGGCCATCAAACACTATGCGGAACTTCTCACCTACGTCAAGTCTGCTGTCACGCGCAACTACTCCGAGAAGTCCATCAATAACATGCTGGACTACATCGAGAAGAGCTCCGACGCCAAGGGAGCTGCGCTGTGTATGGAGAAGTTCTACTCGCTCACCCTCGAGTGCTTTCAGACGACCAACAACGAGAGGCTCTGGCTGAAGACAAACATCAAGCTCGCCAAGCTCCTACTGGACCGCAGGGAGTACCCATCAGTCAACAAGAAGCTGAAGGAGCTACACAACGCCTGCAAGCGCGAGGACGGTAGCGAGGACTCTAGCAAAGGCACCTACCTGCTTGAGATTTACGCCCTTGAGATCCAGATGTATGCAGAGACCAAGAACAACAAACAGCTCAAGCTCCTGTACCAGCGCGCCCTGAAGGTGCGCTCCGCCGTGCCCCACCCCAAGATCATGGGTATCATCCGGGAGTGCGGCGGCAAGATGCACATGAGCGAGGAAAACTGGAAGGATGCCCAGTCGGACTTTTTCGAGTCTTTTCGGAACTACGACGAGGCAGGAAGCCTGCAGCGCATCCAGGTCCTCAAGTACCTGCTGCTCACCACCATGCTGATGAGGTCCGATATCAACCCCTTCGACAGCCAGGAGACGAAGCCGTATAAGAACGACCCGCGCATTGCTGCCATGACGGATCTGGTGGATGCCTATCAGCGAGACGACATTCACAAGTATGAGAGCGTCCTCCAAAAGAACCAGGACCTGCTGGCCGATCCTTTCATCGCCGAGAACATCGACGAGGTCACACGCAACATGCGTACCAAGGCTGTGCTCAAATTGATCACCCCATACACTCGCATGCGTCTCTCCTGGGTCGCGAAACAGCTGCGCATCAGCGAGGTTGAGGTGCAGGATATCATGGGCTTCCTTATCATTGACGGCAAGATCAATGGCAAGATAGACCAACAGACTGGCGTCTTGGAGATCAACAGCGACCACGACACCGAGCGCATCGGCGCCATTCAGCACCTATCCGATGCCCTTGCGGAGCTGTACACCACGGTTTTTAAGGATGGCGACGGCTTCCGCAACTCAGACACGACCGTTGCCGGTGACGGGTCAGACCTGGGAGGCGGCTTGTTCGAATCTTCTCTGGGGTCACGTCGCGAGGGAGGTAGCAGGGCTACAGGTCATTTCCAGAGGGCTCGCAAAGTCCACCACAGGGAAACGTTTGGCGCGGCGTAGCTTGCCGGGTCTGACCATTACGCGACCGGAGGAGTAAGTCGCGATATCCTTCCACAAGCAGCCCCCATGCTGGCGACCTGTCTTCAAGACGGAGCAGGCGCAGGTGCAGCACCCATTGCCTATACTCGTTTTGGCCACACTGCACATTACGCAAAGATTACTTCCCGTCGCAGCTATGGTTCCGCTGGAGATTCCGAGCAGTCAAGATCCTGAAATAGAAAGCCACGAATCGATACACCCCCGGGAGTTCGGCCCGTTTCTACCCTGCACTGTGAGAAGTGATTGGCGGCACGCCGCTGGGCAACGGCATTTTCCAGTCTGCCTACTTGGCCCTGCGCACCGTCTTCTATCAAATATCGAATGCAGGAACATGCAAGCACATATCCCACTGCAGCTCGCGCGCCGCCGCCGTCTTGGTCGATCTGTTGCTGACCCTGCAAAGTAGCCCCGAGACGCAGCGGGGCAGGATTCTACAATCTAGATGCGACTCGTATCCACGTCGCGAGTTGCCTAGAGTGAGATAAGGAGGGATTTTGCCCCCTGAAAACCCGCACTGTCCAGGCATCTAGGGCCTTCTTCCCTTCTGACTGTCTTCGTTCGTTGGTCGCAGAGAGCTTTGATAGACGGGCCCAACTATCCGACCTTGCATAGAGGCCAAGCCAACGTGTCGCTTTGGGAGCTGAATGGGCATCCCGAAAGAGTAGGATAACACGAAACGCTTCCGTTGACCTTTCGCGTCGCCACCCAGAAGCAGCATCGATCACCACTACTACAGAAGCCTGTTAAAAGGTAGACGCACAGGCGTACATATGCATAAATTCCGGCGCGAGAGAACGCCCATGCTATGATTCCAGGAATTACATTACCGTCAGGGCCAGAAAGCCCGGCCAACCCGGCCATAATTACAAACTGCCTGCCTTGCCTTGCCTTGCCCTACCCTGCCCTGCCTTGCCCTGCCCGCCCTGCCCGCCCTGCCCCGCCCTGTTTGCCTTACCACCACCCTCCTTTCCCAAAGCCAGTAAAGAAAAGCGGAAACCACCAGAAGAAAAGTTTTTTTTCCCTCGCTCACTAAGAAACTCTGGAAAGACTGGAGACCCAGCCCGAAAACCAATAGATGATGACCTGGGCCGAGTTCGCCTCGCGCAGCAAAGACAACGTCGTCTGAAAATGCAGATTCAAACAGCCGCCCCCCCCCTGGTCTTCACCAGCTGGCGCCTCCTCGCAGCGCGCCCCGGAAATCGGTCGAAAGATTTCTCGATCTTTTAAAAGGGGAAAGCGTTGTTTGGCTTGTGCGCCCCGGTGGCTTTTAACACCGTCTGCCATGAATCTTCGTTCAATCCGTTTCCTAGCATGCTACCGGGCCGTTTCCCGGGTCTGCAGGCCGTAGCTTCAATCTGCTGCGCCCCCCCCCCCTTTTTGAACCCCTAGCGTAATAGTGGGCGGTAAACTTAGCCTCATCGACGGCAGAGTTTGTGAGTTTTTGTCCTCGTCCGCCCGCTCTGTGATCGTCATTTCTCGGTCCTCGTTTCCCCGCGACCCGTACTATCGTCAGAAGACGAATGGCCTGCTTTATGGTGGCCCTTCTTCTTTCCCGGGCGTTCACACCTCTCCACCCAATCATCATAGCCTGGCCTGTACTCTTCGGGTTGAAAGTTGGGGTTATTGTAGTGGGCGGTGTTGAAATGCGAATTTTTGAATGTGTTCGTCTGGAGTGGCTGCTCCGGCCATGCATTCGTGTCCATCGGCCCCGCGTACTGATACCGGCTGAAGCGGATCTCGTGGGTCGTCGACGGGCCAGGGATCGCCTGTGTCGGTGGAATCTGCTGCGCCGGTTGCGGCTGTGCTGGAGGGGTGGGTGATGAGTCTGCATAAGGTGAAGAGAACCACGGCGATTGAGGGCTGGACGGGTATTCCAATGAAGAGCCGGTCAGCTGCCCCATAGCCGAGACCGCGCCGACAGTACCGAATCCTGGTATCAAGGCTAGAGGATTTGGAAGGCCGAACGTGTCTTGAAACTGCGGGCCAGCATTGTCATGGTAAGTAGGCGGGTAGGCCATCCGGTTGACATGCAAAGACGTCGTCGTGGACGTAATGGAAGGCTTATATAAGATGTCATAGTGACCCGGACGGTATAAAAGATGGATAAAACCGGCCGGGTTGGCGGGATCGCCGTCTGGGAAGCGGTGTGTGTTGACTTGGCTGCCCTGACTGCGGTCGAGGTAGGCGATTTCGAGTGTAAACCCGACTGGTTTCAGTAGTACCTCGACCAAAAGAACGATGCCAAGTTCCTCGATCTCTCTCTGCGCTGGCTCGATGACGGTCTGAGCGTAGGTCTCAGGGTCAGCCTCACACCATGCCGCGTACTGGTCCCGGTTGCCCCTCAGCCACGCCCCTGCAAGCAGCCGGAGGTGGAATAGTATGTTCATGGACGATGCATCGTTAAACTTGGTGGTGAGTACGGCCATGGCGGTCTCAGGGTCATGTATGTTGTCCGAGATCTGCTTCAGAAGCTCGAACGTGTCTTCTACAAAGTCAACGAACAGGTCGGGGTCGTAGTTCCCGCTGTTCACGAGGTAGTTGTTCAGCTGTGTCAGGCGAAGGTGCTCCCCATCGATAAGCTCCTTGCTGCCCTGCTGGATGAGCAGCTCGAAGTAACAGAAACCAATAGCTTAACACAAGGTCAGCAACTGCAAGAGTCTGCGTTGCACAAGGGTGGCGTCCACGGCAAGGCGCCCAATAATGCGACTTGAGTTTGGAACGGGATATGACAATTGGGAAGGGCCCTGCGTGACCGGGCAGGGAGCTGATGGGGCGGGATTGGGAGAGCTCGACAAGCTTACCTCTCCACCCACAGTTGCCGTCTCCTTTGACAGGCCTGTAGTGTGCATATGTCTGGGGTAGGGCCTGTGTGATGGTCAGCCGCTGTTGAGAAACTGTTATGTCATGACCAACCCGGCTAGGGGGTTGACACAACCGGGGACGCGGCAAGGGATGCTCACTATGGTCTTGTCGACGTAGATGGGGTCTGCCTTTGCATACTGTTCCGTGATGGCAGTAATTGTGGTCCTGTCGCCAAGTAAAGGCCCCTGTTGCGGATCCGGGGTGGTTAGTTGAGTAAACCGCCAGAGCTGCAGAGCTGCGGGACAGGAGCTGCCACGCGGTGCGTGGGACAGAAATGTGGGAGAGGGGCGGTTCAAGAGGGGAGGGGAAGCGTACCTCGACCTCGGGCTCCCAGGTCCTAGCCGCGGCCTCTTGGGCGGCGAAGTCGTCAGGCAGGCCCTGGTTCTGTTCCATCTTGACGCGGGAGGCTGACTTGTGGTTTGGAGAGTGGTGCTGGCGGCGGCGCCGCTGTTGCTGCTGCTGCTGCTGTTGTTGTTGCTGTTGTTGCTGTTGTTGGCGGTGGTCAAAGAGGTTAGGAGCCCCGGGTTGGTGGTGTTGTTGCAGAGGAAGGGTGCTGTTGAAAGGGAACACGGGTAGCGGGGCAGAGCGGACGTCGACAGGGGCCCCTGCAGCCCCGCCATGAGCATCATGGCATGAGCCGCCGGCTGGTCCAGGGCCACTTGCAGGGGGCCCTGGCACCCCAACTTGCCCAACCTGGGGCCCAGGCCCACCCAGGGAAAGAGACGCAAAGGGCGCCTGCGGGTAAGTGCTGTACCCAGCGGCCTGCACGCCCTCAAACCCGTTACTCAGCCCATCATCGTCGACGCCAACGGGAATGTACGGCGGGTAGAAGGACGAGTACGGTGTCGGCTGCGGCTGGAACATGCCGAAACAGCGCCCGGGCTCGAGTGAAAGCAACACGGAGAGGGATCCTTCGCACCCAGGTCAGGCTGGTCCGGACAGGCCAGGCCAGATAGAATCAGCCCAGGTGAGGGCTGGCTTGGGGGAAGGTCAGGCAGGCGGCGCAGGTGGGGTTGCCAGCCACTGTATATCGTGCTCTGTCGGCGAGGGTTAAACAAGCAATGGTCCTTGTCCGACTTCGTCGTGGCATGCAACCCGTGGATGAACTGCCGCCGGGAGCAACCGATCCGCTGCTTGATAACTAACTATCAGTCCGCCTGTGAAAGACCTCGTCAGTGGCCATCATCTCACTCTCTCACAGGCGCGGAGGCACACGCGCCCGCACACACGCACACACGCACACACGCACACATGCACACACTCACACATGCACACGCACGCATGCACGCACGCAGGTAGGTAGGTGGGTAGGTGGGTAGGTGGGTAGGTACAAATGACAAAAGAAATGGCACCGGAGAAGCAAATCACGGTCAGAGGTGTAGACTTCGCGGCGCAACAGACGGATCAGATGGTAAGTAAGGTTGAACGTACGGCCGTTGAACGAGACGAGACCTTGGGAGATACAGCCTGCGAGGAGCAGTTGTGCTGGGTCCCGACCCGGGATATTTGTCAAGACGTAGAGATCTTCATGTGCAAGTAGGTGTAACAGGGAAATAGATGGTTGCAGCCGATCGGAGGAAGCAGTGGATTCCAAGTTGGGGTTGACGGTAAGACGGCAAGCCAGGCCAGAACAAGATTTTGGGTGGACGGAAACAAAACAGAACGTAGGAGCAGGTGGAGGAACAAGAAAGAAAAGAAAAGGCAGACCGTGGTTCGGAGCAGGAATGTCGGCCTGGGAGTCGCTGGACGCCAGAACAAGAGCGATATAGATGCAACCGCACAAACACAGAGAGAAGCCGAGGCCGGAAGATTGTCGACGGGACAGGGCGGGCTTTGGATCCAAGGTCGAGGTCGACTGGTCAGGGACGGTGTGCTAGGTAAGAGAGGTAGAGCAAGGTCTGGCTCGGCTTTGAAGGTGCCACGGTGAGGGTGAGGGCGGGCGAGGGTGAGGGCGATGGGCGACAGTGGGGCGAAGGATAAATACGGTGCTGATGGGTGCAGCAAGCACACGAAGTTTGGGCAGCGTCTGTGGCCGGCTGGTTGTCTAAGCCGGTCCAAGGATCGCGGTAGTGCTGACTGTGTGTGAGTCGTGAGGAGGGTCAAGCGACACGCAAGACCACGACCCTAGCAGGCACTCAGATTAGACAGATAGGCTGGGAGCGGCACAGGCACAGGCGTGCGTGTGCTTGTGTGGTGCGGGCAGCACGAGCGTCCTGTTGATATTGCGTCTGATTGAAAGACTATGGAAGAAAGGGCGACAGCACCAAAGGCGTCCAAGGCAGGAAGAAAGTTTGGAAGCTGGGAGTGCTTATACGAGAACAGCTGGGAGGGGGGCGATGTGAGCGGCCAAAGGGGGAGGGGGTTCTTGTTCCCTTCCTCCTCATTGACTGCTGCTGCATGCGCGCGCGCACACATACTCCAACCTACACAGGGTCGGAGGGAGGAGAAGAGCGCGAACGTCCCATCCCATCCCATCCCATCCCATCCCATCCAACCCCGAGCAAGGCGGCAACGCACTGGCCCGCGGGAGCAGCCAGTGGAGGTGACAGGGAGCCTCCAGGTTGGGAGCGTCAATGACCGAACCGATCAGCTGGCAAGGGGGCAGCAAAGGTCTCTCTCTCTTTGGATGGGATAGGATGGGCTGGGCTGGATAGGCCGGTGCTGGTGCCGGTGCTGGTGCCGGGAAGGGTGTCGATCGAGAAAGGAGACGTCTGGTCTCCTGGCTGGCTGGGCTGGGCTGGGGCTGCGTGTCTGTCTGGGTGATCGCCACGGGCCAAGAAAAGAGCCCTTGTCCGTCGTAGTGGTCTCGTCTGATGAGGCAGTGATGAGGATGCCAGACAGCCAGATTGCCAGATGGTGGATGGCCGCTGCCCGCGGCACCTCCAACGCCCCAAAAGCCTCCAGAGCCCCGGCCCCCGAGCATGAGCCATGAGCCTGGCAAGCCTGGGCAAGCCTGCCTGGAGTGCCTGGCAGGCCTGGCAACATGGGTGACCTAGGTAGGTTTCGTCCATGGTACTGTTATTACTGCCCCAGGGATGCTTAGCGGGAATGACGGGGGCGGGCTCGGCTGGGGAAACCCTGGTTGGGGTTGCTGGCGTGTGGGAGCTCTCCTGGTCAGGGGTCCTCGGAGCGAGACGTCGACGGCAGACCTTGGGGCCTCTGGACCTCTGGAAGTCGTGTAAAAATTGTGAATGGCGGCCGATGAGTGGCCAACCAATCTGGAATGTCAGGGTACCTCTCTCGGCCGTGTGTGTGTGTGTGTGTGTGTGAGAGTGTGCGTGTGTGTGCGAGCGTGTGTGAGAGTGTGCGTGGTGTGCTAGACTGTGGTGTGTGGAGTGTGGTGATGTATAGTTTATGGTGTACGAGTTAGTGAGGGTGTGGACATTTGTGTGCGTGCGCGGGCGTGGAAGGTGATGGATGCATAAGACCAGTCGGTTCAACAACTCGAGTAGCAAGAATACCCTGCCTGGAGAGGTGGAGGGGTAATGGCGATGGCGATGGCGATGTGTTTGTGAAGGCGGTTGCCGTGCTGTGTTCTTGAGAATTAGGTATTCTCCCGCTCGTCATCTGTCACTTGTTGGTGTTGCTCCTCTTCCTCCTCCTCCGCCTCCATACGCCACAAAGTACGTGACTGACTGCCCGCTTGAGGGGGGGTGGCTGGCTGGCTGGCTGGCTGGCTGGCTTGCTGGGACCAGCTTTCAGCTCGCATAGTGCTTCCCTCGCCGGCCTAGACGGCCCAGTCAATATCGATGCCTTCATGACAAGTAGCGAGACGGGCAGAACGGGCTGGCAGGCTGGCGGGCTGGCGGGCTGGCAGGCTGGCTAACCATGTCCAGCAATCTCGGCAACAGGACGACATTCCCAAGGCTAGTGCTCAGGTTAGCTGGTTAGTGGGCGATCCTTCCGCCCATACGTGCCAGGTCTTCTATCGTAAGTCGTTAGGCCCCGCCTATAAAACACCGTTCAGGGGTCCCGCCAGACGGGGCCAGGCTGTGGGCAGGCAACGCTGCCCGCTGCCCTGCCCAGGCCCGGCGGTGGTTGCTGCTCGAGGTTTCAGAAACCAAGACTGCAAGTGCAAGTGCAAGTGCAAGTGAAGTGCAACCGCAACCGCAACCGCGTCCTCGGCCGCGTCTTCCCCCTTGTCGTTCCTACCGTGGTGTCTCTCCCCAGCCTGTCAGTCAGTTTGACCTGGCTCGAGCCGTGGGAGAGACGCCAGAGTCTGGTTCCGTCAATGATTCATTATGCGTAAGCTACCAGGTTGTTCTCGAACGTCGTGCTCGGGTTGAGGGCTCTGGGGCTCTGGCCCTGGTTGGGCGCCACTGTCACGGTCGCATTCATGCAGCTCGACTCCCAGCAACCTGCCTGCCTCCTGTGTCCTCTCGTCGGCTTGTTCACGGTAGCAGGTAGAAATACACACAAACGCCCCGTCCGCCGTCGTCACCAGCCCATCCGTGCGCTGCCGCTTGCCCATCCTGCCATCCTGCCATCCTGGCCGGCGTCCATCGGCACGGAACGCCCATCTGTGCTCAGTCCTGGGGCTGGCGTGGCGCCAGCCAGACAAATGAGCCGTCGTGGCAAGATCCAGGGCCCAAGCCAGGGGCAGACAAGATCACCTCGCATCTAACGTCACGATCCAACGGTGCAATCCGCCTGTGCAATCCGCCTGTGCGCCCGCAGCCCGCCGAGGACACGAAGAAGCTACACTAATCAACTGGCCATCGCGGGCACCACCACAACATCGCCCTGTCCCTGTGCGCCGGCCTCATCGCATGCGCACAGGCAACCGTGGCACACAGACATGGCCCACTGCTGTACGCCGGTGCGCCTGTTGGCCTGCTCTTGTACTTTACCCTACACGCCCGCCTGCGTGGTAGATCCCGGGAAGCTCCCGTCCTGCCCGATGGCATACCCTTGAGCAGCTGCAATTGTACTCGGTACGGGGTACAGCTCCTCGGCTCGTCAACGCGGGAGAGCTCCATGCTTGCGGCCCAGTCATGCACAACACATCACAGCGCAGCGCAGGACAGCAGAGCAGCCACCTACAGACCACCATCTCACAACAGCGTAGAATCATAGAACACCCCCAACAGCTCGTCATGGCCTCAGCGCAGGGGTCACCACCGGATTGACGCCTGCCATGTCGAAATATGCGTGCGCGTGTCCGCCTCCGCTCCATTCCTCGAGGCAATGCTCTGCAACCCGCACAACTTAAGTCCATTATCATTCCCGGTCCTCCTGGTTCACCCGCTAAGTAAGGAACACCTGCCGCCCACATCGGATGCCCTTAATGTGAGCACAAACAAGACAGACCTCTGTGGGGCCTCGCCTCTCAGCCAATGCTGTAGCTTCGTCACTTTGATAAGCCCTGGGTTTCTCGCCAATGCAGGAGACAGCTTTAGAAGAGACCTTGTCTCCTTGGGACACCCCTGAGCTGTCGATGGCACTCGATGGTCTGGCCGCGCCCTGTTGCACCACACAGTGATACTCAGTAGCCGGGAAAGTCCGCGATGCGATTTGGCCGGGCACTTACAGGGATCAGCCTCGCGGTAAAAGATGTCCCTCGGGGCATCAGGTATCCAATGCCACTTACTGCACAGATATTCATCCACGGAGCATGCTGCCACGGCTGGCATCGGTCGAGCTGTCCCCACGGTAGACCCATCGTCTCACCCACGCCCTTGTGGGGTTTGTCTTGCGTCTTCCAATATGTCCTGCGCGGGTCGGGCGAAACACCAAGCTCGTCAAGCGCAACCAATCTCGACAAGACACCACCTGCGCATGGACTGGGACGATACGCAGTCGGCTAGCACTTCAGCCGGGCTGTGCCAGTTGTCCTAAGGGAGGGGGACGCAACGCCGGCACTGGTGGTTACACGAAGCCACCACGCCATCTCGCCATCTATGAGATCTGACAGATGCACACTGGCCCCATTGCACGAGGCTCATTTGCGGCGGTTGCGCCGATATTCCCACCTGCTCGCCTCCGTGCTGTGTGGTCCGACCGTGTGCGTGTACCCCCGAGCAAGGTCATCAGGCTTACGGGATGGAACTCCACCCATACACCTCGTGACCTCGTGACACAATCTGACTTTTGACAGGAGAGATGCTTGACAATGTCGTGGACTGCCAGGTTGAGGCGCCACACACCCACACATGCACACTCGCACACACAAGCAGTTTGATGAGCCGGCCGGCCTGGCCGGCCTGCTCAATCCCTACGTTTGGCATTACAGGATCGGTCTCGGCAGGAACAGCCCCATAACATGAGAACGCATCATGTACAGTATGTACGTGACCTGTAACGTGCCGTGCATGTGCAAGGCGCAAGACCAGGCGACGACTTGAAAGGACGAGACGACTTGCCGAAATACACTAGACCAGCAACTTGCGGATCGCGGATTGCGGATGAATGGTGTCGGACCAAGAGCGCTGCCAGAAAGCATGCCTGATGAAACTGCCTCCGCTTCATAAGACAATTTCGTCCACTCTCCATCATGATGACGAGCGGGCCTAAGCTAGCGCTCCACTAAGCTCGAGGCATTGCTTCAAAACACACCCAGAAAAGTCCCCAGCTCCCGAGACGAAGACAACGTCGGGATAGCATAGTATCTCTCAGATGGCCCAACCTGCGCTAGCGGGGTGGATCGTTGCGGCTAACGACTTCCATTGCAACCACCATGCGAGATCAAGGAATTGGGCCGGCATGGTTGGTCGCTCCCGGCTCGACTTGCTTGGCATCAGATCGACGAGCTCTTCATTTTGTTCGAGAAATCACAGTAACTATAGTGCAGCATCATGTACTCAGGCTATCAATAATCCGTGGGCGCAGACGAGTGGGTATCGGTCTCTCCTGCACATTGTGGCATATAACCGCCTGTGACTGCATACACGATGTAGACGTGGGGCGTGTGGGGGGCACAATATCAATCACTTCCAAACTCTGGAAACCCCCACCCATTAAAACAAAAAAACAAATATACAAGTACCACTACACTCGCCTGATTCAAGAATACCATTGCCGGTGGCACTTTGAGTCGCCTTGGGCAATACAACACTAAGGCCTGGACATGACTAGCGACTGTCCTCAAGCTTGCAGCCATTGTGGTGGTGATGGGCTTTTGGAGAAGGATTCACGCCACGACATCACTGGGCGCGGCAGGCAAGCTCGACTTGCAATCTAACGTGCGCCACGCGATGGAACTACGACGATGAGACCGAGTAGAATCTACTCAGTAGATAACCATGCGACTCTCTAGGCCTTGGCAAGTATGGAGCTGCCGCCTCCAGAGTCAAGATTCAGACTCGTCGACGAAAGCACAACAGCAAGTACAAGTAATTTGAATACGTATTTGAAACGGGCCAACAAAGGACCCCGTACACGCGAAGCGACACCCAGAGCCGTTTAACCGTGAGAACCCAACACCAACATCCGCGGTCATGATAATGTGAACTACTGTATGACCCATGACCCAGAATTGACGGCAAACGAATTAGAACGAGACAGCTGTTGATGCTTTGCATGGCCTCGACTGGCAATGCAAGGTCATGTCCATTCACAAAGGGTCTATTCGTCCCGCACATGCAGGCCAGCGTTAGTCCCGCAGTTTGCGTTCCCACGATGCAGCACTCTCGGGCCCCATGTCCACCATGGACAAGCCTCGTGGAATTCCCTCTCTTTTGCCGGTCCCGCGTGTTCCAACCCACAAAGTTTGCCTTGCAATGCCGCGTGCCAGCCCATTTCTCAACCCATCATCGACCCCAACTCTCCTATGATCTGATCCCGTCCCGATCCGTCCCTCCCATGACGGTCACTTTGAATGGTGAGTTCTCGCGAACCGGGGGAGGTGGTGGTTTGGCCACGGGGAACCCTCCTGCTGACAGCAGCTCGGCTCTTCCAATCCGTGCCCGTCATCGCACACCCAAATGAATGTCATGCCCGAGCTTGTGCTGCCTCCCCCTCCCCCCCACCTAATCTTCCGTCTGTTGTTTCTGCGGGTGCAAGACATCATGCAGCGCGACCGTGGCTTTCTCTGGGGGCGACGCCATCTAATGTACGTAGCCGTGGTCACTACATGTTATTGACCTCGGCCGGGCCATCGTTGCGCAATGTCCTGATGGATTGGCAGAAGTAAGCGCAGGAGGATGTGTTGAATCGGATGCCTGCTTCGGGTTTGAGCTGTCACAAATGGCATGTCTCTCAAACTTTCCAGATAGGGCACAGGAATCCGTGTTTCAACTGTTCTGCTCGCGATGTAAGTTCGTATCTTGTGGCGTTGCATTTGCGACTATCGCTGCCGTCTCACAGCAGGTTCAGCTCGGCACTGTACGGCATGACGGCTTACACCTCGAATCATTCATGAGAATTCACATTTCTCGACTTTACCCAGGCTGCTGGTCCCCTCATCCTCCCGCCGCCTTCGGTTCCTCCGGAGTGGCATGCCATCCCTACAGTCGCCCTTCTTTCCCGAGCCTCAGATAGGCCGGCCGGAAGATCAAATACGAGAAGGCCATGTCCAAATCGAACATCTGTATTCGGCCTCGGAAAAGTGAGACACGACGGGAGCTGGGCCGAACAAGACCTTGAGTCCGGCTGTGTGGACGCCGGCTTGCCTGTTCTGGACCCTTGCGGTTGGTCCGACGTTCCGCACGATTGCGCAAACGACCTCAGCGTTTACGATGGCAGGAGGAGGCGAAATATTGGGCAGTGCCCACGGCCCTGAATTACATGTCGCTCAGCCAGCCAGGCGGCAGAGCCGCTTGTTCAAGCGTACGGGACTGCCAACATCAGAAAGCATGATGTACTAATTCAATCGCTCTTGGAAACCGTTCTGAACCGTGTCGTACTGGACAGCAAACTGTGGTCTAACACCAATGGCCTTCCTGATTGCAAGCAATGGCAGTCGGCTCGGGGTGGACTGTTACATCGGAGAAACAACTGGGCTTGGTCTCTTGGACCACACCCGCCTATATGCCCTTCGATACCGCTTCTGCCAACGAGGCTTGGGCCCACGAATGGCGAGTGCCGACACAGCATGATGTTCCGCCCGCGGCGTCTACTCTACCGCAAGCACGGGCTACCGGGGCGGTCAGGCAGATGACAGTCCAAACTTGTCTTGGAGGGCCCTGTTGATATGCGGCCAGCCATCACAACATGAAAGGGAGCGTGCAAGAAGATCCAAGCAGAAGACAGAGCGCACTCTAGTGGCTTGCTTCCTCGAGCACTTGAATGGGTTCCAACAGACAAGGGTCCTTGATTGCGTTTCTCGTCGTTGGAGCTGCGACTGGCTATGGAAATAGCGAGCGCGACGTCTAGAGGTTGAGGTGTCTGAGAATGATGTGGTAAGGCGGCGAGGTCGTGACCTCTTGGCTGCTCGCCAGATGCAGGTCATACATATGTACTACACGTGCATGTCTCCCAGTGCTGCCCGGTCCGAATTGGAAACGCGGAACCTAATGCGCCTCGGCATCCCACCGGTGAGGTCCCAAGATCGAGGGGTCCCCCGTGCCTCGGGAGTCCTACGGCTTAGTTTCCATTCAGCCGCCAGAATCGTAAGTGGCTGGCTGTTCTCACGGCCCGCATGGCTCGGGTATCTAGTGACACGAGTCGAGAAACACGGCTACAGCGCGTCAAACATGGGATAGAGGGAGGAATGAGAAGAAGTAAAGCAACGGAGGCGTTTAGCGTGTTTAGGAAACCGGTGAAGAACCTGTCGCATAACATACATCTCCAGCAGCACTCACCTTCCTTCTCAGGGTGAGCCTGGAAATTGGAATTTGCTTCTTCACAGCCCAGGGGTCAAGCCGGGTGGTAGGCACAGGGCCGGCTGCAGGCTTTCTTCTTCCTATGTATTTCACCAAGTGAAGAGAAAGGAAGGAGGAGGGGGAGGAGGAGAAGAGAAAAAGGAAGAAGGTGGTAGGCGGCCTAGGGGATGGCAGCTTGAGATTGCCCGCGCATCCGAAGTTGAAGAAACAGCCTCTGCGAGCACTTGAGGACAGCCTCCGGCTGCGATACCTTCCCAAAGTTGACTCTGCTCCGCATACACAGTACGCAAACGGACCCCCCGCCAGGAAACCCGACGTCTCTGTTTTCGGTGACCGTTGAGAGAGAGCAAAGAAGAAATAAAAGCAGACCGATCGACGACATCTGGACGGACTGCCTCGGCACCCGCCTCGCCCACATCCCTGCGGCCTCTCCCGTCCCGTCCAGCCCAACAGACGCGCAGATTGGTTCACGACTTGCAGGTCTTTTTGACGTTGCATGGGCTGTCTGTCAGTCTTTGCCTGTCTTGCCTGTCTTGCCTGTCAGTCAATAGACCAAGTGTGAGCAGGGCTGGCAGGGCAGTGCAGCGTCTGAGCGTGCAGCTTGCAGCCTGCAGGCATGCAGCAATTATTAGCCGCCACTCACAAGCCTGGTTGACGTCAGGACGCAAGTGCTGTGGTTCTAAAGTTGTGTGTTCGACGACAACCTCGGCCGGGCCCAAGACACTATCGACTCTGGGCAGTCATTGACCCTACGACCCCCTCCCCCAACTGGCAACAAGCAGGCTGACCACCATCGCAGCAGCTCTGACCCGGTGCCGAGCCTTTGCCTCTTTCGGGACTGCTGGACGCGGATTTGAGGAGCGGGGGCGGGCCAGGATGGAATCGGACGGCATGCCCAGCCAGGGTCGAGTGGAAGCAGACGCACACAACTTATTGAGTCTGCATGCGGGATGGTTAGATCTGGGCCTCCCTGGTCCCATCCCATACCTGCCATGCAATATTTGGCAGTCTGTTTTTCTTTTTTCTTTTTTTTATTTATTATTCTTTTTTACAAAAAAATGGGGGGGGGCGGAGGTAATCCCGTACAATGAGATACACATGTGCTCGCGCTGCCACGCTGTCACGCTCACACCCACGCCACCAAATCGCACATGCAGTCGTACAATACCCACGCACACACGAAGAAGGAACAACCAAATCAGTACGGTGCAGTGCTCCCGCAGCTCTGCTCCCCTATGGGCCGGCCGGGCCAGGGCCCACACTCGGCACCTTCCAGGTGGACGCATGCCGATTCAGGCTGTAAAGCGGAGCATGGGTTATGGGGGCGGCCCCGGCTGTTCTCCCAAACACAGCTGCCGTGGCCCGTTGCCGCCAGAGAATGCCAGTCAGTCAGTATCTGTACCCAAGTATGGGAACGGGTCCGGCGCCCGTTGACCAGAACGTGCCGCAGTTGCTGCACGGTTTAATCTAAACCCTGCCCCCTGATGGATTTGCTTCTGGATCGGAGGACTGGCAGGGTGGTCAGCATCACTAGAGCAACAAGCCCCGAGGCACAAGGAGGGAGGAGGGGGATGGTGAGGCAGGCCTGGAAGGGAGGGCGGTCGGCCAGGGACATGGGCGTATTGATTACAAGACTACCGCGATGGCGGTAACCAATCAGCAGGGTGAGAATTCTCCGACGGGAGGGAGGAGAAGCCCTATGGGGGCCCCCAAGGTCTGGTGGCGTGCCCCGTTCCCCTGGTCCTGGGAGACTATCTAGGTACTTAAGTACTTAAAGCAAGTAGGTAGGCATAGTCAGCTAGGTTGCCTTGTTGCGAGCCCAAGGAGGGAACGGCGACCACGCAGGGGCTGGGGACCTGACAACTGGGAGACGAGACTGGGAGATAAGGGCCGCGCCCATGCACGGCGTGTGGGATGTGATGGGGCATGGGATTGGGATGCGCATGGCCATTGATCATCGATTGAGCCTGCAGCAGCCGGTGCTCATGCCTGTTCCCGCCTGTTCTCTTTGTTACCCAGTCACCTCCATACACCCGCACATAATTAAGCTGCAGCACCAGAGCCTGAGGTATGCCTCGAGAAGTTGCTGCAGCCGCCACAGGGGGGGGGGGATCGAAGGATCAGACCACCCCGACGGCTCACACCAGCTCCATGTTATGAGGAATGAGGGGTGAATGTGAGGTGTCGTTTTCCCACCCCCTTGATGCGTATTCCCTTTTTTTTTTCCTTTTTTTTTCTCCCTCGGATGACTTGCCCTCCGTGAGCTCGGCCGCCCTGGCAGCCTGGTCAGTTGTCAACCCGGGCGGCGCGGGGCTTGAAATTGTGAGCATTGTGGGCGTTGTGTGGTACTCGCCCATTGTTCGCGGCCCGGCAGATCAAGGGTTGGTGAACAACGGTGACGGGGTGCAGGTCTGTGGTCGGTTGTGACTGCGACTGATGCGGTCAGATATTGCATTGTGCCGCCTCGGTGTGCTGTCGAGGCAATGATTGGCCTGCGGGCCGAGAGACAACCAAGATGGGCCCCGGGGTATCTTGTGTCTACTAGTGCGGGCTGTAAGCTGACATGCAGACCGACCACCTCGCAAAATGCTCACGGTAATCGGTGTGGCATCCATAATTTGTTCCCAAAATCCTTCCCCGTCTTGCCCGTCTCACACCTTCCATCATGTGACCGCTGTCGCACCCGGTCACAGCGTCGTCGCCCCCCCCCCCCTGACCCGGTCTAGAGCTCGTCCACCTCCCCCTCCCCCTCTTTACAGAAGAGAAGAATCGGCGTAACCATCCGGCCGCGAAGCCACCACGAGCTCCTCGGTCTCGTCCCTCCCCACCAGCTCCACCGCCTGTGCCCCCAGCCCCATCCCCTCCGCGAGCTCCTCGGCCCACGCCCGGGCCACCACCTCGGAGTCCAGGCCGCCCGGGATCCCGGTGCGCCCGGCGGCGAGCAGCTCCTCCTCGACGCATGTCACTCCCTTCCCGGCGAGCCCGCAGGCGACGAACCGAGCCCAAGGGTTGGTCGTCTCGTCCGGGCCTGCCCCGTCGCGCTGCTGCACGGTGGCGGAGCCGGCGGCGCGCGTGGTGGGCATGTCCAGGTTGATGGCGGTGCCGAGGCTGCTGACGTGCCGGCGCAGGTGGATGCCCAGGGCGGAGATCTTGCGCACCTCGCCGTCACCACCACGTGGCGACGGCGTGCGCACCCAGACGCCCGGGTCGTCGGTGGTGAAGGCGGGCAGGGCGAAGAGCCGGCGCAGGAGCGAGATGGTGGTGCGCTCCAGCAGGCGGGAGTAGCAGCGCACGGTGAAGTGGTTGTGGCCGAGGGCGCGGGTGGATGAGTTGATGACCATGACGGGCCACAGCACCACCTGGCCCGGCCCGTGGTAGGTGGCCAGACCGCCGCGCGGCGAGGTCAGCACCGAGGGGCGGAAGACGTGCTCGCTGCCGGGGGCGGGGCCGGCGCGGAGGTGGAGCGGGGCCTTGAGGCGGGAGATGTCTGCTGGTGAGAGGGAGGCGGGGTGTGCCTGGGCTTGGCGCCGGCCGAGCGTGTATGTGGGCTGCGGGGTGAAGGAGACGAGAGTTGGCTGCGGCGCACTCAGGCCCTGAATGCCCCTGCTGGCCGGCGACGGGGACCCGGCATCCTGGAAGTCCAGCTGGCGCCGTCGCAGCAGCTCCTGCAGCGCCGCTGCCGTCTGGTAGCTCGGGAAGATGCCCTGTGAGGGTGATGCGGCCAGGTGGATGTGGCGGAGGCGGACACGAGGCATGGCACCCTCAACTCGTGGTTGGCAGGTCTTTATCTGGTTGAGCCCGAGTAAAGAGGGTCAAAAGTGAGAGTAGACCCGAGTGACGACTGGCGACCTGGTGATTACATAAGTGCGCTCCTAACCCTGACATCCTCACATGCCTTGGTACCTACCTAAGTACTTAAGTACCTGTAACCTAGGCAGCTGCTAGGTAGGTCCTCAGGTAGTCCACTCCAGATTCTAAAGTTCCCCGAGACCATGGCCGCCGAAAGCAAACGCTTTGCACTCGCTCGATCAGCACTTGGCCCTGACCCCTCCCATCCAGCCCCCGCCCTGTTCGCCTACGGCTCTCTTCTTCTAGATGAAGTCATTGCAGCCCTGCTGGGTCGTGTGCCTGAAAACGAGCAGGTAAAGGCCCCGGGCTACCGGGTTTCTAAGCTTCCAGACCAGCCATATCCAGGACTCGTCCACGACCCGTCTTCTGACGCTCATGGCCGCATATAGTAAGAACCAGTTGACGTCTTGCCCGGCCAAGTCCGCTGCATCATTTGAATTCGCTAACATTGTGACCCAGCTGTGAGCTCAGCCCCAAGGAATGGGCAATATTGGATTCATTTGAAAATCCGCTCTACGAGGTGCAGGTGGTAATGCTGGAGGATGGGCGAAGGGCCCTAGCCTACGTATGGACTGTGGATCTCCTAAAGGGGGCTTCGGAATGGACAACCGATTCCATGACCGGCCTTGTGTTGGAGAATTACTTGAAATGGACAAGATCCTGGCGTGAAGCCTACGATGAGCAGGCCGAGGCGTCATAGGAGGAAGTAGGTTGTCCTCAGCTGACTCTGAAGGCTCTGGCTCTCATAATCTGACCCCTATTAAAATGAGCATTTTACCTACTTCCCAAGACCCCAAACGACAACAAACTCGGGCAGCTACCTCCGCGAATGCCTCACGCCGATTGATATTTTCCGCATGCATGTGTCTTATAGCCCCAATAAGCTGAGCCTGCAAATTCGTTGGTAACTTGGCGCCTACAACAGACCCAAGAGTTCTCAGTCACCTGGGATTCAGCCTGATCATCGTCAGCTTCAGCCTCCTCGAGAGCAAAGGTCTTATTGAGTGGCAAGTCGCTGCCGGGCCCTCCAGTTTCTCATGGGTTTGTAAGCTGGAGTTCTACGCGTCCGGATTGCTCGAGCTGTTCCCTCGTGCTACCATATTTCTTTGTTTTTGGACAATCTGTTGGGTGTGTCTGTGAACTTTGAAAGGTTCCCGAGGTCCAGAACACGAAAGGTGTTGTAGTAGATATTGGTTGTTCAGAGAAAGACTTCAATTACAGAGCAATTGGCGATATTGTGAATTACATGCCTATATCCTTGATAAGAGTGTTGGGAGGCCAGATTCCACATCGGGTCTAACATTTATGCACATGTGAGCGCGGCTGAAACGGTACATACCTAGGTGTGTAGTATAATAATGAGTAATTCTATTTAGCTCCTATACTTCTCTAATTAGAATTACTATGAACCAGTGGTGCTTGATATTTATTAGGAAACACATTGAGTAGTTTCATTCCTAATGCCTATGCATATATAGTACACGGGGTGTATCTCGGCGAAATGTGATCATGATGTGATGCACCTTAGGTGATGTTTCTAGGCATTGCGTAGCATCTTCGACTGGAGTTCCTGACGCAAGTTGTCAAACCAGTTCATTTACAAGTTCACTTATGTTTCTCCTCGCACCTTGATTCTGAGAACTACTTACTCTTAGCAGATACTTCGAGCGTTCCAAGGTTATTTAGATGACGATCCGTTGTGTGTGTGAGCGCACCGTCGTCCTCAGTCTACCCTCGCCCAGGAGTTCAAAATCTGCAGCTTTGGCTACACACCCAGGCAAGCATGCGTAAATACCTTGCCATGATTGGGTTTCCTTCTTTTAGAAGGGGTGGGGGATCTCTCTCTCTCGCGCGCGCGCTCGCTGTCACATTGCAAGACTTCAGGACATCCCACCACACGGTTCTGAGCCATTCCCGTGGTTCCAAGTCCCGAGTTGGCCATGGATATAAATGAACATGGATAACCAATTCTGAAGGGAGGACTCTATCACTTCGAACTGAATGAGAGCCAAGACAACCATTTCCTCAGCCATGACCCTGCATCGGACAGGCCATATCCTCTCCGCTGCCCTGCCCAGTAGCCGAGCACTGTGGCAACGGCGAGGACCACACCTGGCAGTAACTTCTTGACCATCCCCAGAGCGACCATTCTCAAGAACATGTTCTGCCGCGCTGCAACGCGGGCCACATGTTCTTTTCTTTTGTTCGCATGGGGAAATGGCACATTCGGCACCGGTTTTCCTAGGAACTTGCACAGTGGGCCCCAGCCATCCTCTACCTTATATTCCAACAGGCATCCTTCAGGCACTGCAGCCCTTACCTCTGCGTAGTGCCTGTAATAACGCTCCCTCGCATTCTGCCTGATCTCACGGACGTTTTTGGCTTCATAGAACCCCAGCATGATCTTGCGGATTGTCAGCCCGCCCTGCAAGCCCTTGAGCCTCCCGATAACGTCCATGATCACGAATGCGCGCCATCCCCATGTGGTTTTCCAGATGGCTTCGTCCATGCTAGCATACCACGAGTCGACGTCGCGCTCGACGAGGATGACCTTGGCCTCGGGATAGGCCTCCATCAGGGGCAAGGCGAAGAAGGACGCAACGTCGGTAGCGCCGTCATACTTGCCAAAAACCTTGTCCCAGTCGGCCCGGGTGAAAGGAGCGCCCGTGTACGTCGGCAGGCTTGGGAAGAAGGAGTCAGCCGCTCGCGACAGGACCGGCCAGTCGCTCGCATTTCCAACATCCTTGACGCCATGGTGGACGTCGTACCCCAGAATAGCAAGAGCTTGAGCTATTGAAGAGGAGCCTGCATTGGTATGTTAGAATGCGAAGAAAAAGTACGAATGAGGTGTTGTGGGCGGCTTTTACCCGTTCTTGTCATGCCGAGTGACAGGATCTGCATTGGCTTGACAGGCAGCGTTCCTCGGGACCTTGTGGCTGACGTTGTCGATTGAGACATTTCCGGTGGATATTTTGAGCTGAATGACATAGAGTCCTCCCGAGGTCAGCAAGAAAAGGTTCTAAATTTCAGAAAGACTGATATGGGTAGCGACTTTAGGAGCTTTGATTTGACAAGGCAGGAGGCCTGACCATGCTGGAGGTTAATATTGTCACGAATTCCTGCCATGTCAAGTCTCAAGTCGCGCATCCTTGCCTCAACTGTAGTGTTATGGATTAGATAGGACTGTAAACATGGTGTACGAAAATGTCTACCTGACAACGTGCTGTCCACGGAAGATCCTATTCGTTACAGAGTTATTTAGCTACCTACGCATGGAGGATGGAGATTCACACCAGCAGTAAGCTATATTGGAACAATCAACCGGCGTCCCCTGGTAGTAAAACCCCAGCTGAAATGGATTCCAGGTCCAACACACGAGTCAGAGTGTCGGCAGAATATCTATGTTCTCTCGCGGCGAGTCATGCCTTTTGAATGATGTGGTGGACAGAAGCTCAATAGCTGCCAACTGCGTGGGCAGAAACTAGGAGCCAATTGGAGGATTGCCTGTAGCCGGTCTGCCTTCTTCTGTCCTCTGGGGTTAAGTGGGCCGACAGGAACGGCCCTGGTGCATGTATTGATGGGTCGCTATCTTAAACGAGCGGGGAACAGTAAGAAATCGTGATCTGTTCTGGAATTAAGAAGTAGACTCACATGCCTAATAAGTGTTTCCAAGACGAAAAAATGAAGTCAGGCAAATACTGCCAATTCAGACTTCGCAGAACTTTAGGAGCCTTGCAGCCGCTCTCGCCAGAATGGAAACAGTCTCTATAGCTATCAGTAGCATTTTCAAGGGGGCTCTGTTAGTTGTGAGTTTTCGAGGTCATGTCTCTGTCCGGAAGCACTTGAGAACCCAGGTAGCCTCAGAGTGTGTTGAGAGTGCTGATACCGCGCGTCACAGCTCATCACCCGTCTCATCTTGGTCAACGTGATATACAACCTCTTCTTTCATCCTTTATCATCCTACCCCGGGCCCAAATCATGGGCAACTTCTCGCCTTCCATGGAATTACTTCAACTTCAGAGGCCGGCTTGGCTGGCGCATACGCGATCTCCACGACCAATATGGTCCCGTTGTTCGTATAGCACCTAATGAGCTATCGTACACTAGTTCAAGCGCCTGGAGGAAGATATATGGGCAACGCTCTCCGGAATTCGAAAAGGCCATCGACGGACGAGGAATGGCGCCTGTCGAGATCAATGGTAAAAGAGCACTCTTGACCGAGACTTCGGAGGGCCATGCGAGACTCAGGAAGGCTATCAACCCGGCTTTTAGTGAGAGGGCCGTGAGGGACCAGGAGAAGTACTTACAGGCACATTCCGACACCCTTCTTTCTCAGCTACTCAAAAGCTACAAACAAGGTCCAGTGGATATGGCGAAATGGTTCAATCTTTTGTCTTATGACATAATTACGGGCAAGTAAGCCCGTTCACTTGTGTGCGGGGACATTGCTAAATATTGCCTTTTGGGTAAGCAGAGCTTGCCTTTGGCACCACGGCAAACTGCCTCAACCAGGCAGACCAGCCACATCTACAGGTCCTGGGAAACCGCGCCAAGTCTGTTGTCTTTTTCCAGTTCGCCCTTCAGTACGGTCTGATGTCTGTTCTGCAATTCCTGACTCCCAAATATGCCCGCGAGGCCCGCCGCAAACACCTCGCTCTATCAGCAGCCAAGGTCCAGGCGCGCCTCCAGGCTAAGAATCCGGGCAAAGACTTTATGTACTACATTCTCGAGAACCAGGAGGTTAAGTTCTCCAGCCTCGATCTAACTCTACTAGCGAGCACGTTTATCGTAGCCGGGAGCAACACCACTGCAGACACCATGACTGGCCTTACATATCTACTGCTTCGAAATCCCGACAAGATGGCCCGCCTGAAGCACGAGATACTGTCCATGTTCCGTTCGAAAGATGAGATCACGATGCAATCTACTGTGCACTGCAGGTACCTCACCGCCTGTTTGGAGGAGGCGATGCGCCTCCGCCCGGCTTTGGTAAGCAGCTTCCGGACATCTGGATACAATCCATAACTCTTCAAGAACAGACATGCCCCATTCTCAGTCTATACAACAACAAAGACTTCACGAGCTTCAAATATAGAGACAGCCAATATCTGACTTGTGGACTAATCTTTGCTTCATTTGTGTTAAGCTACTGCTTGAATTCCTTGACCGCTGACTCCAAACACCATAGTGCTGTTCACTGGCCCGGACGGTGCCTGACAATGGTGAGATCATTGACGGCGAGTTCGTCCCTGGTGGCACTGGCGTGGGAGTCCATATGCTGGCAGCGGCACATTCGGCTCTCAATTTCAGACGACCCATGGAGTTTGTACCGGAGAGGTGGCTGGGGCTATCACCCGATTCCGAATTTGCGGGTGACGACAAGGGCGGAAGTCAGCCGTTCTCCTACGGGTTGAGATCGTGCGCGGGGAAAGTGTAAGTTTCCGGTATCTACTGGGGGAATACTTGAAATAAGTAATGAAATCTGATCTTGTACTACAGGCTTGCGTGGGCTGAGCTGCGTATCACCATGGCTAAGCTCCTATGGCATTTCGATTTTGAACTCGCCAGCCCGGCCGATGATTGGTGGAACAAGCAGCGGACATACCTGATCTGGGAACGGCTTCCATTGATGGTGACGTTGAATCCGAGGACGACTTTAGCCGAGCCCATCAAGTAATCATCACATTTCTCACTCCATCAGCGAGTGCCGATTAGTGAACACCGCAGGTACTAGGTACACAAGTACGAGAATGTATACCACAGACTAGCTTTATTTTGTCTCCAAACCGCGCGGAATCTGCGAGGATCAAGTCTTATACTTATACAATCGTCCATCATCTGTAACCACCCATTCATCGCTTCCAACAGCAGCGGTGCAGTAAAACAATCCGTTATGGTCCCGCGCTTGCTTTATGGATAGCAACCTGTCATAATTGGCCCCATAGAATACCTCCTTCCAGTTCGGTTGCCAAAACTTGCCCTCGTTGATATATGTCCCCATTTCAGGAGTGGCCTCCTCAATAGCAGGCTGCAGAACATCCGTGAAGAGATCGAGCTCTCCAAACATATCTGAGAACGGACACTGGAAGCTGAAAGACACCTCTAAGGAAGCCGAAACAATTGCAGCCCGCCACGCGGGCAGCACAGCGTTCTCGCCGCTTCTGAACGGCCCCACGTTCGTCCCCACGCCAATGAAGATACCTCAGGCCTCGGAAATCGTGCGTGCCGTGGCGGAAAAGCTGGCCAACTGGGGCCGTGAAATCAGCCGGTCACAGAAGTTCGCTGTCCCAACCTGGATCCAGCCGTCTGGCAGTGGACCCCAATAGGCGCTGTAGTGATCATAGGAACTTGGGTTCTCGGTATAATAGTTGGCACTGTGATAGACCTCATGCTTTTGTTAAGTCCGTAAGCAAGGGCTTTAAAAAATGTGTGCATTAGAATATCTATCGCAGCCCAGGCGCAAGAATTCTTCGAAGCATGCTTGAAATCCAACTGTGACGGTGCCGCACAATCCTATGTCAAACAGGTATACAAAGCCAACCCAAACTCCTCTCATGTATTCTGCCCAAGGCGACCTCTGGGCTTCACGAATGCCGGATGGTAACGTGAAATATCCTTGTTCGGGCCCAGGAGTAGCCAATATCTTGTGCTCATCATGGCTTCTGCTTGCAAAAAGAAAATGCTGCCAAAATTATGCTCCAGTCGTGCCGAATTCTTATAACGCCGCTTTTCCCGTCGGTGCTTGGGTCTGCTCTTCTCCATAATCTTTTTGGATTGTTGCCTCCCAGGCCTGAGACGAGTCGCCTGGCCCTTTCACCGTGTCAGAAGAGCTTGCCGAAGTGTCCCCAATTGCCTCGGTTGACAGCTTCTCGGCGTTCACGCCGTCTTTTGGAGGGGCGGCTTTGGGCTCTTGGGGATTGGTAGAAGTCTGCTGAGCTTCGTGCGATGTGGAAGTGGCCCCCTCCAGTCCGGAGCCAATCGTTCGCACTTCCGATTTGTGCGACTTCTCCTCGTCTGAAGCGCTCTCCCCATCAGGATTGTCGGATGCGTCGTCAAAATGCAGGCCCTGCCCAACCTTGTCCGCCAAGTCCTCAACCTCAGCTTGCATCGCAGCCTCACGCTCGACGGCGCTCCTCAGCTGCCTCTCTGCCTCCTTGTCACCGACAATCTCTCGCCACATTGCATCCAACTCGCCTCCCCAGCCGAGCTCATCTGCAAGCTTTCGGACGCCAGAGTCGCAATCGCCCAGAACTAGCACATCGTCCGAACGAGATCCCAGGGAGCCGACACGCTCCAGGTTGAAAAGAACACGGGGCGTCTCGTCATTTACCATGTCCGGAAGGCTCGCGAATGGTTGCACGGTGAGGCTCGTTCCCATAACCAGGGCCAGGTCGCCGTACGACGGGACATGCCTGTTCTTGTGGAATTGTTCGGGGAGCTGCTCTCCAAAGAAGACGATGTCAGGCTTCACCAGACCATCGCACTTCTCGTCCTCACAGCGAGGCACCTCGCCCTTGAACACGTACTCCTTCATCTTATCATCGGGAAACGGCGCCTTGCACTCGATGCACCTCTGGGTGGCGAAGCTGCCGTGAGCCTCGACAATCAGTTCGCCAGGGACGCCAGCCTGGCGCTCCAGGCAGTCGATGTTCTGGGTGAAGAGCATGCGGAGGAGATTCTTCTTGGCAAGCAGCGCGATAAAGGCATGCGAGACGGTGGGTGAGTAGTTGCCGGGATACAGCTCTTTAGCAAGGACATAGAAAGGATCGGGGTTCTGGCGGAAGTAGGAGATGTCGAAGACGGCCTCGGCATACGGGAGGTTGAGGCGAGCAAGATTGGCATACAGGCCGGTGTTGGGGGAGCGGAAATCAGGAACTACATGCCATGAGATCAGCTCGCGGTCGCGAAAAGACCAGGTCCGCCCTGCAACGCCGGGGAGGGGGGGGGGGCAGGACTGACTTCCGGCGGCAGTGGAGATGCCAGCACCTGTCATGACCACGATTCTGCTGGCCTGGCCATCTTTGATCATCTGGGCAACAGCAGAGAGCGACCGCTCGGAAAGGGTGGTCGGAGGGGCGTCATCCTCGATGAAGCCGGACTGCTCTTGGCCCATCTTCCTTCGCGACGGCTTCCAGGAGCGGGGTCCTTTCTGTTGGTGACGTGCGCGCCGACGGCGACCTATCTTGGCGGTATCGTGTGGGTAGGTTAGGTGGCCGGCAACGTGTGACGAACACGGCAATTTTGTGCTTGCCGGGCCGAAAAGCAGGAGCGACAGTGCAAGGAAATGGTGGGAATTTGGGGTGAGGGACGGGGATTTAGGAGGCCGTTGTATTGGGGGGCTTTGTATTTGTTTTACAGCTTTCTTTTGACGTCAACAAGCTGAAGCAGAAACCTACCTACCTCGGGTGAGTTGATGGCGGGGCTTGGTAGGGCTTATCTTATCGGCCCTGGGCCCCACAGTGACAGTTACAGGGTTCAGGGCCCAGCGGCTAGTGTAGAGTCTGAGCCAGAGCCGCATGGTGGCGGGTATGTCCCCTGGTAACAAGCAACAGGCTGACAGCAGTCTTGTTCACCCTGAGTTTATGCCCCCTGTTCCACCAGATCCAAACACCCTACGTTCAACTCTTTGCCATACCCAGTCTTTGAAACGGGCTTTTACTTCAATTCACCTTTAACAAAGAGAACGGATATTCACACAGGAAAAAAACGAACAGTACACAGGTACGGTATTTCCTTCTAGACTACAACCAATCAAAAAGCTTTATTCAACCTCCCCTAACCACACACACCACCCAAACAAAGTACTTTCTACACCCCTTACCCAAACCTACTAATTCTCCTCCCACCAAACAACACTCCCTTACTAACCACCTACAACTTATAATATAAACTAAATTCTTCTTATAATTAATTCTTCTACTATTAGAAATATTAGAAATATTTAAATATAAGTTAAAATATTTTAAATAATAAAAAAAAGTAATAAACTTAAATTAAAAGTTATAATTAATATAAAACTTATTAACTATATATATAATAAATTAATTAATTAAAAGATTAGAATTTTAAGTTAATAACTTAAATTTTATATAATATATAAAGCCTAATAATACTATATTATTATATTACTTTCTTTAAAGTTTTATAAAGTTTTAAATACTTTAAAAGTATATTATATTTTATAAATAACTTAAAAGTTAAATAGAATAATAGGTTATAAAATAAATAGATTATTTACTTTTAATTATTTATTAAATAAAGGCTTTTCTTTAATTAATTTAAATATTACTTTAAACTTTTAAAAATATCTTTAAAATCTTAAATAATTTTTAATAAAAGAGATTTAAATATTTATTATATAACTTAAAATTAATATAAAATTTATTAATTATATATATAATAAATTAATTAATTAAAAATTAGAATTTTAAGTTAATAATTTAAATTTTATATAATATATAAAATTTAATAATATTATATTATTATATTAATATAAAAGAGAAATATAATATAATTAAAGTTTTATAAATTTATATATTAAAGAAATTATATTATCTATTTATATATATTTAATTAAGAATTATATATTATATTAATAGACTAAATCTATACTATATTTTATTATTTTACTTATTCTAGAAATGGTCTGCTTGTGCCTATCGGCCTAGAAGATAGGTATACTATCCGATGGACAGACTTATCTGTCCCAAAGTTAAGCCACTCAAGCGCCCTTGACGTAGAGTCTAGTTAGATTATATGCCAATGATATTTGATTTGCTTACATGCAATGAACATGAGAACCCTAACACTTTGTCCGGAAGCTTAAGCCAGCCCTTGCCCACCTGGCAGCGAGAATGAGAACGAACCCAACCAACACAGAGCAGGCCGCCCACAACTGCGGCCCTAGGAATTGGTGGGGACCAGTGGTCTGTAAGGCTCCTCCCACGGGCGGTCCTGTCATGGATGCAATACTTATGATTGCAAAACTCATGCCCATCCTCGTTCCGACTTTATCCAGCCGGTCAGTGATGCTCGCGATAGTGGTCGGTAACAGACACTTATAAAATTTGATGCAGGTCAGCGAGAGGAAATGGAGAAGAAAGACTGGAACAGGCAATACCTGAAAAGCACCTGACGTCGCACCGTAAACGGCTGTGAAAGCGTAGTAGCCGCCGATGTTTTTCACAGCCAACCAGGAGAATGCCACTATCACCCACGTGAGCGTGACTGGAAGCAGAACGTTCATCGGACCAAGACGATCAGAGAACAATGGCACGATGATGCGGAAGGGGAGACCGGCACCGTTGAGAATCATGACGAGGATCGAGGCAGCCGAGTAGGACATTCCGAGGTCCTCGACGGCGAACGAGGCGATATAGTAGAAGGTGTAGTAATTGGCCCACATTATGAGCCACCAGCCTGCGATGAAAGTGTCGAAAACGGGCTCGCGGAAGGCGGCCCAGTCGATGATGGGGCCCGATTTGCGCGGAGGCAGGCGTGGCCTCATGAAGCCAACGCAAAGGCCCAACGCAGTAAGGTTGAGGAAGCCCAAGACTCGTGAGGTCCAAGCGAAGCCCAACTTGGGGATCAACTGTCTTACCACGAGAGGATAAACAATGCCACCGACAGAATTGCCCGTGGTGACGAGCCCCATCGCCAGGCCTCGTTTCTTGTCGAAGTACTTTTCAAAAGTCAATCGCCGTGTGGCCTCGGGGGAAGGGGCGGTGGTAATTGTGCATTCTCCTTTTGGAAATCGAACAGGTTTCAGCCTCTCACACCAGGGCAACTTACAGTGGTCACGAGAGCGAGCGAGGGCGTGAAGAAGATGCCGCCACCCAGGCCGGTAAGAATGCCCTGAGTCAGCAGGAGTTGCCAATACGTCTTGGAAACGCTCATCAGAAACATGCCCAGGACTTGCAAGGAAGCCCCGACGAAGAAGGTGGGCACGAAGAAGCCAGCATCAAGAAGCCGACCAGTAAATATGCCCGTCACCATGGTCAGCCAGATCTGAAGGGACCCGATCCAAGAGATTGTCGAGGGTGGTGTGTTGGGCATTGTCTGCTCGTAATACGTTTGAAAGCTGCCGAAGGAGTTCAGGTAACCCCAGGTCACGAAGATGGCGATCCTGTGCGTGGGTGATTAGTTATCTCGAAGGAGCAGTCCAAAGGGCAACCGGAGCAGCGTGCTCTATCATACCATCCCTGCGTCAAGGTTAGCAATCCGGCAGTGATTGTCTACTGGCACAACGCAGGCACAACTGGTGCAGCAAATCAGGCACATTTGTCTTCAATTCACAGCTGCCTCGATATCTTGAGTTCCTAGGTATAGATGGTTTGACAGTAAGACGTACACAAGCCACCTGGGTCCAGGCCTTCGCACCACCGTCAGGAGGAGGTGGTGGCTCCGGCCATCCTCGAGTGGTGATGCGAGAGGCAATGGTAGAAAGAACATTGCTTGCCGTCCTTCTCAGATCCTCCGACGCACGAGCGGTCCTCTGCCTCCTCATCACTGATGGAGGCGCGGTCGACCCTCCATCGTCGTCGTCGTCGTCGTCGTCGTGAGACCCTTGCGTTGTCACGTCGTGGTCATCGTAGCCCGAGGGCAACAAAACCGGGTGGTGGTCTTTCCGGGCGCCTGCATTGGGGACGGATGGACCCCTGTGCTTCTCATCTTGGTCATGGAACACAGTTGACGGAGCCATCATGGGAGACAGGCTGCATGCAGGTTATGTTGACGAAGTCAAGCCGCTTCAGATTTCTGACCAGCTCTCATGCTCACGACGACGCCAGACACAAGGCACCGTGCGATGCTTAAGAGTGCTGCCATAGCGACTCAGAAAAAGTCCACTCTCGCCCCATCAGGGCTCGTAGGGCGCAAAACTCAGACCGGTGCTCCGTCGTCGGTGGGGCGGGCCCACTTGTTCGCCGGTCCCGGACTGGCTGGCTCGACAGGTCGGGCCATGATAAGCCGGCGTTGGGCTCCGGGTGTCGGACAGCCGGGCCGGACTGTGGTCCGTCCACCAGATATGACCGGGTTGCGGTCTCCCACACGGGCCACTCAAGCCTGACAGTGGCAATCATGTGTGGGATCCGATACGTTTGCCCGAGATGTTGCCTCTCTGCCATCTCAACTGGCCAAGCAGCCACAGATGCCAAGCCAACATAGAAGTACCTTCCTTGGTGTAGAGACGAAGATAGGAGATATACGGGCTATGCAGACTCGCAGACCTAGCGGGACATGACGACAGGCTTGGACACCTAGGCATGCAGCACCTGGGACTATTAATCACCTGGGCAAGCTTGAGATGCACTGGGTACTTGTAAAGGCAATGTGGATGCAAGGTGCTTTTTGATGCTTGGTGCTCGGACTATTTGTGTTTTTGCTTTTCGTGATGGTCCGTCCAGGCTGTCAGCCCGTGCAGCTGTGATTGTCGGTTTGTTTACTGCCATGCAATGCAATGTAATGCACTGCGCTGCGCTGCGCTGCACTGCACTTACTGTCGTATCTTGACATTGAGAAGGCTGCTCCCGAGTGGCAGAGATCAGAGATCACTGATGCTCCTGAGATTGTGCACCTAATCATACAGAGCAATAACAGGGGGCAGTATTCCTCCCCCATCACTACTCCCACATTACAGAGTTGCATTGCTCACCACGCTAGTAAACAGGAACATGCCAGTAGTAGTGATTGGACACCTGGGCCCAGGGCCTGTGGGGTTCTCAGGAACACAAACCTTGGTACTGAACGTCGGTCCATTTTGGTCCTGCCCACTTGCAGTCACAACCTCGGTCGGCCACTCCTGCTGTCCTGATAATACAGATTAATAAATCCAACCTCGACCTATGTATTGTCAGTTGTCAGCCCAGCCTGCCCAGCAGCCCCAGCAGCCCAGCCTCTGTCTGTCACATTTTCTGATCCGCTGATCTCACCTGCTTTTCCCAGATCTCGCTACCGGGAAAAGAAAGGGGTTGGGTCGATTAGATGGCAGGCCATTTTAGCCATGGCTGCTTTTCCTGGCTGCTGATGCCACTAATGCCAGCTTCTGGAAGATGGGCCCTCGCTTCTAGCCTGGGCGCAGCACATTCCTGGCGGCCGTCCCGAGTCGACGACGATCACTCGCCTCCCGGGCACGCCTTGCACGCCTATCGACTGGCAAAGACTGGCTGCCATGCCACAAGCGAGCATCGTCGGGGCCTGAGAGCCACGCGGTGCCGTGACGGGTAACCCGGGGCCCTTCGTAATGGCCCTTGTCTCACCTGCCCGCCCTCAGTCTTCGGGTCTGGATGCGCCTCCCTGCCAGCCCTGCTTGCTTTTCCGGGCCCGGCAGGCAGCTGTCAACTTGGGCTGCCAGGCTGCTTGGATCATTTTACACCACCTGGACTGACGGCCTGACGGCCTGACGGCCAGACGGCTTGCTACGCCCAAGAAGAGCCGTTCGCCTCCATGGCCCCTGGGTGCGGTTAATCTACCTGGAGCGTCGGGAGCCCATCTCGTGACGCCTTAAAACTACCCTATCGCCCGGGTTGCTGCATCGACCGTTATCGCCGTCCCATGCCACCGCTCCAGCCGCTCCTCGTCAATACCGGAACCTGTCGAAACACTGCAGCAGTCCTGTGCCTCTCAGGCCTCTCCTCCTCCTGCCGCCCTCCTACCCCTGCGGCGGCATATGCGAGGCGGCAGAGGGCCTGCACTCTGAGTCAACAATCTACTCATGGTGCGCTTCTCCCTTGGGGCCCGTCCCGTGGGCAGGTGGGCAGAGATGCAGGAGCTGCCTGCTGGTCCTCGTGTCCCTTTCCACGCTCGTCTTGGCTGATCTGGGTTGAGACACCGTCCCATTCCCTGTCATTTCAGTTGACTTGTGTAAAATGGCCCGCGCGATGCTACCTCGCCAGCAGCAGGCCAGCTCGCCTGCTCGCTCGACTGCCTGCAAGGACATGCGGTGGACAAGGTTCGTGAGTGGCAGCAAGGCAAGCAAGCAAGGCTAGGGATAATAAGCATCGGGCATGACTTCTTTTTTCCCTTGCCGTCTCGAACATGTCAACCATGCTTCTCGACATCACCTTGTCATGTTAATATATGCTCCGGGACAGTGTCTCGTGTGGCAGCGCCGTTTCGGCTGACCTGCTGCGTCACTACAAGCCATCACTCGGTCTTGATGCTGTGGTCCTCAGGGCCCGTATCACCGCATGGGACCACCGCTGCTGGAAGCCCGGCCGCATACTCTCTTTCTCGTCCGCTCTCCTTGTCCGTCCGCGCAAAATAACTTGTTAATCAACATCTACTCCTCGGTAGCACCGCTTGTCTGGTCTACTTCTTTGTAAGACCTCAACACCGGGCCACTCCGCCCCTTCGGTCGCCTGTTCGTTGCTCCCACCGCCGACGCTGGCTGCATGGCAGCCCTTTAATATCAAGCTCTGGTCTGAGAGTCGCCCGCGCCCCGGGTCCAGCACCTGCGTTGTGAACGAGGCTTTTTTAGTTCCTCGACTGCCGCCACACCAAATGCCCATCCGGAAGCAACTCGTCCTGTTATTCGACCCCAGAGTCTGCCCTGTGCAACACAACTGTGACAGCCCTTCCAGTGGCTGGTTCCTGCTGCTCGAGAACAACCGACACGCCTGAATCCGAGGTGTGAACCTAGGGTCCTGTTTGCCCCCTTCCCCCCGGCGCACAGGTCGGAACCACCATGGATGCGCTGGAGCAAACTTTCCCAGAGCTTCTGGCGAGGGACTTGGCGAGATCGCAGGATGTCTTCCGCACCAGGAGCTTGACCGCAGGGTCACCGGCGGCGTCGCTGGCCCTGGAATGCCAGCCACCTCAGGTCCCGCACCGCAATCCTGGTCGTGTTGTTACAAGTACGTTGCACCGCACGACCTCAGAGACCGCCTTGTGCTCTCCAGGGGAGTACGCTAGGGCCAGGCCTGGCACCGCGAGGAGACAGCAGCGGGAGAGGCAGCAGGAAGAGTGGCCCCTAAAAGGCCCCGGGCCCCGACTCAGTTCGCTCCCAGACAGACGGCAGGACCACATGTTCGCCATCAAGGAGATCCACATGAAGCAGGGCAGCAAGAAGGAGAGCAAGAGGTTGTTCCTCAACGGCCTTGACGACGACTGGGTCAGTGATTCGTCCACAGACATTGAGCCTGGGACGTCGTCGCCATCGGTCCGGACTCGAAAGCAGTCGGTAACTACTGCGGCCACATCAGTGGAGATCCATTCGGTGCTCGGAGGAATAGGAGAAGCATGTCTCTCGCCGGCTAGCAGCCTGTGCAAGGAAGCTGCAAGAGCTCCTGGGAGTGGCGACAGGAGCTGGGTGGACTTGGAGCCTGACATGCTGAGGCCCGAGGCACAAGTGGATGTCGGCGTGGCATCTGTCGGGGCTGCTGAGTATTCCGACGGGCCTCAGGCCCAACCAGCAACGCGGTTGAGCGTGAGGGCCAACACAGAACAGCTTGCCCATGTCGATGTTCCCAGGAGGAGGTCCTCTCTCAGCCATCAAGTCACAAGTATCGTTATCGGGGAGGCGACGCAGGTCCGCGTAGGCTGTGCCCCGTACAAGGTCGACCTGGGGGCTGCTGCTGCCTTCAAGCCCCCATCACCCTCTCTACTACACGAGGCATCTTCCTTCCTGCCCCGGCCGTATCATTCTCCAGACGACTGGGAAACCAGCGAGGCTGCCTCGTACCGGGTCCCCGCCGCCAGCTGCCGACAGCCCTCCTACGAGCCACAGTACGCCCTCACAGCTACCTCGAGCTACCAGCTTCGACCTCCCACGCCACCTCCGCAGGAGGCTCTTGCTCATGACGCCTCGGACGCTTCTCAGCCTTCGCGCCAGCACCCAAGTCTGCTCCACAGGCTCCGCAAAACACAGAGCCATTCTAGGATGCCCATCGTCACCCAGGTCCAGTCCTGGCTGGACTCGAGCGCCACCACTGCTCACCTCACCTCACCAACCGACCTCACTGTCACCTCGCCCACGACCAAGGCTCCAATCGGCAGTGTCCGGGTCGCAGCTGAGGTCCTGGAAAACCTACGCATCAGTGTCGGCAACTTTCCAGAGACAATGCTTCGCACCTCCTCTCTGACCGTACAGACGATCCGTAGCTATTCGCGCAAGCTCAGGCGCGGGGGCATCAGCAGCGGTGACCGTGGCTTCGGCCGTGACAGCGACGACTACACGTTCGCAGCTTTCGACACTCACACCATGGAATCTGTTCCTGTGTCTATGGACCGCAAGTCGTCGTTGGGCAACCTCCGGCTCAAGAAGCTCTCTCTGCGTGGGAGGAAGCTTCATCTCCCATCTCGACAGGCATCTGCTCACAACCCGCCCTATGTGAAGGAGGAAGACGACTTCTGGCCACCCGTGGACCACCACAAGTACTCCATGCTATCCAACTCATCCCCTTCCCGCAAGTCCTCTGAGGTGAGCGCCTGCGTCGGTGCCCTGCGCAGCATCTTCCCTGACGGGACTGACTATCTTCTCGACGGCCTGTATGCCCACCTTATCGCCTATAACTACATAAACTCTCTCTGCGGCGCCATGCCTCATATGCTGAGCAGCCCCGGTCAACCCGGTCTCCGCTCCCGACCATCCTTGAACTTCCCCCCCGGCGTCACTAGTCGTACAGACCTGGAGCTACAGGACCGTGACGACCTGGCGATCCGTGAGCTTCAAGATGAGGTCTCCAGCAGTGCATCAACCGCCGTGGTTCCCAAAAAAGCGGCCTCGCTCCTGGGCCTTGGCGCGACGCACATGGGCAAACCTGTCAGGCCGCGCCCAGGCACCTTGGCTGGCCGCAAGGACAAGCACGGTATGGCGACCCCGCCCGCAGCGTCTTTCTCCGCTTCTCTTGAGTCCGAGTCGGCCTTGCGCGACCTCCGTGATGCCATTGCCAGCAATGTCAAGCGGCTCGTGGAGACCGTCAAACAGTGCTCGGCCGCCGCTGCCAGCAGAGACGGCGACGATGACAGTGAGGATGCTGCCATCCTGGCACGGAGTGCCCGGGAGCTGGATCCAACCCTGTTGCGTGCCCTCTGTGAGGTAGTGCGCTGCTACGAAGAGCTTTCATAGCTCCGCCGAGTACGAAGTCGTCTGAACCGTGGGCTCTCACTTCCCAGGGTTGTCATCTGCCGCGGAGACGGCGCGTGTACTCTTATTGCCAATGCGCAAGGCGATCGCTCCTTGGAAATTTGCAGCACAAGCAGATTCGGGAGGTTCTCTGTACCAACGCATTGTCCTTTTATCCTGCTGCATTTTGCACCTTCGTTCCTGCGACGCACTCGCTATAATACGAGTCATCACGGTCTTGACTTGGATCTGGCTCCCAGCTCTCTCCGCAAGTCGTCCCAGATTGCATCGCTGCTTCATGCGGATAGTGGTGGATTGGTCATCACAGGCCATACCACAATGACGGGTGCCCCTCAATGAGCTTCTCTTGACATTGAACGTGCTTGTGAGGTAGTGTAAAATCTGCACATGGCCGGTCCAGGGCACAAAACTTCATGCCGTCACTCGACCTTGCAGGTCAGCAGCACGGCCTGATCAGTTGAGACAACGGTGTTGCACGATGGAAACCGAGAGACCAACATCAAACAGCACCAGTCGATCCAATACCACTGTTCGTCTTTTATTTCAGTCTAAGGCTTTTATTCCTCCGTCCGATCTTTGGCGATCCTCGAACGTCGCGCCCACAGCATATTTACTGCACCCTGACACATTCTCACCACAACGAGCTCTCTCTCACACTGCACGGATTCAACGAACCATTCGTATTTTATTCTTAGATCTCTAGTCAATTCTGTACCAGGTACGAGGGATACGCAATTCTTATGTCAACTAATGTTTCGTGTCCCGCGGGGCGGACTCTGGTGTCGCTGGTGGGACAGCGTTCCATGGCCAGCTCGGCTTCTCTGGGCTGCAGGGGGAAGGAAGCCACCGGGTCTTGAAGCGGGTGGAAAACGAGGGTCAGCGAAATTAAAAAAGGGTATATAGGGGAGCGAGAAAAGTTTTAAACTATCAACAGCAGCACTGTCGTTGATGGATGAATCACCTGGGTCGAGCGCTGGGAAGACTTGAGGGCAGACTTCACGTCAACAGAAGTTGTCCCACAACGACACACAACAGTGGTGTGCTCTACTGCGTGCGCTGGGAGCAACAGAAATGGGGGAGCAAGAGAGGCCGTGGTCGGAATGACCGAACGGTGGATCATCTGAAAAAACTGCATCGGTTGCGAAGGATCATATGCGTATCCATCCCCTCCTTTTCTATTCGTCTTCCTCATCCCCCTCGGCGGTAGCTCCAAACACTCCTCCTCCAAACCTGCGATTGCCCGACCCAGCTGCAGAGTAACTGTAGTTAAGGCAAAGAGTTTGAGGGCAAAGAAGACTGTCTTCTAGTTCCACACTAAACCTCGGCTGTGGGACTCGTTTTTGAGATGATAGATACCAAGAAATAGTTGAGGTATGGGGAAGTTGATGACTTTGGTCTGGTGTGTGTTAATGATCAAACGCACTGGCCCAACCTTGCAAGAACTCGTTCTGATGATGCTCCAGACAAGATTCGTGATGTGGCCAAGCGTATATGTGCGCGCTAGCAAGCTCTCGCCTATCTTAACTGTCCAAAGGGCTTCAGTGCTTTCATAACTTCATACAAGAGATGAACCCAAATAATTGGACAAGAAAACCAGGATGAAAGTGTATTGCTTGTCGTGCATCTGTTTGAGGCGTGTTGACCGGTTGCTGCAACATTGTGGCCTGCACTAGATACTCCTGTGATGGCATCAAATTGTGACATCGAAATCTCCAGGCGCGCTCCAAAAGTCAAATATTGTGTTTTGGTGATTGTGAATAACAGCTAACCCGATCGATGTCTCGAGGCGGCAACTTCCAGCACTCCAAGGCGAGTATCGACCTGAACATGGTAATCTGAAGGTTCGCTGATTTCCGATGAGCGCCGTCGCAGCCGCCCATGAGTTTCACCACTCTCTAAAGAGTCCTCAAAGCCATTGAGGCTGCTCAGTTCACTGCCCTCTGGCCATGACTCCGTCATCTCCCGCGGCCTCGCCCTCGGACCGTGGCCGTTGCCGCTGTGGCCACCTACACCAGCACGACCGCCACTGTCACTGCTGCTATTGTGATGGCTTGGCCGACCGCCGCCGTACAGCCCGTGCGAGTGCCTTTCCTCGAGGGAAGGGGCGACGATCTTCCCGGCGTTACGCAGGCCCATGACACTGGCATTGCTGAGGGCGAGCAGGCCACCGCTGACGAGCAGAAGTACTAGCATTATCAGGTTACCTGCTTGGGTGGCGTTGCCGCTACAGGCGGCAACGAGGTAGACCAGAACCTTGGCTATGGCCTCGAGGTAACCCTCGGCGGTTGTCTTTGGCCGCAGCCAGACGGTAGTGGTGAGGGCCTGGAGGTCGCTCGAGAGCCCGCGCAGGATGACTGTCGTAACCGGGCTGATGTTGATCGAGTATTGCGTGATGCGCGCTGCCCTCGGGTCCCAGGACATGTGGTACGAGAAGGGCGGCGGGAGTACCTTTGGTTTGGGCCTGGACCGGGCTTTGATAACAACTATATTCAGAATCCGTGACAGCATCAGGGCAGCAATGAGAGCAAGAGCCCACCCTGTGCCGTGTTAGCAACAACCTCTTGCAGACAAGTCGGTCCATGAGCAGAGAAGAGGCAGTTCGTACAGTCTCCCACGAGTACTATCAGAACGATGGCCACGCAGGTCAGCAGCGGACTGGCCAGATACAGCAGATGCGCGGTCCAGCCCAGGTCGGGCAGGGCAGCACCACGGCGCCTACCGCCCCAGTTGCCAGCGTATACCGACGACCTCTGGCCACCACGGGCTGTGCGTCCGGCGCGCCACGAGTGTGACTTGACGGGCAGCTCGCCAACGTCCAACACGACGGTCTTGCCATCTTTGGCACTGCGCAGGACGTAGTTCACCACAGCTTGGTTGACGATCTGGTGGGATGCTGGTTTCCCGTCGGGCTGGATCTCGACAGCAACCAGGGTCTTGGCATCGCCGTGAGCAACCTCATCAGCGGCCTGCTGGTAGTGCAGGCCAGGGGCGAGGAGAAGACTGTCGAACCACGAAGAGCCGCCGCGGAGGGAGGTGCGCTGGGCAATGGTGTTGAGGTCTGCGAGGACGAGGAGGCCTGCTGCAGACAAGGAGAAGTTTGGAATTGGCGTGTTTGTCCAGCCTGGGATGATGGCGGTGGTGGGTGTGGGATAAGCCATGATGGTGGTGATGGTGGTGGTGACTGTGGAGGCGACTGTGGTGGCGGCCACCCATGCAGGAACGCCCTTTACATTTAGCTGGCACTGGTTTATCTGTGCAAGAACAGGCAGAGGTCATCTCCAGGAGATAACAACCTCTTGAGGACATGGCAGGCCGGAGGGTTCTCTCTGCCTAGCCCATGCACATGGGCATGCACGTGGGCATCTGAGCCGACGAGGGTCTGGCGGCAGGTAACATTTCATCTCTGACGTGCCACAGCCGCCAGGCGGTTGGTGCCTGTATAGGCTGTGTTGCCCTCTCTCTGCCTTGGGGATTATGGGAAGCTAGGGAGCACCGTCTGATAGAGACGGGAGTCAGGCCCAGGCGACGAATGAGGTCTGCAGCTTGGCAGCACATGATGGGTCTCCGCGCAAGGGGCAGGCTGCCGACCAGGCACACCTTGAGGCACTGAGTGTGCATCAGTTAGGCGGTTATGGCGGGCCGCTGTAAACTGTACTTCGTGCTTGAATACCCAGTATACCCAGGTACTTAGGTACAACATCAGCTTCCAACCTGCCTGGTGTGGTGAGGCTTTCCTTTACACTACTAGTAAATCATCTAGTAGCCATCTAAGGATACCTAGGTACCTTGATATGAATACTATCCCTCTCATAACATACTTAAGAAGTCTTCACTTCACATAAACTCTCATAGGATAAATTCGCAGGTCAACGCCCGTGGTTCTCGACTTACACCGGCTACCAGTACAGCTGGAGGCCGAGGTTCTGCTTACCTAAGCACATCTTCAAGCAGGAGTACTCCGTACTTTTACTGCAGGCGGGCTCTTTGGAGCTCCCCCCCCCCCAAACCGCGACCGTCAATCACATCAGCGTCTCCAAACACCGAGATTTCAAGCTGGATACAGCCCGGTACTACAATGTGACCGTTCGCCGCCTCGTCGAACCCTGATCGATTCCGATTCCGATTCCTTCCTCGTCGTCCTCGCGACGGCTGAGCGCGCCCCACCACTCTCGATCATATATCGTCGCCAAAATGCGGCCTCGTGCTCTCAGGCGGTTCCTCCTCCGCCAGCTCAAGAAACCTGTCCAGCCGACCCGGGCTTTCACCCATAACTCGGCCGCCCTCTATAATTCTCGCCCACAGCTACCCTTCCTTTCGATCCCTTCCCGCATCCACCGCCAACAATGGCGCTACCTCACCACCGAGCGCAAGATATGGCTGCGGCGCGAGGCCATGCTCAGCATCAAGTATTCTGCCTACTTTTGGGCAATCATGGCCTGCATAGCGAGCGCCGCCTTCGCCGTCCAGCAGGAATTCCTCGAGCGCCAGTTCCCAACCCCACATGAGTGGTCGTTCCGCACGAGGATGCTGAAGAGAGGTGCAGAGGCCGAGAGAAACCGGCCCGACGTCGTCATGGAGAACTGGGCACTGGTCAACCAGATGATGAAGGATGTCATCTCCAGGCTTGAGGACCCCAACGGCGACGGAAAAGGTCTCAGGGACATGGGCCCACAGAGCCCCGCAGGCACAAAGGACATCTCCGCCATGCCCGAGGCCTGGAGGCGAGGATATTACGAGGCGATGCTGACGTATGCGCGGGCATCCGAGCATGTTGAGGGCTGGGTGCTTGACAAAACAAGGAAGACGGTGTTTCCTCCCGACGTCGTCAAGGGCCCCTCCAACCCATTTCCCAAACCAATACCCCCAGGTGCCAAGTCTGCCCCGCGCGAGGAGGACTGTGTGCCGGCGGGTTTCCCCAGCCCCGACGAGTGCTATCTCAAGCTGCTTTCAACCGAGGGCTTCACATCAAAACAGCGCATGGATGCAGCACTTGCGTACGCGAACTGGCTCGAGTACAAAGGCGTGCTTGGGCCCGCGGCCATCATGTACGAGGACGCCGTGAACTTGGCCGTCGAGGAGATATATGCCCCGGGCGCGCAACCACTCATCGATCCGAAAACAGCAGTCCTGACCGAAAACGCCGAGCGGAAGCCTTCAACAAATTTACTCACATCCCTGACGGCTCTGGCGACTTTCAAAGCCCGCCACGAGGACCCGTCCGCTGCCCTCCCCATTCTCGTGTCTATACTCAAGGCACGGCGATCGCTATCAACTGAGCCGCAACAGAAGAGCCCAGACGAGAAGCTTGTCGCTCTTTATGACGGACCCAAGAAGGACAGTCCGTTACAGACAGTTCTCAACCTCTTCAAGCCGCCACCATACCCGCCACCCCCGGCTGACGGGACCTCACCCCCCATCCGCGACAGCAGGGAGCTCTGTGAGGAAGCTGGACTGGACTTGCACATTGGCGAGATCATGTATGTCCTCAAGGACTCGGCCCGCGAGGACGGGCTAGCGTGGACGCGTGAGGGCGTTGACCTGGCGGAAGAGGAGCTGCACAAGGTGCTTCAGGACGATAAGGACAACCGGGAAGCCAAAAAGACGTGCCGCGAATGCCTCGCCTCCGGTCTGGACAATTGGGCGGCCATGGTAAGCCGCATGGTCCAGCAGGAAGAAGCTGCAAAGGGGCAGACCAAGTCGACAGCGGGCTGGTTCGGCCTCTGGTCCGGTGGCAAGGTAGAGGGTGGCGGCAGATGGGCCGCCGAGGAGAAGGTGGTGATTGAGAGGACAGCTCGCGCACAACAAGTACTGGAGGACCTCGAGAAGCCAAACGCCGGGCTGATGACATCGCTGCTGAGGGCTTAGAGAGTCCTGGCAGGCTAGGGATGGCTGGCTGCCTCCACCCGTTCCGGCAGTCACATGGTGTCGCACCAGGTGAGGCCCACTATCATCACAGTAAAAGCCGTATTTGAATGCGAAAGTATCGTAGTTTGATTCCCAATGAAACCATACCACAGAGCGTTTTCCCAGAGAAGGCTCTCCCAAGGGAAGCTATTCTTTGAAAGATTATCCTCTTAAAGTGCTGTCCTGAAGGAGTTAATCTCTTAGGAGGTTTTTTCTTAGAGAGATATCCTACAGATGGTTATGCCATAGGAGGCTGTTTCTTGGGAGTTTGTCTCTTGGCAGATTATCTTAAGAGGATATCCTAGAGGAAGTTACTTAAGAGGTCACCCCCTACTAGAGGGTATTCCATGGAAGCAATCTAATGGGAGGTAATCCAGTGAAGGTTGATCCCATAGGAGATTGGGTCAATAGATTCATAGGTGCTCAACTGACGCCGGAACAAAACCTGTACTGATCATGGGTTGATACTGGTATCATAGTGTCACAGGTGAGTTTTTAGCATCGAAGAGTAGTAGAGATCACCGTAATGTACGCGTGGCTGATATCGAGACAGTGCCTTGCTAGAACGCATCACAAGCTATATGAGATGATCAAACGGGCCTGTCACAATTATCCCGGGTATCCCTCTGTCTGCAGACCTCGAAGCCAGACCCAGCCGCAACAAACCCAGTGTCCTTGTCGTCCAAGAAACCGTCTTCTTCTGTAGGCTGCGAGTGAAAGTAGTGTCCTACTTGTTCTTGGGCCCCGTCCTCAAACGATCCTCATACTCCTCGCGGGTAATGATCTCAAGTCCCTTGTCTTTCTGCTCCTCACGCGTCGGTTTCTCGAACGCAGCGGCAGCGGCAGCGCCAGTCTGCTCTCCTTCGCCTACGTATTCATCGGCGTAGGTGACCTCGACCTCGGGGTTGACATAGCCAGCACCAGCACGGCCGACCTCTGCCAGCCAGTCAAGAAGTATATCTTTTGCCTTGATGAGCGCCAGCTCGGTATAGTACCGCTCGCCGGAGCTGAAGACGTAGGTGCCGTAGTTTGTATACAGAACTGTCTTGTTGTTTCCCTCTGGTCCGGAAATGAGGGCTCCAGCCTGCTCTTGGCAAGTGATGTAAAGGCGAGCCTTCTGTGGCGTTGTGAAAACATACTATTAGTAGAGGCAAGAGGTAGGGGGGGCGGGGGCGGGAAGGGAGATAAAACTCCAAATCACCACGTAGGTAAACAGAGCTATTAACTTACCTCCCTCAGAAACCTCTTGAATCCGGCATCCCGTACGGATTCAGCATCAAGACCGCTGCCGCACATGGCCAGGCAGCCGATCCTTCCTTCCCAGCGTGCCCAGGACGAATCCAGCACTCGCTCCACAGCCGCCGCGCCATTGCCGACCCCGACAACCTGGACAACGGCGTCAGCCGCCACAAGGTCCCTGTTACCCAGGACCTGCTGGAACACGCAAAGTATGTGCTCTTCGGGACTCCCATTGCGCGGGACCGTGTTGGCATTGTTCGGGTCATAGCCATCGCGGTATCGGCCCCAGTGCACGGCGCTACGCAGAGGGGCGCTGTGCGCACCGCGCGTGGTAAGGCCGCGGCCGCCCTCGGGCCACCACCAGAGCTCACCCGTGTTGGCAAGGACGAGGCCGGGAGTAGTGTTGTTGTTGGTGGTGGTGGTGGTGGCGGTGGTGGTGATACCACCTGTGGGGTTCTCGTTCTGGCTCTGGTTGTTGGACTGGTTGCCCTGGAGGATCGCCCGGGCGATGTCCACCATACTGCCCTTGTCGACACCACCCGCGCCGCCAATGACCCTGTGCGCGAGGACGCCGAGCTCCTGCTCGCTCTCGCCGACGATGAGGACCACGCGCTTCTTGCTCTCGAGGTGTGGCGAGACGAAGATGGGGACGTGGGGCTTGGTCGGGTCGGTGCCAAGGGGCAGTACGAGCTTGGTCAGGCCCAAGGCCTCGAGACGTGGGTGGATGAGCTGTTTCTCGACGGCCGTGTTGAAGGCGAAGCGCTGGCATTCGTTGTGGCGCTCATTCTTTGATCGGAAGTAGTGGAAGTAGTACTTTGGATCCTCGGCATTGCGGATCTCATCCGAAGTGGGCTCGACACAGTAGCTGGAGCATCGTGGTTAGCTACCATTGGCGATGAGAAAGAGCAATATGTTCAGTGTGTTCCCGGTTGTCAAGCCAAGTGATGTTCAAAAGCTACACCAGAAGTTGACAAGTAAGTGGCAGTGGCAAAGCAAGGTATCCCACGCACCCGAGTTCCTCCAAGTCGGCAGGGAAGGCGGGGTCTTCTGGCAGACCAGACCAACGTCGCCGAAACATCTTTGCTTGATCTTGTCACAAAGTCTTCTTTCTGTCGTGTTGGCTTCCCGCTGAGCTGTTGGGACCGGAGAGAGAGGAGACGGTGGACGAGTGGTGGTGTGGCTGTGGCAAGAAGTTGAGTTTCGCTGTTGTTCAATATTGGGAAGGCACTGTGGTTTTATATTGCGAAGGCGACGTTCGGACGTCCCCTGCAGCGCACCAATTCGGACCGCAAGCTCACTTGGTGCTTTGCAGACAATAGGGGGGAAGCTTGGGTTTCTGCACAATAAGCCCAGTTCCAACGCTGTGTCATTGTTTGCTGGGGAAGTTCTGCTCCCAACTGACTTGCAGTGTTTGCTCGCCCACCCAAGAATCCCCCCTGGGTGGCCTTCAGACAAACACGCACGACAGGGGTCGCCAGACAATTGACTTCGATTGAGGGCTTCCCTTTTTCCAATTTTGTACCTTTGAGGCTTGTTTCCGTCTCTAGAGTGTTGATACACAAGGTCTGCTCAGCTCAAACCACCGTCCATCTTCCTGTGCAGCTAACCATTGTAAATGGCAGCGTGGCCCTACCCTCTGTCCCCGTCGCTGCACATGATCGCAGCGTGTCTGCAAGACCAGGGCTGGCCAGTCGGGGCCAGTGCCGTTTCGCCATTGGTTGATACCGCACGCCTGCTTCTCCTCCTCGTGAGCCCCTCCTACCAGCTAGCCTTCTGTACACCAGGCAAAGAGCCTGCGATAGCCTGGAGCCGGAAGTTGTACTATTAATCCCCCATTGCAGTCAGCAAACCATCGCCACCTTCAACATCGCCCCCGCGGCCTTGTCGCGGGTGCAATTGACCCATCCACGGTTGTAGGCTTACCCTCGACATCTTGAAGTCACTGAGGATACCCCGTCCCTTGCCGCCTAGTATGCAACGGTTGCGGATCTGTGTCGGGTTCGTATAGCAGTGCATCTGCGTCAGCTGCAGCTGTGCCTCTGCGCGCACTCGCGCGGGCAGGGTGGTGTTGCGGATGATGTAGCGGAGGGCCTGTCTATATTTGCCGACAAGGCAGAAAGAATCAGCCATTACGCCCTGCACCGCCAACCATAGTCTGCTCTCAGCTTGCTCAAAATCGAAACAGCAGCCGTAGACCAGCAAGCGGGCGACGGGCGCACGCGGTTGGCGCTGGCGTGGTCGGCAGGGCGGACGTACCTCTCCGTCTCGTACTTCTCGTACACCTTCCGCTTGGTGTGGTCGCGGATGACCTTGATGTTCACAAAGCAGCCCAGGTCGAGCTTCTTCGCCCGGAACATCGACATCTTGGAAAACTTTTGCGGCCGGGACAGGCGTCTTCGGGTCTGATGTTGGCCGTCGATATAATGCGGCCATGTGATGGCGTCCGAGGCCTGGTGGTGTCCCGGTTAGGAATTGTCATGGTTTACGTAAGCAGCAGGGGGGGGGATGGTTTCGTTCCCCAATCGACGCTGCATACCTAGGTACTTAAGTATGTACACATCCTTTATTCGTGCAAGGGGTCTGTCTGTCTATCGATCAAGCACCACTTCGACGGACATTCACAGGCCATGATTTAATAAAAAGTGTGTGCGATTCTCTGATCTACCGCTACAAAACTCAACTATCAATAGACAACACCTTGAAAAAGTGAATCACTCGAGTTGTACAGCACGTGGCACAACCGCTTTATACCCTTTTTGTTATCCCAGAACGCCAGATGCCTCAAATAAAACTGCTATGCCCCTATCCAACCGCCAAACTTCCGCCTTTCTCCTCTCCCTCGGCTGCATAAAAATAATTGGCGCCGCGAGCCCCTGACGACACATGTAAGGTTCCGGCGCCGTAAGAGCTCTCCGAAACGTTCCAGGCGAATGGACTGTGATAATCCTACGCTTCAGTCGAACGTGTCATTGGCCGTCAGGTCACCCGTAAATGTGGTGGCCCGCATCTGTAGCATCATCCCCCATGACCTAGAGCATGCACTCATAGAGGGATACCCTCGTACTCAGCGTAGCCTAGGGCCAGGTTCATGTTCTCTGTAGGGCCCCCAAGGTTAGTAAGGCGAACGTCAAGAGCATTGGCATAACGTGATAGACTTACGCAGACATTGTGTCGCAGCCCCCTTCAACAGATTATCAATAGTCGCGCAGACAACGACCCTCTTGCCCGAGCTGTGAACCGCGAAACCGCCAATCTCGACACCATGCTTGCCGCTGATCGCCTTGACCAACGGCGCCTCACCGACCACCTTGACCAGCCTCTCGCCGGCATACCTCTCCTGGTACAGCTGGCGGATGTCCCGGGATGTCATGGTCTTGTTGAGTGGGATGTTGATGGTGTGGTGTATTCCCTGGAACCAGACCGCCACGTGTGGGCTGAAGGCCACACTGTGCCCGAGCTGCGTGCTGATCTCGCGCTCGTGAATGTGGTCGGTCAGCGAGTACGGAATCAGGTTGTTGGTCAGGTTTTCAACATCATTCTTGGGCGAGGGCTTGGTGCCTGCGCCTGAGTATCCAGAGACGCCAAATACGGCGGGCTCGCCGCCCAGGTGCTCCACCAAGGGCGCAAGACCGAGTTGGGCTCCGGTGGCGTAGCAACCGGGGTTGGAGATGTCAATCGCATCGTGGATCCTTTGCCGAGGAACCAGCTCAGGCAGGCCGTACGTCCATGAATTGTCAAATCGGTAGTCGGCCGACAGATCGACAATGACACTCTTGTGGCTGGACGACTTGCGACCCTCGTGGACGGCCTCGACATATGGCTTGCAGACGCCGTTTGGCAGCGCCATGACCCAGCAGTCAATCTCGCCAGCCCTCTCCTTTTCTCGCACATCTTCGGGGCTGAGGTTGACATAGGTAACCTGGGCCTTGTCATATCCTTCCAGCGGCGTCCCTGCCAGTTCGCGGGACGAGACGTACGACAGCTCCATGTTGGGATGAGAGTTCAGCAGCGAGATCAGTGCCTGACCTGTGTACCCACGAGCGCCAATCAAAGCCACCTTGGCCGGTCCGTCCCTCGTCTTGTTCCTCTTTCCCAATGGGGGGTTGGGGTTAGTGGTTGTCGCAAAACCTCGGGCCTGGCCAGATGTCCTGGTCTGCCACGAACGAGGCCTGGTCATGGTCGAGAATGCCCGGGCTTGTTGAGGAGTCGCCCGGGACGCCGAGGTAGCGCCAGCATTGACGGCCGCCCTCTGCATCCGAGCCTCTAGGTTAGAGTCACCCAGCATCTCCCGTCCATGCGTCTCAAAGTCCTTCATGGCGTTGATGACCTCGTTCCCGTCCTTGATGCCGCACCAGAACATGACATCGCCATTAACAGACAGGCTTCCGTCGGCCTTGTCCCAGAACCATGTCAGGTTCTCGTCATGCTCCCTGACAGTCCAGACAAGCTTTGGGAAGTCCTTCTTGATGGCGGTGAAGAGGTTGTCGGCAATGTTGCTCAGCCAGCCAGACTTGGTGATAGTAAGCGTCGCAAGCGTCGCAAGGGGGCGGGACTCGCTAGGTGGCAGCACGATGGCCAGGGCCTTCAGCGCCTCGTCGTAATATGCCTTGAAGGGGTTCTCCTTCAAGAACTCAATGTATGTGTCAACGGTCTGCCGCGCGTGTGGGCCTTCTCTGTCGCGGATGAGGACCTCCTTGAGCTTCTCGACGTCGCTGAACTCTTGGAGGCTCGTGGAGGCGACCAACTTGTTGCCCCTCCGGACGAGCGTGCCCGCACCAGAGTCGGTAAAGAGCTCCTTCTGGAGGTCCTGTGGGTGGATGATGGCGACGGATGACGAGCGGGGCAGCGTGTCGAGAAGTTCCTTGATCTCCCTGATCTTAAGGCGAGTTCCGTACTTGCACCATGCCTGAGACATGTAATACTCGAACTCCTCATCCAGGTTGATGGCAGAGATCTTGCCGCCCTCCCCGTCGAACAGACCACCCTTCTCCGACAGGTAGACCACCTTCAACGGTTCCAGGGCGCGGGCGAGCTCGGCGGCCGCGACGTCGGCATTGACGTTGAGGCACTGGCCCTCGGGGGTGTAAGCCAGAGACGTCAGGACGGGGAGGCAACGGTGGTTGATGGCCTGCTCGATCAGGTCCTTGTTCACGTTGGTGACCTTTCCAACCAGGTTCCACTTCTCCTTGTTCAGGTAGTCTGCCTCGAGCACGCCGTTGGTGATGGGGCGGACGTGGACACCCATCTCCTCGAGCCTGTTGGTGAGCTTCTGGTTCTCCTCGAGGAACAGCTTCCGGGCCACGGCAAGGGTCTTCTCGTCCGTGATGCGGATGCCCTCCTCGAACTGCGGCTCAACCCCGGCGTCCTCCAGGAGTTTGTTGAGCTGCGGGCCTGCGCCGTGAACCACAACCGGGTAGAGGCCCACATGGTAGAGGAACGCCAGACTGTTGCACAGCTCGTCCAGGCTGTAGGGAAGGTTATCAGCGCGGTGTCCCGGTCAGGACCACATGCCCGCTTTGGGTGGGTGACTCACTAGTCGGTCAAGATGGCTCCCCCGACCTTGATGACCGCGAACCGCTGCGACGAGACGGATGTAAAGTGCGACAGGTACTGCTGGACCTCCCTCTTAGAGCCGACGCTGCTCAGGGTCTGGATGACTATGCCACGGGTGCTGAGATCGGTAAGCTGCTTGGTCGAGGTGGACAGGGCGCGGCGGGAGCATTCGGCAAGTCGCGTGCTGGCGACCACACGAGGGGCAGCGGTCTGAGGCTTGGGCAGTCGAGCGCATCGGCGGGCCCCGGCCCGGAAGGCCCTGACGGACGTGGACAGCATGGTTTCTGTGAGATGCCTCTGGGGCAGACAGGCTCTGGTTAGCTAGGCGGAAAGGAGGCGATGTATTCGCAGGAACAGCAAGCTGGCAGCGGGTCAATTGGCTCCGCTAGCAGGTTGGCGGCAACAGGAGACGCAGAGCTCCCAGACCTGGGCGTCTCAAAGTGTTACTAGTGGGGAGATCTGGAGTCTGCCCACGCGGATCATCCGTCTGGAGAGTGTAATGTTCCTCTGAAGGTACAGACAGCGCCTCGAGAAAGATCCAACACACGCAGCCGACTGTCCTGGGTTACAGTCTCATGCTGCCGGAACCTGCGTAGTGGCTTGCCATGCCATGTGCCTTGACCTGGTTGTCCAACCCCGGGGGGGGGGGGGGCTTGATCAAGATCGGAGCGCGGAGGGCTTGTTGTTGACTCACGATATCTCCCGTTTCTGACTCGAATGCGCAGACCACAAAACCCAATTGAAAAGCGGAAATTGGCTTGTCACCCGGTCAACATCGAAAGATCAATTCAGCCAGCTACAGGGTGGAGAGTGGAGAGTGTCAAACACAGGAGGACGCAGGGAAAAGAGGGAAGGAGAGGAGGAAAGAAGTCGGGTGTGTAATAGTAATTGTACCGTATGTGCTGTGTGCTTGCCGACCGGGGTGTGTGGCCTGGGTAAGCTCCGGCCTGTGGATCCACCACCCAAAAATTGCGTGGGGGAGGAGGGGAGGAGGGGCGCTCTTGGGACGACGGCCAAGGAGGGATTTTTTTTTTCAGAGGCCCAAATCGATCGCCGAAGCCGCTCCTCGCACGACCGAGCCAGTTAGCCAGCGCTGCTAGTGCTTGCTGCGGCCGGCAGCCTTGCGACCGTTTCCTGCCCCCCTGCGGACCATGATTGGTGCTCCCAACGCCTCTCCCCCGCGGCCTGCCAGGGCGAGCCCATCCATAATCCGCCATGTGAGCCTGCCTGCTGCGTAGGCGTAGCATCATTATTAGCCTTGCATTGAAAGGTTTTCATGCCAGACCACCTGCAAAGGGCCAGCAGCGGGCAATCTGCCCGGCCTGGGCCGAGGAATTGTTGACATGGTCATCATCACCGCCCTCCTCTCCTCGCAGGCCCTCGTTCCCTCATTTCGGCACCTTGGCACACCACTTGGGGTGGCATGGGTAGGAGAGCCCATCCCGGTACAAAGTTATCAGATGCCCCTCCTGATCCACCCTGCCACCCTCTCCCCTTGGGCCATCACGTCGTTCGTTCAGAGGTCGATCCCATGGCATTTGTGCCCGAGGCTCTTGGGCGGGAAACGTTTGGATCTGATGCCCCAGTGCGGCCCACTCCAGAGCGCTTGCTTGCTCCAGCACTTGGTTTCGTAGGCGCGAGGGACACCTCGGCGTGTAGGCACATGCGAGCTACCGAGTATGTATACTACTACTGACGGAGCCAGCCTCTTCATCGGCCATGTTCCCATTTGGGTTTGGGTAGTTGCCGATTTATATGTTACGGAGCGGTCAGTTGCCCCTGCGGCTCCCTGGCTACCCCTCTGCTACAATGTAATTACCTATGTCAGTGATCATGAAGCCAGGCCCACCGTGTCTACCGCGGTGCTCCGAGGGCTCAAGATGCTTGGACGGTACCTATCCACTACCCACCCACGGTATATGTACAAGACAATGTTGACTTGCACGCGAGGGGTCTGGGCTGGGGTTCCACCGGACTCTGCGGCTGTGTCGTCACTCGGTAAAATCAAGCTCGTGTTCATATCAATTGATGCGTCAACCCGATCGCACATGCCACAATGGTCTGTCTAATCCACGCTCAGAACCCGGTCGTGCGGGGGCTCCCTGTCACAAATGGGTAGGGCGAGCGTCAAGGTATATCGTGAATGTCTCCATTAAGTGGTTTGCAAAAAAAGTCATTTGCCATTCCATCATACATAAGTCCCGCGTTAAAAGTGCTTGCATCGTTCCACACCTAGCAGTAGCCTTCCTAGAGGTTCGCCAACCAGGCGCGACCTGGCCCAAGGCTCGAGGCGAGAGCGCGCGGCGAAGCTGCCTTTTAGCACACTCCGTCGTTGGTCATGACCGGACGTGGACGTGAGTTTGGGTTCATCAAAAAAAGACCGGTCGAAATCAAAGCTAGAAAACTCCACCCTTGCTAGGTAACTCGAGGCTCGCACGCCTGTCAGCCAGCCACTTCCCCTCGTCAATGTCCGTGTCAGGATGCGTCCTGGGGCCGGCCAGATCGAGTTGTCATGTAATCCATCATTTGCCTAGTCGTATTCATTCCGTAGTGGCGCCTCGATGTATCGCCTCCGACCCGGGCCGACCAATCTATCTGCCGCCAGTTTGGGTGACCACGACTGCAAGGATAAACGTCAGCAAAGTGCCGTCTCACTGGGCGAGCAAAGCCAGCCTGGGAGGATTTGTTCCACGTACTCGGTATAATGATAATCAGGAGCAGGATGATGACGCCTGCGATCAAGCACATGCGCATCTTCATATCCTTCCACCACATCTGCTTCCGCACTCTGTTGGCGCCGCGGCGGAAGCCATGGGCCTGGTTGGCCAGGTTGTCGGTCTTGGTCTGCAGGTGATCCAAGTTCTCACCGCGCTCCCTGACCTTCTGGATGTTATCGTGCATGACATTGACGGTGTCGTCGATTTCCTGCAAATGGATCCCGTGTCAGTCACTTGGCACGGTCAAAACACATGCTTGAACGCATCTGCGATGAGCAGTCGGCCCAGAAGCTCAAGCTGCAGATGGGTGACGCTTGAGGGATGGCCCGATGGTTCATCGATATGCGAGGTGGGTGGAGGGTCGGTGCTGAGCGTAGAGGCTGCGTATGTTGATCCTCTGCTCGGGCGACGGCTCTTTTCTTGGCACGTTCTGGGCGCGAGAAGCGGAACTGTCGCCCACCCCCCGCTGCCTCTGACCGCTGATGGGGCATTCGCGACGAACGGTCAGAGACGGATCATCGGCGTCCGACCCGGAATCCCTCAGTATGTGTTCCGATTCGAGGTTTTCAGGGCTGTGCTGCCGAGGCTTTGTGGCCGACGATGCAGGTGACGCGCTGACGTCGCTCCAGCTCGGGCGGCAGGAGGGCATCGGGTCTCGACCCATCGCAACCTTTGGGCTCCTGGCGAAATGAAATGCAGATCTCTTAAATGACGAAAGAACTTACCGCTTGCAGGGCTTGCGTCCTCCTGTCTCCGCCGCGTCCCTGTCGCGGATCGGGGTCGTATGGGGAGTGGTTGTCAGCCATGGCGGCGGTTGTGTGAGGTTTTGTGAGGGGGTTGGCGACGTCGGATCAATCGGGCGAGAGTGTGTCACGGCTGTTATCACAAAGAAACCAAGTTGCGCTTCGTCTGTTGTCTGGACCTGATGGCTCGAGGAGCGGGAGTATCGAAGGTTTGATGCAGAGTCGGAAAGATGTATTCGTAGGGGAGGAGGAGAGGAAAGTGATGGAGGGCGGCAGAGTTTCGGAAGTCGCAGACGGAGGCGGGTGGTTATGAACAGCTGAGACGCTTCGCTTTGGCTGCTGAGGCAGGACTCTTGCAGGGTTCGTACCGAGTCGAAACAGGTCTGTCTGAGGTGGGCATTGGGGCTGGCGTCACTGGAAGACAGCACCAGTCAGCGCCACCAGGGTTGGCGGCATGGATGGGGATCAAGTGGTCTAGGCTATGCTCCATTGGGTATCTCTGGCCCCCGTGCTCCGTCTCCGTGCTGGCTGGGTGCTGGGCTGCCAGGGCTGCTGGGGTGACGAGGCCTCACAGGATCTGGGGTGCCTGTTAGTGGCCGTACCGGCTCTCTCATACACTGCGCTATCATCCCACCATGCCAGGCATGCCTGAGGGCGCCTGTTGGCGGGGATCGGCCAACAGAAGCGGCTCGATAACATGCTCTGTCGGGGCATTCCAGCCCTCTCTTTTCCCGTCTCTTCCGCCAGTCTGCCCGGGTTCTTGGTTGCCTGGACAGCGACTCCACGCTCCATACCCACCCAGGTAGTACCTGAAAGCAACAGTGATGTGTAGATACGAGGCGGTCGTCACCACTGATAGACGGCTGCCGAGCATGCCGTCTCCCAAGGGCCCATCCAGCGCCATTACGCAGCCTTTGGCCCAACCAAGAACCAAGCCCTCCCAAGCCTTCCGAGTCTTCCAGGCACGAGGTGGCAGTGCACACTCTCTGACTCTCCACCGAGCTCTCCTCAGTCCAGATGTCCTCCATCTGGTGCTCAACCCAACCCTGGAAACTAAACCACGATCAACCCAACCCAACCCAACCCACGTCCCTTCGCGTGCATGGGCTGTGTTGTGTAGACCAGCAGGCATATCGGCCAAGGCCGATTGTTCTTGTCCTCCCCTCTCCCATTCGTTGCATGTCTGTTTCATCTATGTTCGCTCTGCTTGCCGTACCTCACTAGCACCCTTCCACCCCCCTCCCCCCCAAACGGACCGTGGCAAGCGTGGCTGACGACGGGGCCCCTATGCAGGGACCAGAAGCTACGAAGTAGGAGGACGGACCAAGGTGCTTGTCCCACGATGCACAACCCGGACTGCCGGTCCACACGCACGGCTGCTGTCCGTCTGATGGTCCGGCATACACGCCGGAGCACGGCGATCCGATTCAAAGAGTCGCCCGAGGGCAACCGAAAACGAACTAGGCACGGCTACACGTATACTGTACTCAACGCCAAAAACGGCTGCCCACGCAGCTGCCCATCACCTCCAGGGCTGCCCAGAGTTGAGCGACACTCGTGTCAAGTCTGCAGCCCCGAGTTATTACCCGCCGCATATTTCCCTGCAATATATGGCCCGGGCGAAATTGGCCTCGCAGACAAACAATGCCGCCCACGGAGATTTGATCGTCCTGGAAGCATGCAACGTGAAGCGTGCAGTCTGGCCGATCATCCTAGAACAAGGTTTCTACGTTCCAAAGAAAATGTCCCGCCGAGAGTGACGCTGCGGAAGGCTGTCTGTCCCATTTTGCCCATCCAGTCTTGGTGCATCTCAATCTGCACTCTGCTTGTCTGCCTGCACCGGTCAAGACGCTTGCAAGTGATGTCACACAACTGAGTACGACCCTTCGAGTACGAATTGTGATGCCATCACAGCCCTACCTCCTCCTTCCTTCTCCTGAACAGAACCCTTGCTTCTCCGTCAACACCTTTCTCACTCCCACCCTTTACTACGTCTGCAGACCTCTGGCCTCCCTCCAACTTCCAGTCATACTTCATCAACAAGTGCACGAGCGCAATCTTGACCTCATTGGAGGCGAAGAAGCGCCCTGGGCATGCATGCTCGCCGTGCCCAAATCCGAGGTGCTCGGCGGTGGTGCTGACCAGCTGCCATTTGTTCTCCTCCCCGGGCTGGCTGCGAAGGTCAAGGAACCGACGTGGGTTGTATTCCTCGGGGTTTGGATATATTCTCGGGTTCTTGTATGCGTCCAAGGTCACCCAGGTAAACGCCCCTTTCGGGATCACAGTACCGTCAGATAGCTTGACCGGGGCCTGGGCAATGCGTCGCATAGAGGCTGTCCGCAGCCAGTCAGTGGTTCTTCTTGATGATGGACACAGACACATCTGAACTCACCAATGTCTCTGGTGTGCAAGCGCTGTGACTCCTTGAGTGCGCTGTCCAGCAGTTTCAATTTATAGAGGCTGTTCTTCTTCCATGAAGTCTTCCCCTCCCCCCCACCACCCGCTTTCCCGGCAGCGTTCTGTTCCTTCAGCACACGTATCATCTCCTCGCGCAGGCTGTCAATGAAGTCGTCATTCTGTGCAAGGTCAAGGAGGGTACCCGTGAGCAGTTCGGTCGTGGTGTGTATCGCCACAACGCTGAGAGAGAGTTGCGCGTCCGCCGCCCTGGGCTTGACACCGCTCCTCTCGAAAGCATCCTGGAACCACTGCCATCAACAGCCAAGAGCATCAGTATTTGATTCCGAGCCCGGGGTCGCATTGGCCTTCTTACCTGGATGGTATCTCCCGTCTTTGGGCGCGGCAACCCCTTTGCGTCTGCCGCCCGGTTTGCCGCGAGCCGCTTTTCGACCACCGGGCCAAGGATCCTTTTCGCGTCCGCCGTGTCCTGTCTGACCTTCTTCCATTCTGGCAGGAACCATACCAGGATTGACCGGAGCGCGAATGGCCAGCTGCGGAGCACGCGGCCGGCCGCGAAGCTGTCCAGCGTGAAGTTCTTGGCCAGTCGGAGCCACTCCTCATTCCGACAGAGATCTTCACCGACAAACAGGCGCGACGAGAGCCGGGCTACGAGATCGAGGACAAACGGCTTCAATGTAATGGATGTCCACTCTACAGAGGAGACAGGTCAGCAGGGACACCGAGAATGACGGCGGACGGCCCAGCGCCCACGTACCTTCGCTGTCACCCAGCATCTCGTGCAGGACCAAGTCGGCTTCTTCCGAGAGGTCGTCGGTGATCAGGTCTGCGAGAGCTTGTCAATCTGACTGGCTCGGCCGCCTGGCAAGATCAATGGGTCCTTTCAAGAAATCAATGGTTTACGAACTCAGTGACTGTGTGATGTTTTGGCGGGTGACCTTCTGCACAATATCACTCGAGTGGGTTATGGTATCCAATGCCTCGAGACCCGGGTATTCAAGGAAGAATTCCTGCATGTCTGACCTTTAGCCACAGCCCCCCGAAGCGATCGCTTCTGTCCTTGCAAGACCCAGACTTACCCACTTCATGGCTTCCTTGAAGCTCAAGTCTTTGATATTCTTGATCTCCTCTGCGTATCGAGCGGGGAGGAAGATCTTGATGCCTATATCGGTGGCGATCTGGTAGGGCCGCGAGAACTTGTACATAGAGGCATGTCAACTTCGACTCCCAATCGAGGCTTACTCACTGGTATATTATCGATGGGCCGATGTACTTTCTGGATGGCTTCTGCAACGAGCTGAGTCCCCTGCCCCGTGTATCGGCGCCGGGCCTTCTCAATCCTCATCCAGCCCTTCTCATCGATGCCGAAAGCCGGGATGCCTCTTGTTCGTGTCAGTCACCTGCTATGGAGACCCATATGACGTATTCATCTCCATGGTAGAACACGACAGACCGAGGACGGCAAGTGGACAAGACTTGTACTCACGGGTGAAGGCCTGGCTCTCGAAGACAGGCAAACAGCACGAGCCCGACGATGGCCGCTCCGGCGATGACTTGTCCGGAGAAGGTAGACAGCCCGGCTTGAGAGCCTAGGTCTAGGGCGTATTGCAACATTGCCTTACTTCTGTAAGAAGTGCTGATGGATACTTCACAAGTTGTCTGGGTGTTTGCGACCACAGCGATGACGATGATGATGATGATGATGATGACGGGTACAACCCAAACTTGGACAGAAGAGCATGATGGACCCATGCCTTCCAGAGAGCCAACACAAACATATATACACGACAAAGTCGGATGAAAGTCCCATCTAAAGCAACCCGGTCCCATCCAAGCCCCGCAAGTTCAGCGGTCCATCGGCACCCATCACAAACGCCGATACCGAAGGGCGCGCACAGCTGGCCACGTGCCTAAGGTATCATCAAAGGCAAACGAGAATGTTGAACTGGCCCCAGCCAACGGTGCCCTCACGCCAAAGGCACTCACTCCCAGGTCCATAGAACTACATTCTCACATCAGCACACGACGACAGCGCCATGATTGAGAGCCAAAAAGCCTCGGTAAGACAAGCCAAGGGGGATGGATGACCCTTGCGAAGGGCGCGAGGTTTTCAACGATATAATGTACAGCGGCCGCCTTCTATGCGAGCAGTGCCCGTGCAGCCCATGCTAGGACAATCTTAAAGTGATTCCACTGCCCCTGCTCCCCGTCCGGTGCCACGACGTCAGGACAGGATGTCTGCGGTGGCCCGGGCAGCCTACACGATGTGACGCCCAGGCTGCCGTGTGTGCCGTCTCTTGCGGCGGCGGCGCGAGAGGCGCGAGGAGGGGCCGATATCGTGTGCCAGGGTAGGTCAAGGTGGTCACGCTTTTATTGCCACTTATCTCCGCGCAGCAATACCCGGCTGTCGATCGGGAGGCGGGTCGCCCGAGAGCTTGTTTGGTGGGGGGGGGGGGGGTGTCCTTCACGCATCACGCTGGCATCGACGCTCTGCGGCTGTGTCTCCCTCATGCTACTACACAGTATTCATTCGATCGCGATCTACAGCCGGCACACGGTTGTGTGGCCGCGCATCGCGTTGTCAGGGATACCATGCCCATGCGGAGCTGCGGAGCTCTTGGGGTTCAGTGATGCAGGCCTCGGTAAGTGTAACAGTCTTTCTGTGTTAACCAAGTGAGATCCTCTTTGCCTCGGTCCAGATCAGCCAGGACGGCGGCTTTCGGGGCGCGGATTGGTCGAGCTTGATGGTTTGGATTCCAGAGTCCTTCTGCGGGGAGGTGGTACCAGCGGAGTCCGGCATGTCGATGACCACATACGGGGAATCAAGCAAGCATGGTGATGCAACGCTGGAAGAGAGAAGGAAGGATGAGGGACACGGGATGATCGGACTGGGGAGGTTGGGGAAAAGAAATGCATCCCGGATGTCAAGCTCTTGTCGAATCTCGAGACGGCAACGGTGCCATTGCAATGCTGGAAGTTGGTGTGGAGTTTGAACAATTTCCCAGGTCATGGACCCGGCATCAGATGTTGGGTTTAGGACAGATCTCGGACTCGCTGCCACTGAAGCACACTTCATATATGAAACCTAAAATATCTTTTCTTGTTCCCAGTCCGACCGGGTATCAAAGCCATATATATATGCAAGCAGCCTGTGATGGGCCCACTCCCCATAAGAACTGGCATGTACAAAAGGAGGCACATTATCCAACCTGTCATTGACAGTCATATCCTCGTGACCCACTCCAGTCGATGGAGATCATGTGGTCGTCCACGTCGTAGTTTATCATTGCAGTCGTCATCATAATCACCATAGCCCAAGGCGCAAATTCACCTGGACAGCTGTATCCTCTCGACCCTTTTGACGTCGTCAGGCATTCGTGAGATGCACAGCTCCTGGCAGAACTGGCCCCATTCCCCGGAGGTGCCGTCTCGGACAGCCTCCATCATGTCCTTTCCGTAGCGCTCGGAATACGCTCGCTTGATGGCGGACAGGTGAAGCCGGTCCCAGTGGAAGCGGACCAGGCGCGACGTCAGCAGTTCTCGTCGCAGGCCGTCCTTCTTGGATGCCGTCAGCGCGTGGTGCACCAGCAGCGCGTCTCGCACCGGCTTGTTGATCACGCCGTTGAGGATGTGAGCGAGTAGCTCGCCCTGTCGGTATTCCGGGTCAGTCGATGATGATTCGGCAGATTTAAGAAGGGGGGGGGGGGCACGGCAAGACCGTGCGTTTCAGAGTGTAATGAGGCCCAAACTTACCACCAGGTTTCCACTCTTCTTCAGCGCATCCCTCGCGAAGTTGGCGCGGTACTCATCGTTGTACACCCGCAAGATCTCCCGCAGGTGGCTGTCGCTGCGCATGACGACGATGCCGATCATGGCGGTCTCGCCGCCCTTTTCGGCCTTGACAGCCTTGTGAAGGGTGTGCACGTCGCTCCTGACCAGGTCGTAGTCCAGCTCCAGCGGGCGGCCATGGCGGTCAAAGTCGTCCATCCTCTGCTCGTCCAAGACCATCAGCACGGCCTTCTTGAACTTGTCCTCCTTGAGCTCCTGCTTCATGCAGCGCGTGAGGCTGTCACCGTACTTCTTGTCGGTGAAGGAGGCCTTGATCTCGTGTATCTCATCGTTTGTGCGGCCCATGAGGCTCTCGATCAGCAGCTCGCGCCGCGTCTTGTCGCCCTGGTACCAGAAACTGCTCCAGTACGCCTCCGACTCCCACCGGCCCAGCGCCGTGGCGTAGCACGCCTTCATGAGCGACGGGTCGTCATCCTTGAGACGCACGCGTATGTGCTTGGCGACGTTGACGCCCTTGCGCTCCGGCCCCGTCTTGACCAGGCGCTTGTACTCGACACGCAGGTCCATGACCTGCTCGTGGGTCATGCCAGGGAGGATCTCAATCAGCGGCTCTGTACGCGGCGGCTTGCTGCCCTTGAGCGCATCCGCCAGGCGCTGGGCGTCGTCCTGGGGGTCCGCGAAACGGGCCCTTCGCGAGCGCCTCTTCCCGCTGCGCTCGTCATCAGACCCGATCGGCGAGACGTCCATGACCTGGGCCTCGCCCGGGTGAAAGTGGGTCGGGAGCAGCAGGGGCGACGGCATCGGGGAGCTCTGCTGGTAGGTCCCGTGGTATGACTCGAGCAGTGGTGAGGCCGGGGCGGCCGAGACGGACAGGCCGCCGGGGCCCGGGTGATACGGCGTGGACACGGAGAGCGACGACATCCTGTTGACGGGCGGCTGGGGCGAGGAGGACCGCTTCATGGCGCTCTTGAGCGGGGCATCGCCCGGCTCCACCGTGACGACGCTGGCCGAGGAGCCGCGCGGGTCGGCTGTGAGCGAGTCGCGGTGGGAATGGGACTTCCTCTCGCGATCCCTGTCCCGGTGGTGGCCCGGGGCGGGGCTGCGGCTGCGGGCGCGCGAGGAGCTGCCGTGGCCGTGGCCGACGCCGAGGGCGTCGGAGCTGTAGCGCGGGTCGCGTGAGTAAGAAAGCCTGTCCTCTCTCTCATACTCCCACTGTGGTGGCTTGGCGTACTCATACGAGGGCGAGGGCGAGTGGCGCGGGGAGGCGGGGGGCCGCGGGGAGACGGGGCGGGCATCCTTGACGGGCGGGGAGTGAAGCTTGCCATAGGCGAGGTCCTCGTCGAGCTTCTCCTTCCTCTCGGCGCGGCGGTCGCGCGACCGCTCCCTGGACTTGTCGGAGATGGGGGCGGTCATGTAGTTGTAGGCATCCGAGTTCTCGAGCTTCTTGGCGTACTTTTGCGGCAGGAAGGCGTCCATCAGACTGGTGGGGTTGCGGCTGCGGTCCTTGTCGCGGTCCGAGTCGGAATGCCTCTCGCGGGGGCTGTCCCTGCGGTAGTCGCCGTCGTACCTCAGGTCGCCGTAGGACACGCGCGCGGGGTTGTCGGCGGCGGGGCTCCTCGGGCGGCGGTAGTAGGGATCGTCACTGGGCGAGAGGGGCGCCTGGTAGCGGCGCTCCTCGTGCTCGTAGATGCGCTCATGCTCCCTCTCGGTCTCCCTGTCGCCGTAGGGGTCGGTCTCGACGACCAAGGGGGGGCCACGGCTTCTACTGCGGCTCCGGTCGCGCCTGCCGGGGGAGCGCGACCGGGCCCTTCGGTGGTCCTCAACCTGCAGAGACATTGAGAGCGCGCGTGGGCTGAGCTTTTGAGGGCGAGGGGCGGGGAGTGTCACTGGGGTGGTGCTCGACAGGCTAAGTCCGTACTCCGTACTCGGTACAAGGCATGTGGACACCGGGTGGCTGGCTGACAGGTTCTGAGGAGATCGTGACAATTTCGCGTTGTTGGCGCGCCGTGCCGACCTCACGAGTGGTGGTAGATTCCCAAGGAGCAGGGGCCCTGCAACAATTGGTCAGACCACACGGTAGCACAACCAGCCAGTCGGGTCGGGCAGACAAGCCTGGGAGATGCAAGTCCCGGGAGGATCAGAGAGACGAAGGGGCAAGCGCGTGGTTGTTATATCATAGGTCGGACAGGCAGACAGGGCGACCTGACACACGGCCCAGGTGGATCTGGCAAGCATCAGCTGTAGGAGGGGCTGGGCTGGGCTGGGCTGGGCTAATTACCTAGGTACCTAGGTACTTAGTACTTAGTACTAAGTAGTTGGGGGGGAGGGGCGGGCAGGAGGAGGAAGAGGAGGAGGAGGAGGAGGAGGGGAGGCGGCGGCGGGCCCAGACGGGCAAGAGACGGCACAGCGGGAATGAGACGAGGGCTGAGTGCTGAGCCTGGTTCCTCATGCCAGGAACTGCCAGGAGCGGGCTGTGGCTTGGACTTTGTTGGGTCATCATCTTGTCTGCCCACTCCTGCCACTCTCCTCTGATGGCGACTGCTGCGATGCAGGCCAATGCAGCCAGCCATGCAGCCATGCAGCAATGCAGCCATGCAGCCATGCAGCCCGTGGGGCCATGCAAGCCCGTGCAGCCGTGTTGGAGCCGCCCCAGCAGCCCAGCAGCCCAGGTGCCACTGCCCATTGCCCCAGGACCGTGCGCTGCGTAGGACACGGCCATTTATTATTTATTGTCCATTGTCCTGTAGCAGTAGAATGTACTATGTAGTGTGGAACATTACGGCCACAGTCAGATTGCATGGCTGCTCGGCCCAACCTGCCGCGCCACACGCTCACACCCGGGGACCGTGGGCCCACCGCGCCAACACGCCTCTCTCTCTGCGTCCAGCTGACCTGTTCCCGCTGCAGAAACCTCTGTCAGTCGTGGCCCCCCCCCCAAGACTCGCGGTCCCGCACCGGAACCCCCGCCCCTTGGCTCAGCCCGGCTCGTATGCGCATGCACGCAAGCAAGAGAGAACAGAAAGCTTCTTTCCCGCCCGGCCTATCTGGTGAGGAGCACCCCACAGTTCTGGTGGCAGTGCGGCTGCCAAGGTTCCTCCCGGTGCCGGGGCGCCGGCGCCGGCGCTGGCGCTGTTGTTCGGGAATGGCCGATGAGCCTCTAGCTCTCTTCGCAGAAAGGCTGTGTCCGCCTCTGCCGTGCTGCCCGCAACACTGATTCGCTGTCATGCCACGCACGACACACAACCGCATGTGATACATTGTACGACGTTGCTGCTGGGTCGTGGACGGGAATGCACATACACAGACACACACACACATACACACACACACACACACACACACAAAAGTGGACTCGACATAAACTACACGCCTTTGGGGGGACAAGTAAACTCACTCACTTATATAGGGGGCTTAATGACTCTGTGGCCGTCTGTCTCGGCAGTGGCTCGCAGCGACCATCATGCCCTGTCCAAATAGCACATTCTGTCCCCCCCGAGCTGTAGGATATTTTCCATCGCATTGTCTTTTTGTTTTATCTTGTGCTGTATCGTTCGTTACCGTCACTTGCGCAGCCGGCTCACAGCTCGCTTGCTCACACGAGCTGCCACCTATTCCTGCTTGCGGCCAAGCCGCCTCATCGAACCGCATCCCCTCGCCATCCATGGGTCGGTATGTACCCACCAGCACTGGACATTTTGTCCGTACATAGTCGCCGGCCTGGCCCGGGGATTAGTCGAGAGAACCATCTCGAAAGTGCAAGTCTGTAGCACTTGGCAAGCGCCCATCACACAGTGCCTCTCATAATCTCAACACACCAACACCATCCAAAACCCATCCCACCCGAATCCAGAAACGCCCGCTATGCCAGGAGAAAGCACAAAACCCCTTTACTTTCCCACCCGATCTCGATGATGATCGTCCATGATCGCCGACAATCGTCAGATCACCCATGGCTCAGCCCCGCCGTCATTAACGTTGTCGTCACATTCCTCTTCCGGCTTCTCGTCTATCGTCTCGGGGATGTCCAGGCCCGGTGCTCGATGTGACATGGTTCGAACTTTCTCAACATCGTCCTGCAGGCGTATTGCCCCTTCCCTGCTGAGAATCCTCCGCACACTGAGGGGCACCGAGGGTCAGCAACAATGAGTCTGGCACTCGGCCGCAAGATTGGGAACGGGTATCACTCACCTTCTTGACACCGGCTGCCACGTCTCCATCATGAGAACCACCAGCAGGAATGTCAGCACCATGCCAATGACCAGCACATCGGTGTGGTGACCCGCCACACACGGTTGTGGCTGGCCGAGGGCCGCCGAATCTCCCGCGTGCTGCTTGATGCGCAGCACACCCCCGTCCCGGTTCGATGCCAGCCTTACTAATGAGCCGACCGACATCTTCCTTCGCGGCGAGGACTCTGGGCGTTTTGGCTTGGAGGCCGGACGCGTCTCTGTGTCTGCATCCCCTACCCGTGGCCCTGCCCCTGTCCCCGTTGGTGTCAGCTCCTCTCCGGATTGCAACCTAGCAAGTGCCTCCAGGAGGTCCGACGACAACGGCCCGGCTGACGAAAGCACCTCCGAAGCAAGCCGTGAGAGGTCGGATGCCGAAGCCGACAATGGCCGGTTGTCGAATGCCGGCTCCCGTGCAACGTCGTCTCCGCCGCCGCCGTCGTCGAGCATGATCGACTGTCGGTTCAGGGGCCTGATGACCTCCGTCTTCACCCCCTTGGCCCCGGCTGTCGTGATGGTTGCTGGGGGCTGGTAACCAATTGGCCCCGAGGACGGGTCTGACGCTGTCTCCTCCAGGGTCTTGACCAGCACGAGGTGAGGGAGGACAGGTGTTGCCATCGCGAGAGGTGCCGCAGCACAGAGTGAGTAGAAGACGTGCCCTGACCTCATGACGGGCGACGATAGTTTCCCTTTGCTTTTGGTTTTTTGTTTCCCTTTCACTTCCTTTTGTTGTTTGAAGAAAAATATATATGCACCCTTCCTTCTCGAGAACAAGTGACACAAGTTGCCGCTGAAGAATGATGAGTTCTTAAGGTTGGATATCTTAGATGAGGAAAAGGAGAGCGGCGCCGCGGTGGGGAACTTGTCAGGATGTCGCGAGCGCGTCTGTCTCAGACACTAGAATTTGCCGACTAGTGAAGCTGTCTCGGATTGGCCCTGTGTCAAAGTATTGTCCGCACCTCCGTTGAGGAACCCGCCAGGATCAAGTTATGCTCTGTTTGATCGGCGTGGGGACCAATGATGCTTATATTCAAGGTCAGGCTTGCTGAGGCATTGACGCCCGGGGGGGGGGTTCCCAGTGGCAATCTGAAGGCAGGTGAAACCAGCGGGAGTTGGGGGTTGATGTTGGGATGATTGACAAAACAACTGTTGAAACGAGCGATGAACTGGTGTGTGCACTGATCGGGACTGGCCTCCCACGGGAATTATGACGATCAGCGAGCACGACTTAAGGATATGTTTGATTCGAGTGAATCATAACACTCGGAGAGAGAGACCGGACGACCGAAGCGAGAGAAACTGGATGGTGGATAGGACGAGCTCTGTGTATGCAGGCGGGTACGAGCATGCGAGTGGCCATGCGGGCGAGGTGAGCATGTATTAATATGCCCCGTTTGGGGAGGACAGTAGCGTGGGTTTGTGTGGTCTGGGCTCGCTGGAGGGAATGGGAGGGGGGCAAGCTGGGCTGACGAGGCTGAGCTCGGATCTGCCCAGAGCATTTCAATGAGCATCGCGCATCGAGCATGAGAGAGGGGAGGGACCCTTGGGCCGCCAGTCGTGGAGAAGCCGGCGAGCGCCAGCGTGCACTGGCTGACTGGGTTCTCGACGCTGAGCTAAACTTAATCTGCGTTTGTGGTCTGTTTGACCTCTGATGGCCTGCCTGGCAGCTGCCTGGCTTGTCATGGGTGTCTTCTGGTGGGAGAAAGGGGTTGTTTGGGGGATGGGTGGGGGCATGGGGGGTGGGGGATCTGTGCCCCCAGGCTGCCACTGCTCTGAACACCTGGGCACCCGGGACGCTTTAGGGTAATGCTCCAGCCCGCTGGCCCAAGGCAGGGACCAGGGACCAGCTGGCGTCCAGAGCCATCCTGGGACCATCTGGACGAACCGCGCACGTGCATTGATCAGAGAGATTTCAGCTTGGCGCAGGTCGCTCGGAACCTTGCAGGAGAGCGCTAAACCGAGTCCGACTCCCCATCTTGTCCTGCTGCTCCTCCTTGCCGCCGCGGCGCCGCCCAACCAGTGGACCAACTCCCGTGTACACTGCTCGACTTTCATACGCTGCATACGCTACCACTCGCTTTGTCACTCGCCCGGAACTGTATAATGCTCCGGCCGTCGATCATGCCATGATCAACTAACTACCCTGAGAATCCAAAGCCTTCTCGACAAGGAGACGGAGGTCCAGCTGAGGCTCTGCGATAATCCTGCGACGTTGACTTGTGCCCTTGGACCGGCCGGTCTCATCGTGATTCACCGTAGCATACCCAACACGCTCCAAGCCGGCAAAGCTGATGACTTGATGATCATGGCCCACGAGGCCAAGCCGCGATGAGCCATGGGCCATTGGCCTCGGATCAATTGATCATCCCTTGGGGTGGACCCCGGAAACCTACTGTAACTCTATCTAATATAAGCCCAGCTACTGTGAAAAGGGGCCCCAGTTCCGCTGTGGTGGGCGGCTGCTATTGGCCGCGGCGTACAGTTTGGCAGATTTATTAACCCTGCCCGTTACTCCGTACGCTGCGCTACACAAATAGCTCCCGTGGCAATCATCACAATGGCAACCAGCTGGCACGGCGATGTCACCTTGTCTCCATAGGCTGAATCACAGCAAGCAGGCACGGATTACAAGAACTGCTGAGCTGACAGCCGCGGCAGTCACCCTCACCAAGCGAGGGGCTCGTTCCTCTCTCTGTCTGCTTCCGCGCAACAAGTCTATGACGGCTCCTGTAGGTTAAGCACCCCTTGGCCAAGTTGATGCCTGGGCAGTGCGTGCTGCGCCCCTCGTGACTTTGTGCGGGATTTGTCCTCCCCCTCCCCTGGATGAGACAACAATCGCCTGCAGGCTAAGCAGCAGTGCTGTGGTTCCCTGGCCCAGCCCAGCAAGTTCCCAGCTATTCCTCGTCTCGTGCAGTGAGATAGGGCTCACCGTACCTTCGGCCGAACCCCGTTCAAACCTCTTCTGTCTGTTTGCTGGCTTGATCAGCCCTCGGAAGCTCTGACTAATATTTACTCGCCGGTAAAGTTCCGAGTCGGTCACTGACTATTGGTTTATTCGGTTAACACGTGATGGGGCCCTATGTCTGTCTCTCTTGTGGTTTGAGGAACTCGGAGCACGGGACACGGCGAGGCCAGAGGCGTGTCGTGCCCAAGGAGCACTGATGTGCAACAGTGAATTTTGGTCATCCCTCTCGGGAGTCTGGACCGGTCCACCAAATGCAGCCACACGTGGGAGCTGAGTAAGCCCCGAGAGGTCGTAGGGCATGCGGCCTGCGCGGCAGCTCAGCCCGATTCGCCGTCCCTGGAACGTACTGTAATAAAACCTGGTGATAGTCAGCGCCTCTGTCTCAACCTAGTCCACACCGCCAGGATCGCTTTGGTCAAAACGAAGGTAAATCGCGACCGGGAAAGGTATACGAGAATGCGCTTTGATAAGAGGGCCACAGTGTTGACACAACGGGCGGTAGCTGTCTCGTGGTTGGGTGAAATGGGGATCGGCTGCCAATCAGTTATTTTTACTGTAAAAACTGGCGCTACACAAACACGGTTGCGACCGTCCAAGCTTCAGCCTTGGCTCTGAGGTGGACTGCTGGAATGGTGCCAGTGGACAACAGATCCTTGTGGCGATCGTATTTAGACAGGGACACGGACAGAGTGCAGTTTCTCATCGCGCCATTTCAGGCCATGAAGAGACAACCACCCAGCCACCTGGGGCGGGCAGCCGCCGGGGCTGTCGGGGCTGCTGAGGCAGCAACGGACCCGTACTGTTTTGCCTTGGCCGGGGGCAGACGCCTGTGAGACAAGCAGGCCAAGACCATGCTCAACTGGATTGAAGCCATCGCCAGACTAGCCGATAGTTTTGCACCCGGCCAATGACTCGATCCCTCCGGGGCGACACTGCCGTATTTCGAAATTGCCAGGCTATTTTTGAGTTTGGCAGGCTGACGATCTGACGATTAGTGCTGAAATAGTCTGGCTGTCTGGCTGGCCAGGGGCCAAATTCGTAGGAGTCGTCAGGAGTGATTGGGCGTGTGGGCGTGTGGGCGTGTCTTCTGATAAACGGACCTGAACACCACGCATACGACGAGCAATGAGGCTTTTCTCTCATTCGTCGGTGCGCTCGGTTCCCAGTGGAGTCCCCCCGTACGTTCAGACGGTCTCCACTGTTCGTAAGGCCAAGCTTTCTCATCAATTCCCCGAGAATCAAAGGTGAGGCAGCTTGGGCAGGTTTTGACGAGGGGGAAGGCTTGGCACGTCTCGTAGCACCGTTGTCAGGTTTGATGTTGGATGCTCGGGCACCCCAAATCTGCAATCTCCACACCCTCTTCTCCGCAAAGACACCCAGCTGCAGGCACCGCGTTGCGGCCCGTGCACATTCAACGTCCAACTTGCAAGTCCTCAAGCCTCAGTCAGGCACTTTGGCTGGCCCCTTATCGGTATCGCCTATCTATCGCCAGTTCAACGTCGCGTCCAGGCGCCGCGCCACCACTCTGCGTCAGAGCCACGAGCCACAACTAAACCTCGCGAGGGCCTAGACCGCGGTTTGCTTCGACCCACGAACCCTTGTCATCGCGTGTGAATGGAGAAAGGACGCCCATCCTCATAGCCGTTCGATGGCTCCTCCCTCGGGACTGCAGTTCTCTTCAAAGGCCTCCGACTACGATGGCAATATTGAGCGACTGCCGCCTCTGGCGCGCTCCATAACCGCCCCGACCGGCTTCCAACACCCAGCAGCAGCATCATCATTGCACCACGGTCGCCCCGACCCGTCACATCTTGCCCCAGAGGATGCCTTCCACGCTGCCTCGCCGCCTCGACGGCTGAATGCGTTCGAGCCGCCAGGAAGCCGGGACCACATTCCACGCCATCTGTATCGCAAAGAAGGAGGCAGTAGGAGTCGCAGTCGGCGGCGGAGGAAGAGGCCCTGGAAGAAACTACTGTGGGTAAAGCAGTCATGTAAGTCCTTGGTTCACATTCATTGCAGCCGCTGCTTTGTTTCGGTGGGGGCGTATGTGCACGACGGCTGATGGAGTTGACCATCTAGATCCGGACAATTATACCGACCAGGGGACCTTCCTCGAGAACCTCCAGCGCAATCCCCGGCTGAAGCCTTACGACTTCTGGCCCCTGGTAGCAGACTCCACCGTCATTGTTCAACATGTCTGCACGGTATGCATATTTGTGGTCTGCTTCGTGGGCATCCACCAGGGTCGACTGAGCCCAGTTGCCGTGGTCGGCTGGGGCTCCATCGCGACCTCTGTTGGCTGGTTTCTGTGGGACTGGTGGGTTGGGAAAGAGGGCGAGAACGATGATATCGAGAGCCTCCACAGGACAAGAAGTATCGGCCCCAGACACTACCGCCGTTCTTCGCGACCCCAAGATGACAAGAGAAACTCGGTCGGGGGCAGTGGCAGCGGAAGTGGCAGCGGAGGACATGGGGAAGATGGCGTCGCCGCCCCGCAGACCGTGTCCGGCGCAGCGAGCAGCAGCGCGTCGACGCTGCCGTCGGCTGAAAGCTCAACCTCAAACCTGCTCATGCCCCCTGGTCAGGCACTTGTGCCCAGCACCGGCGCCAGTGCAAACGGTAGCGCCACGAACCTCCTGTCTAGGCCTTACTCTACTTCGGCGAGCTCTTTGCTATCCGCAACATCCCAGACGAGCACTTCTGGCACGACCACGAACCAGTTGCGGTCCCGCCGGACATCTTCGCCCACTAACCCTGCCAGTCCACAGCTCAAACACCGGCCGTCATCTCCGCTACGAGGCGGCCGTGCTCACCTGCGCATGAATACTATCAAGTCCGCAATCCTCATCTACTTCACCCTCCTCGGCCTATCCCCAATCCTCAAGTCCCTGACCCAATCAACGTCGTCCGACAGCATCTGGGCCATGTCTTTCTGGCTGCTCGCCATCAACATCTTTTTCTTCGACTACTCGGGTGCGTGGGTTGGCGTCAATAAGTTCCCAGTCGCGTCTTTGTCAACCAACGCCGCCCTGATGGCCTCCACCGTGCTGGCCAGCCGTCTGCCGTCGACAGGTCAAGTTTTTAGCCTGACGCTGTTCAGCATCGAGGTCTTCGGGCTGTTCCCCGTCTTCAGGCGCTACGCACGCCACCGTAGCTGGCGGTACCATGTGATCCTGACGGTGCTGCTGGTTCTCGGTGCCGGCGGCGGCGTAGGCATGATCCTCGGAGCCGCCGACTGTGACATACCTCATGGCTGCGGGGATGCGCCGTGGCCCTGGGCGAGCGGCCTCCTGGGCATGTTAGTCGGCTGCGTCATCGCCGCCGTCGCCATGGGCGGGTGTAGTTGGTGGCTCATCGGGCTGCAGAAATACAAAAATGAGATTTATGGCCCTTGGGACCCTGCGCGACCGATCATTATCAGCCGGAGGCACTGGGATGATGATTGATAGCACAAAAAGTTTACTTTAATATCTATGGTTTCAATGAAAATCTCTTATGCTTCAAGGCCTTATGTTCTATGGCTTCCGGCAACCGTGGCCAGGTTTCAGTGACGAGTAGGGCACGTAAAGGTTGATAAGTGAATGCTGAGCCATCACAGAGCTAGTTCTCGAAAACACGTTGCCACAGTTGGCTGGACCACATCTGATCTACCAACAGGTCCTTCCACCGCCGATGGCGGGCCAGTTCGAGAACTTCTAGGTCGGGAAACAGCCATGGAATATACGAACCTCAAGTGTAAGTTCGCTGCCCTATCCCGAGTGCAGGCCTGAGAAGCACTTGAACCATCCGCGCATGAGAGGGAACTGCCAGTGGTCAGCACCGACACAGGCCCTGCGCAGTGGAGCCCACCCTCAAAACTATACCCTTAGCCTAGCCAGAAACAGGTCGACCTCGTATTCGATTACCTCCCCCTTTCCCCTGCCTAGTCTCTACTCACGATGAGTTTACATATGCTGCTATTCTGGTGACGCATAGCGCGAAGGCGCACTGTGGTCTGGGCAAGGGGGAGCTGCCCGTAACGTTACCTTCTCCCATCTCTACAAGGGAAAGGTGTGCGTTGCCTGTCTGGTTCATGATAGTTCGGCTGTTGGAGCATACTGTACCACTGACATTGATCAACAAGGCTAGGTATATTCATCACAGGGAGTGGATCACTGCAACAAACAATGCTCGAGTCCGGGCGCGCTCTTCTACCTGACACTGGAATCTCACTTCTGGACAGTGTGATTTCCCGAGCAGTCGTCTCTAAGTCGGCTGCAAATTGGATCTATCTCGTGCTTGATAGAGAACTGTTTATTTTCGTCGCTACTCTGCTATACAAGGCTGATTATATTGAAGTTATTTTCTCCTGCTCTGCTAGCCTCCCTTCCTCTCATCGGACATCTAGCGCTGTTTGTTTGTTTGTTTGTTTGTTTGTTTGTTTGTTTGTTTGTTTGTTTGTTTGTTTGTTTGTTTGCATGCTGCCGGCCATCCGATCGACACGCTCAAGAGCAAATCTTGTATGACTTGCAGAAGTTGATACCTAACCCTGCGTTCTGCTTCATTCTTGTCCAGTGCCTAGTGTTACTTCCAGCCCGTCTCTTTGCTATCCCATGATTTCCTGGTCGAGCTTCCCTTGTGTCAGTGTGTTGACTCGAGTGTCAGGACCAGCTGAAGGACCAGCTGAGAGGGATTTTCAGGACTATGGGCTCCTATTGTCTTTTGTTTCATCAAAATCGTCGGCACGCAAATTGCAGGATGAAGGAGAGTAGAACGAAATGATAAAAAAAAAGGAGGCGGGGGGGACAAAAGGATTAGCTTGACCAACTACATATGTAAGCATACGAAAAGACGCCCCAAAACGATGACTTCGGGTATCAACCATATAACAGAACGCAGGCCTGTATCAGGGGGCTGAGCAGTTACCTTCCTGTGAAACATTAAGCCTTTCTCTGCTTGCTGATTGTTGCATAGCCCACGTTTGTATGTATTTACCTGTGATCCAAGATGTCTAGTCTTACGCATCTAGCTTGAGCCTGTCTAGCATGGTGTCGATCTTCCTCAAGAGGATCTGGTAATTCATCGCATCTAAGTCGAATTCATCATCGACGACTTCTCCCTCTAATGTCTTGACACCGCCCACGCCATCAACATTGCCACCAGCAGCTTCTTTTTGCGACGAGACGGTATCGATAGCAGCACTGGACGTCGCCTCAGTCGCTGTGTCTGCTTCTTTGATGAGCTCGCATCCATCCCCCTTAGCAGCCATCAACCCCTCCACAGCCTCGGGCCGGATTTCCCCTTCCTCGTCGAGCATTTCATCAAGGCCGGCATCCTCGAACCTCAGGCGGAAACGCTCCGAGAGGTAGTATCGAATGTCATCTAGCAACTCGATCGTATCTGTCTCCTGCCTCAGCTTGAGCCTCGAGGCCGACTCTTGGATCAGTTCCGCGAACTCAGGCTCATCGATATAGTCCTCCAGCCGGTAGGCCAGGTAGCGTGCTGCGAACTCTTCTAGTCGTTGTACTCTAGTGGTGACGTTAGTACCGCTACGGATCCTAAAATTGCAGGGCATTCTACCTCAGATCCCATGCCGCATGGATCACATCGTACACATTGATCGGCTCGACCTCGACCTGCTCGCTTCGGCCTTCGGAGTGCGTACGGTCCACGAGGATGTTGCCCGTTGCACTTCCGAGTGTGCTGATGGCCTGCGCTGCTTTGCTCTTGAGACGGTCCATCAACAGCATATCTGCCGTGTAAAGCAGTTCCAACGCGAGATCCAGTGGGCAGTCTGACTTCTCGGTGTACATGAATGCCAGTATAATCTCCAGGACCTCAGGCGTGCAGTCCACCTTGATGATGCGAAGGTACTCGGATTCCTGTGCCTCCACGAAGTCGCTAGAGAACATGGTTTCGAAATATGGAGACCGGATCAGCATTGCCTTGTGAACGGGGAAAACAGTTGATTTTCTGGGTTTGCGCCCTGCGTCTTTCGGATCTGCCGCTCGTGATGCAGACTCGATTGGGATGCCGTTAGCACCAATTATCGACGTCTCTCGTTCGTCTTCAACTTCTTCACCGTCTTCTCCATCATAGTCGTCGGCACGCAGCAAGCAGTCGGCGAAAATGGAGTTGTCCTGCTTCCACTTGATCTCGTTGACCTTCTTCGTTTCCACAACCATCTTGTGCCGTACAACGTGCTCCTTGAAGAAACTCTCAATTTGCTCCTGGGCCCTCTGGATCTCGTCCTGGTACCTCTGCCTCGCCAAGCGGCGATCGTCCAAGGTCAGAGCTGCCTCCCATAGTTTCTCAACTTCGAGCTGTTTGCTGATCTTATCGATACCCTTGAAGACCTCCTCCTCAGAGGTTGAGCTACGAGGATCTACCAACTCCCTAGGCAGTTCACCAAGGTAGAGGTATTGCGCTACTAGGCGGAAGGCCTCGACCGGCACCGCACTGGACAATTTCCACTGCGTCGTCTCGGGTGCGTCGGCCAATTTCGTCCTGAAATACGGTGTCCTCCTAGTGCTTGTCAACCACTTGCTGCAGAGGCCAGGTGCCGACCAGGTGGGCTCGGGAGAAACCCAAAGCACCTCGGATGGGAGACCACGGAGGAAAGGTGTTGTACTTACGCTGAGAGTAAGAACTTGTGCAGATGCAAGTTCTCAGATCCTGAAGTCAGTGTTATATCCGCGGTTCTTGGTATCTGCCGTGTCAACAACGACGTTATGTGCGACGACCAAGGCTGCAGCGGGTCGGTGGACTTTGAATAATCATAAGACAGGAGGAGATTCCGTATCCGGTCATTCAGAGCGTTGTAAACGGCTCTTTCGCCCTGAAATGTGTTCCTCTCCGCAAGTGCCCCTGCATAAGTATCAGCGACTGCTCCGGCTGCCCCGCCACTTCCTTGGCCACAGGTTGGCGTACCTGATTCCAGCAGGAGTTGGACGAGCTCAAAGTGACCACAGAGGCTAGCGATGATGAGCGGGGTATAGTCGAATGCATCTTTGCCGTTGATGTTAACGCCGTTTGATATCAGCTCCTGGCACGTCTTTAGATCTCCTTTTCTACACGCAGTGAGGAATTTGCTGAAATCCGAAGTGAGATCAAGTGGATTCTCGTCTCGAAGAATGCCCTGCGCGATCAGATTGTGCTCGTCCTTGAGCTTGGCCTCGAGCTCATATTTCTTGAGCACTCCAGCCATTTTTCGGTCCAGTGCGAGGAATGGATCAGTAAAATCTACGGTGCAGATACGACAGCAAACGTTAAAAAGGTCAACCAGACGGCAACCTTCTCCCGCCCCTGGAGTACAGGAGGTGGTCGGAGTTAAGCGCAGCGAGACCGGGGGTGGCGTAGATATTCCAGGAGTCGTCATTGCGCTTATCGATAACCACTTAGGTGCCTAGGTGCACACCCCCGTCCGCAAGCCTCGTGGTGGGAGCCCTAAGCCCCATGCAAAAATGGTTGCCCAGGCAATTGATGTGTTGACATTTACTTTTTGGACATGGGAAGAGGTCCGAGCACACTACCACCACCACCTCACCTTGCCTCACCTCAAAGCTTCGATCCTCCTAACGCAACCTTCCCGCAGCTCCATCTAAGCAGTGGCCATCTCCCTGAAAAAACAACAAACCCGACCTAGGTCGACCGAGTCCTACTAACACCAGCAGGCACACCCATCACATCTTGCACCTTGAGTGATCCTTTGCATTTGTTCGCTTCTCCCTCAGCTTATGGATCGTCCTCAGCCCGCCCATTGACAAAGACTGCCCGCTTCTATATTTCAAGATGTCGTCGGACAGCTCCGACAAGTACGAGGTCCTCGAGAAGATCGGTAAGCCGGCATTTCTTGTCGCCCCTGGCCCATCACCATGAGTTGCCACAAACGCTCACGGTGGTATCGACACCTCGTTGCTGACATCATGTCTCGAACAGGCCATGGCTCCTTTGGAATCATTCGCAAGGTTCGAAGGAAGGAGGATAACATGGTTCTCTGTCGCAAGGAGATCAGCTACCTGAAGATGTCACAGAAGGAGAGGGAACAGCTCCATGCCGAATTCACCATCCTCTCGTCTCTCCGTCACCCGAACATTGTTGGATACTACAGCCGGGAGCACCTCAAGACCACACAGGACCTCCACATCTATATGGAGTATTGCGGCAATGGCGACCTCGGTCGGGTCATCCGTGACCTGCAGAACAAGAGTCAATACGCGGAAGAGGCATTCGTCTGGAGCATCTTTTCGCAGCTCGTAACAGCCCTGTACAGGTGTCACTACGGCATCGATCCCCCAGAAGTTGGAAAAGACGTCATGGGGCTGGGCCCTTCTGCAAAGCCCAAGACTCCACCAGGTGGCATGACCATCCTGCATCGGGATCTGAAACCAGAGAACAGTACGTCTTGGTGCATTGAACGTGCCGCGGCAGTATATGTATGCTGACGCACCATATAGTCTTTCTCGGCGAAGACAACTCGGTCAAACTTGGCGACTTCGGACTGTCAAAGGTATTGACATCACAACAATTCGCATCAACGTACGTCGGGACGCCGTTCTACATGTCTCCAGAGATATGTGCTGCTGAGAACTATACACTCAAATCGGACGTCTGGTCACTGGGATGCATCATCTACGAACTTTGCACGAAGGAGCCTCCATTCAATGCCAAGTCACACTACCAACTGGTCCAAAAGATCAAGGAGGGAAAAGTCGCACCATTGCCGGGTGTGTACTCGGCAGAGCTCAGTGCTGTCATCAGGGACTGCTTGAAGGTCAACCCAGACAGGAGACCAGACACAGCAGCCCTGTTGAACTTGCCCGTCGTGCGGCTGATGCGAAAGGAGCGAGAGGTGGTAGAAATGAGCCGCGCACTTCATAAGCGGGAGATGGCCCTCTCTAAGAAGGAGGACTCGGTGAATCGGCGCGCGAGAGAGGTTGAGAAGAGACTGCTCCGCTTGGACTCTGAGAAGATGACCATGAGGCAGGAGATCGACTCGTCTCTGCGACGAGAATGGGAGGCGAGAGCCCGCTTGGAAATTGATCGCCTGGTCAACCTCGAGATCGAACAGCTCCAGAGCAAGTACGAGGAGGAGGTTCAGGCCCGTGTCCAGGTCGAGCTGCAACAACATAAGAAATTGGTCTCACAAACCAACGAGCATCAGCGGATGGAGTTCAGCTCATCGGGAGCGAAGTCTGAATTCCCCTACTCTTCCATTGGCGCAAGCAGCAATCAGAGCAGCCTGACTACCGGAACAGACATGACCGACCTGTCAGAAATGGGCCCGGACACCCCAAAGGACGAACTCAAAAAGGCGGCAAGAACCCCCTTTGTCCGCGCCGCGACCATGTACGCTGGCCCTCTGGGTACTCCGATGGACGTAGACAATCTCTCGCCATCCCCTTGCGCAATCGCTTCTCTATCCCTATCACCACGACGCAAGAACTCTGGGAAGGGCCCCTTCATTCACCAGCCTAACATTTTTGCGAGTGAGGAGTGGCGCAAAGTTCCCGAGATTCCCGACAATTTCGACACCGAGTCGGAAGACGAATCTGATGACACGCCAGCGTCCCCGTCGCCAACCAGAAAGGTGAAGAAGGTACAGAGTCTCTCGCGCCCAGCAATCCCTCACATGAGGACTGAGCCGGCAGGGAACTTGCTCAAGAACAAGCCGTCCCTTCCAGCACCAGCAAAGACCACGACTGGCCTGCCGCATATGGTATCAAATCAAGAGCTGCGTTCTCCCGGTGCTCTCCGCGAGCGAGAATCACCCAACCGGCAGGTCTCCAAGATCCCGTCTTTTGCAAACTTATCGTCCGCGAGCGGTAGCGACTCATCCACTAGAGGTGGGCTGTCTCGCAAGCAATCCGTGGCGGGCCAGCAGGGGAACAGCGGTGGTCTTGTCAGCAAGATGGGCAACGTCCGTGGCCGAACGCTTGTCGAGCTTTCGCAGGCGCGTGCCGGTGGAAGGATTCTGAACAGCAATGAGAATCTGAAGCCCGCCCCCGTCTGGGACCCCGAAACCGTGGACGAAATGCCGAGCCCCTTCCTGATCCGCAGCAAGCACATTCCCAAACCCATTCCGGGACTCTGAAGCAGCTCAGGCATCCTCGCCGAGTCTCGTTGCTGTTGTACAAAAGCTGCTACCGCCCACTTGGTCGGTCTAATCATGAGCACCTTTTCAGACAGAATCTGCAGTGCGCAATCTAAATGGCAAGCACTCGGCAGCGGAGCGCATATTCTAGTTGCAGCTGCCCACAGCTAACATTGCTGATGGCAAACACAAACGCTGCATATTTCTCTCTTCCTTTTGTTTTCTCCTTTGCAAATCAGCATTGCTATACGAGATTGGACGCCACGGCGTGAAAGACGCAGGAAGGCGAGATACCAAATCACCAGTTGCCCGGGTGTCGGGCACAACGAGCCGCATTTCTTTTGTCGATGGGCATGAAAACAACGCTGAGGTTATTCACGCATGTCTTCTGAGCGAATGCATGACGATGGCAGGTAGCGCCGGGGCTGCCGGGGAAGCGACAGGACGACATGCTCGCCTTATTCACATGGGGCCAATGTGAAAGTGACGTTGATGGAACCAAGGCACGGAATCCGACCTTCGAGGATAATACTTTTTTCCCGGACGACTTTGCGCATTCTCAGTATACGAAGAAAAAGGGGCATATTTGTTCTTGACCGGCGTTAGAGGGCGGAGGGCATCACGAGCGGTTTTTCTTGTTTTTTGATTCGCGTTATGAGCTACCCCAGGATGGATTTCCAAATCCAGTTGGATGGACTTGGTATGGCCACTGCCAGACACGAGAAAGAATAGGCAGGACAGCCCAGCTACTGCAGCTACTGCAGCAAAGCTGGCTAGTAACCCTTGGGAAGCTAGTCAGCTAGTCAGCTCATGATAAGAGTGCAGCAGCAAGCAGTAGTGGAATTTGATTTGAGATATTATGTATACGTGCGTATCCAGGGATGTGACTGGGCCGAATGATTCGCTCGCCGGCGACCACGGAGGATCAAGGAGATCACGACACACATCCCACGCCCCGGACGGCGCTTTATCGTAATCTCAGAGAGCGCAGTGCGGGTACCCACGTAATAGCAGAGGTCGTGTGCCACTTAATCATACTATGTAGTATAAGCCAAAAGGCACCACGGCCCGAGAAGGGCGACCAAAGACAAGTCTGTGCGCCCACATACAATTTCGCCAGCCCATCGGGCCAGCAGACCAGCCCCCAAGATGTCATAGCCTGCGCGGGCCGAATTCTCGCTGGACCGTAAAAGCAGTATCAGAAAGAGACAATCACAGACATGGGGAAGATCAGCATCGTAAGTATCGTATTTTTGTGCAGTGAACAAATGCCGCGGGCCCCGGCCCAAACGCCTCGTGGCGGACACTCTCCCCCCCCCTCCCCTTGCCCATTTCCTCCAGATGTCTCTCTCTTTCATGCACCTCCGTCACTCTCCTCTCACATCGTTCACACACCGCGTCGGGAACACGCAGGGCAATAGAACATATTACTGCGGCTTACAATCTATTCCCCGGGGTTGAAAGAAGAACCAACAGCTGCCCCAGGTGCCCACACCACGCCACAGCTCAACGTCCCTGCCTAAGTGTGCTTCTTACCCCTGGGAATACTGCTTTTATCGCCTTACGTCCTGTTCCTCTCATTCCTTTCCCGTTTCTTTTCACTGGTCGCTTGGCGCGTCGGCTGATAACTTGCTTATTTGGCCTCCCGGGTTTCAACACCCGGTCCTGCGTTCTGCTGGGTGGTTTTCCCAAGCCGCATTTGCCTACCTAGTACCTAACCGGCGGCGGAGCCAGGTAGGGAAGAACGGGCCTCAGATGTTTAAATCTTTTCAAGACATCGTTGCGTACTGCGTAGATCTGAGTCCGGTGCGGGAAGATGGGGAACACGAGTCCGTGATTTCTGTCTCTTATTTTCTCCTGCGCCGGCGCACATTTTCGAGACAGCTTTTTGGCCTGGCGTCCAATCGCATCTCCTGGGTTGAGACTTTCTGGTGCCAAAGCAAACGTGCGTTGCCCTAATAGTCTCCATCCTTGCCTCGTGGCATTCGTTCTGTGCATCATCGATAGCGACCTCGAAGTTCCATGGGCGTGATGTGACTGCGCGCCTGTCCGTGTAGAAGTCGGCGTGCCGAACGGTTGAGGGCCCAGGTCCTTGTGTTGGGTCTAGCTGCCAGCCAGCAGCTAGTCAGGGAAAATATCTGTACCAGATCCGATCCAAGATGCTAGGCTACATTTCCGACGTGCTCCCTGGTCTATTACACAGGAGGATCACGTTGGCGGACGCGAGGCCGGACTAGCCCTGCAGGAAGCTTGGACCCGTGCCTCGACGCTGTGCTTCTGGAAAAGCTGGTACGGAGAAACGACTAGCCATTGGACCCCGGAACCCGGTCAACTAGCTTGCAGCAGCGCAGGAGCCTGCCTGGTGTGGTCGATCTGCCGCTGCATGTGGAGCCTGGTCCTGCTGTGCCTCGTCCTGGTGTGTGCGACTGCAGTGGACAGTCTTGACAGTCTGTTGGATGTCTGTCTGACTGCATGCCGTCGCCGGGACAGGAGGGACCAATGGGTCCATACCAGGACTCTACCTATGACCCGGTATCCTCTCATGATTTGCCAAATCTCGACTGCCACACCACATGCATTCCGCAACTACCCTCGGGCTCAGTGGGTGGCCCAGCTCGATACCTCAGCGGAACACGTCGACAAGCTCCAACGCGCGTCTTGACGCCCACCTCGGCGGTCGCTGCTGGTGGGGCCGGCTCAGATACATTGCTGTCAAGGTTCCGGGACCCGAGCTCGGTGCTCGGTGCTTGCGTTGGCAAAGTGTAATTATCTGGCCTCGCGCAGTGAGCGGACCCGGACGAGGTAGGCCAGTCATGTAGTAGTATGTTGTCGAGGTGGAATCCCTCGAAGCCGGCAGTGTTCACCGCCACAGCATTGCGCGACAGGCTTCGAAAACAGGAACACTGTGGGTAGGTACCTGTCGGATGTACACCACGGTACTCTCGGTAGCTCCGTCCCACTCGTCCTGCACAATGTCCACGCGGTGTTCCGGCGGCTGCAGAGTCCCCCGGGAATGACGATCACCAGCGCAGATTCAAATAAGCAAACGTGGGCTGCGCCGGGTGGTGGCCGGGACCCTTCCTGCGGGGACGGCCTTCTGGGTCCAGAAAGGGACAATGGGCCGGCAACCAAAGCAAATGTTTCGTCCCACCGGGCGGCAGCATTCGTCAGGTGCGTCAAGCGAGAAAGAGAAGGAAAAAAAGAAAGAACAAAAAAGGAGAATAAAAAAAAGAAAACAGAAAGAAGCAACAGCAAGAGCTGAACACAGGACAAAAGTCCCTGTGCGCGCCCCGTCGCTTGGGCAATCAGAGCGTCCACGCCCTGCCGCCGTTGATAATTCGGTAGCGAGAGCCCGCCATTGCTCCATGTCTCGGACGAAGACCCAGTAAAGAGAACGTGGGAAGGCAGAAGCAGAAGGGCTACTATGTAGTAGACGCACGGCAGTACGTCAGTGGTACGGAGTACTTTGCAATACACAGTAACCTGTCTGCCTGTGCGCCGCCGTGGGGGGCGCCAACTCGTTAGGTTGCAACGGTCGTCGGGCTTGCAAAAAAAGGGCTGCCTCGAAGGCACGCGATGTATCCACACAGTCATCCACAGTGATTATGGAAGGCTTTGCAAGCACAGAGCGGGGAGCCTGCTAGCTGTCCCGATCTGGCACGAGGCCCCCGGGCACACTGCGACTCTGTCGACGAGAGAAGCACACAAGAACCTTATTCCAGCAGGACCCTGGGGCTGCAGGTTCTGGCGGTCAGTGCTTGAGTCGTACGTGTGGGGACTGGATCTGCCTGACAGCCGAGCCAATGTATCCGCACGCGCGTGTCATTGTACTGGGTACCACATAGTACACATTGGCAACAAGACGCATGTTCCGATCTCCACGGTAGAGGCTCCGATGCTGCTACTATATGTGGTTGGGGGCTTGGGACAGTGAGCTGCTGGAAATACGGGATTTGGGAGCGCACATCATTGGCCTTTTAGTGTTTCATCTTGCGGTGATCAGTCATGGCGATGGCGAATGGACATGCTGAAATAGTGCAACAAAAGCAGAACTTTCGGGCTTTGGAGAGAAATTGAAAGCAATAAAAGAGCACCCGTCCTACCGTGGAATGCTCGTTAGCGGCTTGTGTCTAGTCCTCATTGAGCAACCAGCGCGTATAAAAGAAGCAGTATCCCGCTGCCGCTGTCAGATGGCGCTGTCACCATGTGGCCAGCCATTCGAGCCAATGCCTGTGACGATCACTGACTCTAATTGCTCGAGGTACGTACTCTGTACAGGCCTGACAGGGAGGCTCGCCTTGCAGTTCTCCCTTGTTCCGAGAGCTCACCGGTGCAGGCAGAAGAACGATTGGCTCCGCTCCAAGTACCCTTGATGGATGATCGGCGGAAGCGAGGTTGGCGACCCTGGTTCACATGGGCAAATAGCCTCGAGATCCCATGTGGGGTGGCAGGCAAGAGTGAGCTCCGTAGTCCCAGGGCTGCCCGTGGCTTCTGCGCGGGCCGACCGTCTTGACGATTCCGATCTTCACTGGTAAGGGTTGCGTGCCGGTGCACCTGATCGAGGACAGAGCGCCCGAGTCCTCCGTCCCCAGGCGCAACGGGTTGAGCACCTGGGAGGCAAGTGAGGGACGGAAAAGGGGTTGGAACGCAGCTGGCCTGGTAGTGATGTTACATGGCCATGAATAATGATCCGCCGGGAGATCTCTGGTGGATGCTTGGCGGCTTCACTTTCTGACCACCGGTCCAGTCTTTGGCCCCCAAAGCGCGACGCGAGTCCCCCGCGCGCAGACAAGATGTGATCAACTGCATGCAGAGTTTGATTAGCCCACTTTGAAGCACCAAAGAAGCCTCGCAGCTTCAGCCGTTCTCCTCTCCGTGCCTCTGCTCTGGGTCACCATCGCCCGGGGACCATTGACAAGTACTGCAAGTCACACGCCTTCCTAGTGCCCACTGGGCCCGTCTCATGCTTCAGGTCAGTGCATTCGCCAGGCGGGATACAGACACGGGAGCCGAGACGTATGAGACCCGACCTGCACAAATCTCGGGTCCTTGCTGACCGAAAGAATAAGAGTGCGGGATTTTGCAGGCGTTAAGTCGACACTGGGCCCATGGTGACCACTCTTGATGTCATCCGACATTTTTGGCGGAATGTGTGCGGTAGCGTTCCCCACGAATCCTGGCGATGTCACTACGGGGTTGTCTCGGAGTGGCTCCTCCACAAGGACGCTGGACAAGTCTGACAGCCGGTATGTGTGGATCGAAAAGAAACGAGCAGCTGCAGCTTCCCGATAAGACTCGACAAGGCGAACCGATCCACTGGAGCGCACTCATGACCTGCTTGATTCGGCTTGCGAGTCGCCGACTGGATGGATGCGCTTCCTGCGGTTGGAAGTCACAAACCCAGCCACTCATCGAACAAGGAAACGTAGCCCTGCACCCACTATTCGCTGCATCTGCCTCTTTACTCGCGTTGGGATTGGATGTGTGCCTGCTGTCTTCGCTCTCCGGTCCTGCCTGGACCTTTGTGTTGCAGTCAGCTGAAGGCCTGTTGCAATGGGTGTCGGTTGGTACTCGGCTTCACAGCTAAGGTTGGCCATGGGCAAGAACATGTCGACCACTCTTGAGAGCATGAGCCATGGTCAAACAGATGAGGCTTCCCCTCGTCCAGTACGCAAACATGGATAGCGCTTGGGAAACGACTCGTAGCCCGTGAGAGGCCCAAGCCAAAGTGTTCATGTGCTCTAATTGAGCTATCCTCATTTGCTGCTGACTCCATCGAGTAGATCGAGGCGTCATGAACTTATATCGCCCAGCAAGAGGCATCGTCGTCGCACATATTAGGAGCACACCATCAATGAGTAACT